GCTTTCCAATAGTAACTCCATTAATCGACACATTGACCTCTGCTCTGCACACTTGACATTAAGAGCATGGAGTGCGGCCAGTTACCCATCCCGTTACCGACGGCCCGACGGCAGACCTAGTGGAAAAACCAAGGAGAACATGCCAACCCCCCGACTAATCATGGACAACCCAGAGGATGAAGAACAACGTCTGAGAACCCCCACCACCCCCACAATGTTGACGCGCTCCCAAAAGACCAGGAGGGCGATAAAAATTAAAACCCAGAATCCCCATACTATGAACACCAGGGACTTTCCAATTGATACGGCAGAAGGCAATATAGACGGAGATGGGGGGGATTGTTAAAACCAACACCTCATCTACGGCTTGAGAGGAATAGGACGATCGATCCGAAGAAGATGGGACGACCCCTCCGCTCTATAATGCCGACCGAATTGGGGATGTATGGGGTGTGGGATAGCTCTAGGAGGACTGCAAGTCGATGGACACCCTGGAGAGCGGAGAGAAGAGCGAACCCGGATGGAGGAATGCGCGAGAGGGCGGAGCTTGCGGGATCAGCCTACCACGCCGCACATCAACAGCACCCATCGACTCCAAAGATCCTTGTCACAGGCACGCAAGAATGAGAAGCAATGGAGCGAGGAGGGGGATAGAAGAAGAATGCTGGGACGTTCGGAAGGATCGTAACCCCACCTCCCCCCAGACCGAGACCTTTGTTTATAACGCGGGGAAAAAGAGCGCAGGAGACGAAAGAAAAGGGGGGGGAGCATGTTAACTCGGTTTGGCCACATCTACAAGACTGGCTGCATAGACAAACAACTTATTGAATCATCCCAGCTTACTACCACACCCCAGTTAACCCAGAGTGATACATGTGACCATCTTGACAGCAGTTGGGCACAAGGGGGAGGTACTAGGGATGAAAGGGAAAACATTCAGAGAGAGAATAGTCGTGCAAATGTGGATTGGGAGAAGGAGAAGGAGAAATGCAAACCACTAGATAAACCCGAGGGAGAGAATAGAGACAATCAGAGAGACAAGGAGGTTGCTCCACCTACTTTAGAGCTCAAAGAAAAGAAGGCAAATGAGGACACACATGAAAAAAAGGGATGCAGGAAGAAACGAGTCACCGGAGCACAATCCAACCAATTAGGTCCGATGACGAGATCGAGGAGCCGGGCGCAGACTTTGGCTTGCTTATAAGAGACTCTCTCACTCCCTGGTGCTTTAAGCCCTGAGGATGCCGGCAGGTGACGGCGAAAGCTTGGCGTTTTTAAACTAAATTAAACTTTTATAGTTTTGTCACCCTGGTGCTCACCTTATTTTAAATATGAATATTCCCAGGGTTCATATTTTTAGTGTTATTAACCATACATACATACATACATACATACATATATACATACATACATACATACATATTCTGAGGTTTTCGCAGGTGTTGTATGTAAGTCTTTGGTTATTCGGGTTTTCTCCCGTGTAAAATTGGAAGTGTCTTGGCGACGTTTCGACGAAGTCCCATTCGTCATCTTCAGGCTGGTGTTTTCGGCTTCGTGCTTCTAGGAGCAATGTGTGATCGTAGCTGTTTCTTCCTTTTAACTGCCAGTGGGGGTATGAACTGATTGGGTGGGAGTTTGGCTGTGTTCTGATTGAGTGGAGGTGTGTACTGATTGGTTAGGGGCTTGGCTGTACTCTGATTGGCTGGGGGAGTGTTCTGTTTGGGTGGGGGCTTTGTTGTGCTCAGGTTAGCCTGAGTTGCAGGAGGATTTGAGATGGTGAGCTGCGTTGCTGTTGTTTGGCTTCGCATTCATGGTCGTGCCTCATCTTCATGGTGGGTGTCAGTTTGCTTCATGTATGGATTGGAGGGGTTTAAAGTCAAAAAAGAGGAACCAACTTCTTCCCTGGTCCAACACCTTAAAGGACATGAAATTGACTTTAAAATTTCATAAAGACATGAAATTGACTTTAAAAAGACCAGAACTATCGCCAAAACTGAACACTTTAATAACAGAATAATCAGAGAAGCCATCGAGAATGCCCACACAGCATGAATATATGAGATGATACCTCCCACCCACCAGCCATTTGGAAACCCGTCCTTATTGACAAACAAGTCCCTAACACAAAGAATGACACCAGACCCACACTCACAAAAACAACACAGGATGTTACCACCACACATCCACGCAAAAAGCAATCCCAAACCCACACCGATGATGAGGCACGACCACAAACCAAAAGCCAGACCACAGCTGCATCATTAGCCACTTTAAACCCCTCCAATCCATACATGAAGCAAACTGACACCCACCATGAAGATGAGGCATGACCACGAACACGAAGCCAAACAACAGCAGCGCAGCTCACCATCTCAAAACCCCCTGCAACTCAGACTAACCTGAGCACTAACACCCACCATTAAGATGAGGCACGACCACGAACACGAAGCCAAGCAGCAATGCAGCTGACCATCTCAAATCCCCCTGCAACTCAGACTAACCTGAGCCTCCACCCAAACAGAACACTCCCCCAGCCAATCAGAGCATAGCCAACCATCCATCCAATCAGAGCACAGCCAAGCTCCCACCCAATCAGTTCATACCTCCACTGGCAGTTAAAAAGAAAAAACAGCTACAATCACACATTGCTCCTAGAAGCACGAAGCTGAAAACACCAGCCTGAAGATGATGAATGGGACTTCGTCGAAACGTCGCCAAGACACTTCCAATTTTACGCGGGAGAAAACCCAAATAACCAAAGACCTACATAAAAACACCCGTGAAAACCTCAGAAAACACACACACATATATATAATTATTTATTCATAGTTGCCAATTGTAGTAAAAGGAAAGGAATTCCTTTATTCTTTTTTAATCTGTGCTTGCAAAACTCAGATTGTATTTTTAAAGCATGTCATTATATTTTTCCCTTGCATTTGTTTTCCTGGCAGATACTGCTTATGCTAAGAATAAACTCAATGGAAAATGGTACTACTTTGATGACAACAATGTATCTCCAGCTTCTGAAGAACAAATAGTGGTAAATATTTCAAATAAATCCTTTTCCTGATATCTTCTGGAATTTAACAAGTGCAGCTGTTAAATCAGCAGAGTAACAAGTTAAAATGGCACTACAAATTATTTTCTACAGAAAGTAGAATCCATCTAAAACCCATTAGGAACATGAGCTTAGCTGCAATTCTTGAAACTAAGCTCTAAACCTGTGCACTGATTTAAGGGATAGGATACATGACTCCACTATTTGCTTGATTGTGACATGCCCTTTCTCGCTTCTTCAGGTGGTTAGGGATCTAATGAGCTGGATCTAAAAATGGTCAGCATTTTTTTTCTATACCCAGCTGTTTTAGTCAACTACTATACAATCTCCAATATTGAACTCCCTTGTGGGGGGAAGATTGTCAAGAAGCTGTTGAAGAGTCAGCTAAAGGGAATCCTAGAGGAAATAGATTGCATAGAATTCTGAATTCAGTCCAATAATAAGATGGAAATGTCATTTGTCAAGTTCCAGTTGAGAAACCCAGTGAAGCAAAACACCAAAGACATTGCATTCTCTAATGTAAACTTTATTAGGCATTAAGCAAACTGGTAAGATAGAAAGGAAATTAGCTGAGAATATGGTGGGAAACAGATAATTAAAAGTGTTAAACTTTCCCTCCCCTCTCTGACAGTTCAGTTCACATTGTCCAATAAATCTTCCAGCGGCTTCAACCGGCTCTCACATTGATAAGGAACACCTGTGGATCCCAAACTCTCCTCTCTTCTCCCCCTCTCCCCCAACTGTGGACAAGCTAGAAGTATAGAGCGGTTACCGTAGATTTCTTAGCTTGACATCATTTGTTGCTCCCTTTAATTACCTTTGTTGTGACTTGGATTTGCAGCATTCATCAACAATTATACAACTCTAAACCTTCTGCAAAATTTGGGAGATGAAGGCAGAGTGTTACACAGTCCATGATTATTTAGTCAGTGGTGGCAGGAGGTCATTAGGATTTGGCTGAGGTTGAACCCTAGGAAGGCAGAGTTATTGTTTGTTCAGAAGGCCTCTCTGTCAGCTCTGGTCACTGGTTGGAATGGCACTTACCTTGAAGAAGGAGGATTGCAATAGAGTGATCTTTCTGAATGGAAGCAGCAGGATCAAAGTCAACCTTAGCAAGATTATCAATAAGTTCTTGGTCCTTCCAATTCTAAGGACTAAGCCTTACTTCATTAGTGGTGGCACTTAATGGAGGCTTCTGAAAAAGATGTCAAGACTTCTACGTAGGTATGTATATATTTCAGAGATTCGAGTCCTGGGGCTTTGTAGGCTAGCTTGATTATAATTTTTCTGTTAGGTATTGATTTTTTTAATATATTTCTCAATCACTTTCTTCCAGACAAAGGCAGCATATGTACTTTTTTACCAACGTAGAGATGTCAAGCTCAAGGGGAGCCATTCTTTTTGCCCAAGCGTGAAACCAGAATCTGAAGAATGTGATGGCATGGATACTAACTGAATTTGTTTGGTTATTCTCTAATATGACAATGTATCTGAGGACTTATTTTGAACCCCTGTAGGGCTACTGGACAGCACAGGACGCCTCAGCACTGAAAAATAAATAGAGGAAGCAATAAGATGGCAAACTTGGGCATATTCTTTAATCTAAGAGTTTTTACTCAAATTCTATCTTAACTGTTCAATAAAATTTTGTTGTCTAAATCTGATTTTGTATTATGAAGATTGTATGGGATTAAGAGCTGCTATATGCTGGAGTGATGCATGTTAAGAAAAAAATGGTTGTGTTGGTTTGCAAATTCAAATTGGGCTTCAATGAAAGAAATGCATTTAGTTTCATGCATTGTGAAAAGTGTACAATCTGAGAGATATCTGAGTGCTGCAGAAGTGCAACGCAGACACAGCTTCAGTCTTGGTTAGCACATATTACCACAACATTGTGTCAATCCCTTTTGGACATGTCGATCAGACTTTTTTTTTCTTTTTCTTTTTTTTTTTTTTTGAGAAAGTATTTTTCCTGGCCCAAAGTCTCCCATTCAAAAATTACCTAAGAGGTATTTCAAAAATAGTTTCCATGCTTTCAGGATCAATGATAGTAAAGCAATCCTTTAGAAGTAACAGACAGATAGTATTTCTTTCCTGTAGCAATGTTCAGAAACCCTTTTTCTTCATATTCATCTGGTAGCAATTCTTTATGCTCATTTGACACCTTTTCTTCACATTTATGCAATTATCAGCACCGTATAAAGGTCTTAATCCTTTTCTCTTAAGAAGGCCACACAGTAATATCCAATTACTTTGGATGTGTTTCAACCCATTCATTTTCTTCCCAGGTATTTTATTCCTATTTATTTGAGTAATTTCCCTTCTGTTTAGCCATTTCCACATGAACTAAAAGTTACCAAAGAAAAATGATCTTGCTGTTCTTTTTTTAATCCGTATCCTTCTCACTAAGCCCTAATGTACTTCGGTAGTAGCTTACCTATATAAACTAAGAGTTTTGAATACTCCCCAGAAATGACACATCATAATGAAGGGATTTGTTATTAATGGAAATGGCTTTGAAATCATATTAATACATCATTAAATTACTTCCTTTTGCTGTTGACAGTATGTTCCAAGAATTCGTTCAAAACTCTGAGAATCATTTCTTTCACAAATTTTATGTAGATCTTTGTCTGAAGTCCCACAGGCTATAGACACCAGTGATCCAACATTATTTTAGCAGAATTTATTAGATGTGATCAAGCATTCTCTGTAGATTTTAGCAGTCACTGTTGTCAGCTATATTCTGTTCACTGACAATCTTCTAATGATTACTATATAGATCTGCAGCTGATTCTTCTAAAGCACTGAAATTATTTGGTTGAGTTGCCAATGCTTCTAGATTTTTAAACTGGTTTGAGGTTTTATCTCAACTGCATATTTTTTCTTGCACATATGGGGCAGAGAAAAAAGCTTGGAATTATTTAAATGCTTAATGTCAAATCATATTTTATGGTTTTGCTTTTTTCCGTTTTTCTGGGTTATAATTTCTTTTAAATGTAACATTTGGAGAGAGTGAAATAAATATTTAAATGCAAAAAGCATTTTATAATTAAATATATATTTCTGTTGCATATTGAAGCAAAAATCTTCACTGTTTTTAAGTATGATCAGAGAGTAAGTACACCAAAGTAAGTTTCTTCTAAATGCTGTACAAATGGTATTAGAAATCTTGATTTGCCTCTGACCACGTTGAAACCTAACTGGTGTGTACATTCTGTATAGTATCAAAATCACTTTTAGACTAGCACTGGATTGTTTTACTGTGTAAAGGTAAAGAATAAAATAAAGAGGAACGGATTGCACAAAGTATGTACTCTTTGGTATTTCTGTGTGGAGAATGAGGGTTTCTAGCATATCCTAGGATATGACTCATTACCTGATTGAATAATAATGCCGCTATCAAACAATACCAAAGGTACAGCAGCTTTTTTCTGTTAACTTGGAATATAGTAGTAACCTGGGTGCTGTGTTTATGTATTCACATACCAGTAACTTATAAAGCTAGAATTGTAAATTCATACATCATTTCTTAGCCTTTAAGGGACGATTTTCATACTCTATTTCTTGGAAATTAATCTTACTAAGAATTTTAGATTAGCTTAAGTCTACTTATCTCACTTCCTAGGAAGATTCGACAATCTTTTTACAGTTTAAAAACCGTCATCTAATGGGCCATTTATGGAGAAAAAATGACTAATGAAAATGATTGTCTGAAGTATGCAGTAATTTCTGGAGCACTGGGACAAACTATAAACAATATTTCCTTTTAATATTCATCCAGATCAGTCCTGATTAGGTTTATCAGATTCAAATAAGAAAATAATCCCTTTATTAACTAAATAAGTAATATGTAATTAATATTTATTAATAATAAATTGTCATTGGAAAGCAGCAAGTCCCATCTTGGGGGAAAGTTCTAGTAGAAGCAAAGATTCCGTGACAGTTGAAACCTTCCACAGGGAAAGGAGGGGCACCAGACTCTTATCTGGGAGGCTTTCTATTCAGCCTATGACTTTCTTGCTAAAAAGGGTTTGTGCAATTGCTCTTTTATCTTGTAGTGGTCTTGCAATTGGGAAACCTTGATAAACAGGTCTGGTGGATCCTAAACTTGGATTAGAAGGGGCACTGGTTTATAAGACCCTTAATGTAGATTAGGCATCCTTCACATTTTGATGATATCATCACAAGCAGGTTGCTTAGACAGATTTGTATCTTATCAACAGATAATGGGATTTCTAGAGGAAGCAAAAGTTCAGGAAATTGTATTAAAAACCTTAAGAGAATTTGGGATATAAAATTGTTGAGGCAACACAATATTAAATTGCAGATGAGCACTTTAAAAAAAGAACTGTTAAAATATACACACTTAGATGTGCCATTAATACGTCTAATAGCAATTATGATCAATCTTTCTCCAAAATTGCTGAGAGGATCGTTTATGATTTCTCTTTTCCTTTCTCTTTATAATAGTCTGATAAATAATGATTGGGTCGGGTTGTCTCAACATGTTTAGTGCCTGATGGAAAATATGAAGCCATGATTTCTTGGTCAAAGTTTGTATTTTCTGAATTAACTTCCAGACATATTTTAGGTAGACTTAGAGAAAACTAAAATTTCTCTGTGTGTTTATACTATACTTAGAAGTAGATCTGTTGTAAAGGTATGCACTCCTACTTAGTCATAGCTGTTCAGCAAATCATTTTATGAGGGAGATAGGTATCCTCCAAATACAGGGGGAAAGAGATTATCAATAAGAATGTGGTATGGCTATGATCAGATAAGAGTTAAGCCAAAAAACTTGGTTAATAATGCACTACCTCTGTTTAATGAAGGTTTGTAAGTTATCTGCTCCCCAAACTGCTATTATTTGGATTTTTATAAATCAGTTGTTGCAGTTTTCACAGTCTATGTTATAAAGTGTGGTTTGCACAAACCCCAAATGGTCTCTGTCTCTCCAAATGCAGTGTGCATTTAAGCTAAAATAACATCATATCCTCATTGAAAAAATGGTTTGGTTTACTATTGTGTTGAAAGCCATGGCTTAGTGTAAAGTGTAAATCCTTCCAATTTTATATTTAAAGATGAAAGACCAATCAAAGGAGTACTAGTCTACTAGTTTTAGGAAGGACTGGCAGAAATATTACCTTTAAATATTTACATGTTTGCTCCAGTTACAACTTTCTATAAGCAATCAGACTTCTGGACAATTAGCTATTTTTCCCTTTCAGGTGAGATGTCTGAAAAGTTAAGTAGGTGCCGTAAGGAGCTAGCAGCAGCTATTGATCGAGCAATGGAAGATCTCTCCATTCCTTTCCTTCCTTCCCAAGATACCAGCAACAACCAGGACTCTGATTTGCCAATAGTGCAGCTTTCTACACCCCCTAATGCAGATATCTTTAATTCTAAGGGAGAGGTAATATCTCCTACCGTGTATTGCCCCCAGCCATCTTCAGCAGTTTCTTCTCCTCCTGAAAAAGAGAATCCCCTCTTTAGGTCAAATCTCTTTCCAGTGACGGTAACCTCCAGTATTCCATGTACCAAACGGGAACCATTGATGAGCAAGGAAAATACATGGTTGCACCCACCCATTTTTATGGCTGACAAGCAGTATTTTATCAGCCTGCAAGACAGTGAGAAATGGAAGAAAGGACAAGTAAGGTATGCTTTGCCATCACAGGCTTGATATTATGAGCAGCATCTGAATTTGTTTTATTTTGGTTCCCGGGGAGATACTAGAGCTAACTCCAGGTATTTTGGTATCCAAGCTCACATGGTAAAAAACAAGGCAAAGCAAAATCAAAACATATACCATAACCTAATAATTTGCTGGTCAAAATTTGCTATTCCAGAGCTCATCAACTCTGGAATATATTGCCAAGATAAAATGAGTAAACTCCATATTGGTCTCCTATCAGGAGGCAAATGCATTTTTATTCATTGTAAACTGAGACGGGATGAACTTGTATCAGTTTCCAGATGAAATCTTGATCACTAAGATGCTGTTTTAAGAATGTAGGCTTTGCAAGACATCCTTAAGAGGACAGGTAGTTCAAAGCTTCCAGAGTGTGTTCTTGCTCCATGGAGGTAAAAATGTCCAGTCCTTTGAATCAATGTTCCTTATTCTGTGACATGTGGAATTCCATAGCATACAAGATGGAATTGATCATACCCGTTATATGATAGTTGGTGGTAGCCTGAAGGATAATGAGGTCAAAAGGCCCCTAAATAAACGGCACAATCATAACTTTTTTCAATTATCACATATTTCATTGGTATTCTATTTTTATTAGGTACCTTCATTATGATCATTACCCAAAGAGCAAGTTATATGTTAAACAATAGAGCAGGCACTTGTTTACAGTGTTATGGTAAGGGGAGGCAAAGATTGTCTGGTTTGTTTTAATAGAGATCAACAGAATTCACAATGATCGATCTCAAACTCAAACTAAGAAGTATTGCTTTTTTAAAAAAGCTTTTATTTTTAGAATGATGCAGTTCTTAAAAACTATATATTATGATAAAACTTAAAAAAAACGTTGAAAAGGCAGTTTGGGAAAGTGCTCGGGAAGACATCTTTACACCTCAATAGGCACAAATTCAATGTGCTTATGCCTTAACTTGTATAAAAATAGCTATACTAAATGAATTTGGATAGAATAACTGAAAATTGAGACATCTCTATTGTTTAAATACTGGGATAAATTTCATTTTAGTTTGTGAAATTGGTTGGCTTGTTTTCAAATGTTTCTCTTACAATGGGAAATTTCCTGATCTAGTGTTCAGTTAAGGTGTTTTTATGCTGTTCAGCAAAATTGATGAACGATCCATGAAGTCAGAAACAAACATAATTTCCTGTGATGTTCCTCCAGAGAATCCAAAGGATCAGGAAGATATGTCTGCTGGTAAGCATTCTCTCCTCTGTTCCATACATCTTTTTAAATTGGTTCTGTGAAGGGAATTAGCACTGCATGCTTAAAGAAACAAAAAGAATGTGCGCATCAGGTTTTCTGCAGTTAAACTGTATATTGTTTTAATACAGATGTCAAGCACAAAATGAATGCAAGATAAGTAATTGTTTTTTAAAAAGCCATGCTCTGAAAAGTAGCAATGGCTAACTTTGCATTGGCTGGAAAAGCATAGCCTTAAAAGTGGGAAGATAGAAATACGTCATGGGAAGGCATCTTCCTTTAGAAGCTTCTGTTTCCATAATTGCGTGTGTTAGATTCTTCCCTCTAGTTCATTAGCTTTTCACAAACCTGCAAGCCCTCAAAATATATCTCATCCATATTTGAAATAGCAAACACGTACAATAGATGTGAGAAGAACTATTACAATTGTTAAGGGGAAAAAATGAATACCAAATACAAATTATGGGGCCTGCTGGCTTTGGCAGAAACAATTTTGATTACATTCTCACATTTGGACAATTTGAAACTCTTTAGCTTCTTCAGAATATGCAAAGTAAACATCATTCTGATGTTTTGAAGGATCTGGAGGAAATTACTAGCCTTTTATGCACTTTTTTTTTTCTGTAGATGAAGCCTCAGCTGTCCACCTGGGTGAGAGGAACAATTTCAGAAAGGTCCTAGAACACAGCCCAGAAGATGAAGCTATCATTGAAACCTTGTTGGATATGGAAGAAGAATACAGATTGAACAGCTCCACCTTGCACCAGCTGCACTAAGCAGGTGGTATAAAGTGTGAGCTATTTTACAATTTGGTAGTAACATTTTAAACCATGCAAGCAATCCTGACCTTTGCCAGATACACAATTAAAGAAACCAACTTTGCATGGAGTTTCTTTTTTCTTCTCTGTAGGGTAATGAACTGTAGTTAAATCAAATGCTACTGCTTTTGCTTTGCCCTTCAATGTATGTTTCCATTGCAAAAAAGATACTGCATATAAGCCAGCTTGTGACATAGTGATTTAAGTCATTAAGTATTAATCCAAATTAATACTTGCAAATTTTTGCCAAGCACATTTTTTAAACCAAAAAAACCAGATGTGAATCATGGGATGAATTTCACAGAAGGAAACAAAGAACAGAGAACCACTAATAACAAAATTGACTGGTTTTGGAATGAAATATCTTATTTCTTATATCTGAAGATTCATTTAATGGTAGGATCTTGTGCATCTAGAGTTGATGATTTACACCATAGTTTTCTGTGGGAAAGCAAGTCACACATCATGTCAGACAGGAAAGGGGGAAAAAATGTGATTGTAAATGTATAGTTTAAAAAGAACACCCCTCCATCCTCCAAACTGCCTAAAAATTTTATTTGGAATGAAATTAAAGATTTAGTGGGTTTTTAGCTTTCACATATTATCACAGCCTTTTTAGGGATAAAATACTGTTATTGACCTTTGAAGAAACAGTAGGTAGCAGGGTATTCTTTATCAGATGATGATGATCGTAAAACGTATTTATGTACTTAATCTATTTTGTCTTTGCCAAAAATAGACATATTTTCAGCAATTCAAATAAGCTCCACTTTTTAAGAAACATAAACAAATACCAGCATAATTTAACTGGAAACATTGTCACATAAAAAATATGTCCACAAGTGAACCAGTGAATGTTTATACGTATACATAATTCTAGTGTTATCCATATCCAGAATGGAAAAAGCCCATTTTTACCTTAATTTTCTATGGCATAAAGAATTCTGTATAAAGTCCATTACCTATAGCTTGGTTTCTAACTTGATCATTGGCGTCTGCTGCAATTGACTCCTTGTTACCTGCCACTCTTCATAAAAAACAAATACAGGTAAGTCCTTAACATACGACTGGTCATTTAATTACCCTTCAAAATTCCAGCAGACACCCCTCCCCCCCAAAGATACTTACAACCCAGTTCCGAAGTTCTAACAGATACACACATGCGTGCCCAGTTACATAATGCATTTTGGGTGCCCGGCATTTATGGCTGTTTGCAGCATCCTGCGGTCACGTGACCACAATTTATGACAAGTTTGTCAAAACCTGGTGTTTATTTCCAGTTTTTGGCAAAAACACCCCATAGTGAACAATGGGTTCACTTGATGATTGTGACATTTGCTTAATAACTAGAGTGGTGGCTTTATGACTACAGCATTTGCTTAATCACCACCACAAAAAAAGGCTGTAAAATTGAGTCAATCATGTCAGTGATTTGCTTTACAATCATCAGGAAGATGATATTTTACATATAATTATCTATACTTCAGATACTTTACAGATATATTTATTATTTCTCAGTAAATATTCAATCTTTAGAATGCCACTTTCTTCAAGGTCTTAAATCATTTGATATAAGGACATATAATTATTTGATATGAGCACACTAGCATAGAATGAATTTCTTTATATATCATATAAAAATGTGTACTATTAAAGTGCAACTTAAGTATGGCATTTGCTATGAATCTGAAACAGATAAATAACTGTACCCATCCACCCAAACGTGCAATGAAAAAAAGAGTTCCTGGGTGTTTTTTTAAGTTAGTGGGAACTGAGATACAAATCAATTTGCATTACTGCTGCAAAAATATTTGGTTGCATAAAATAGATTTAAACAAGCCTAAACTAGATAGAGATTGGGTGCCGTGAAAGTAAAAAAAAAAAAAAAAAGAGCAATTTTCATACCTTAATTACAGAATAAATTATCTTCATATGTGAGATATGAGATAGAATTAAGCTCGTGAATCTAAAACAGAGAAACCTGCCTACAGCAGAAGAAACAAAGTGTGGGGATGCTCATGTGGGCTTCACTGGCATAGTTAGCTTCCCGGTGCATATATATCCTTCCCCCTCTAAGACAGCAATGGGAAATATCTGGTCTATAGGCCATGTCCAAGCCTCCATCCCTCTTTAACAGAACCAAGCAGTGTTTGCAATAAGCTGAACAATCTGAGAGGAGGAATGGCTTAAACCTCACTTTCTTCATAATCCCCCCTCCCTAAGCTGCTCAACACTGGGTAGACTTAAGGAACAAGAAAAAGAGGTCTCATTCCAATTATTAGTTTGTGACAGAAAAAGGATGGGAACAATAATAAATGTAACCTGCATCCCCAGAGGTTTCCCTTGGGACAATGTGATCCATGGATTTATTCACTTTCCTTAGTCTAGCATTGCCATTTCACAGTTGTAATGAACTATTTCTTGTTATTTTGCTGATACACAGAACTATGATACAGCATAATTCAACAAGTGCATGAGCATCAATTCTCAGAATTCTCAGCAAAGGTCTCACTGGCTGGGAAATTCAGGTTTATCAAGGGTAGATCAAGGCCAATGCTATTCTGAAAAATTGTAACATGAAATATTGTACATACACCACACTGTTAAAAAATCTCATTAAATGCACTGCTACTTTAGTGTCACAGTCTGACAACCGAGCACAGCCACATATAACTTTTGGCTGGTAACTAAAGAAATTATTCAGTCAATCTGATTTTAGCCAGGTGAACTCAGGAACATGTATTGTCTTGGTTATACACACACAACACCCTCTACTCCAAAAGCCATGAACATAATTCATAGGGAATCTTATTTCATATACATGTTGAAACTTTAAATGCTTGTCCTTGAGAGATTAGTTTAAGACCTAAAGCCCATTTTCTGTAGATCTAAAATCCATCAAAAATGTATCTCAATAAAAAGAGGAATTTATCCGATTCTAATCCATATTTTACTAATATTCCATTCTAAAATTAAAATCCAAGTTATTCTTGTCAGTGATATTTACTACGGTAAAATTTATTTACTTTCCATTTTGGTAACAGGATTCGGTTACTGTTGTTTACCTAGGTGACAGAAGAAAAATTAGAAAGGAAAAGGGGACTCTTCATCCAGCTCTTGGCAAAGCTCCAAGACTTTCGAGTAACTTGAACATCTAGATAACCAAATGGTAGCAAGCAGAGAGAACACCTGCATGCTCTTTCCACCTAAATTCAAGTCTTTAAGGATAGGTAGTTTCTCAAATGTGGTGCGGCTAAGCCCTAGCTGTCAAGGAACTTCAGCATTAAACCATCTTTTGCAAAATGGTGGCATTTAACAGGTACAGCAGCAGTGTATTGAACTCTTAATATATTTCCGCTATCCACAACATATAAATTCTTCTTCCAATGAGTTTGGCTTGGGTAACAAGTTTAGTAGTTTACGTTTGATCAATGAAGAAGTATCAGCACGAGTTCTAAGATAACTCAGAAAACATCAGTCTCAGAAGAGGCTCTTGAAGCAAGACTTTTTGCCTGCAGCTATATCTTTCACAGAAATTCTGATCAAATTTATTCTGGTCATCAATAAGAACACATTTCTGATATTAAACATAACTGATTTAATGCCAACCAAATGAAGGTCCTCAGAACATGGATGTCTGCAATTCTTCCTTAAACATGCCTTCAAAGTGGAGATCTTTAGCCATGAGTTCTTCCTCAACATCCTCCAGCGCCCACTGATGGTCAGTCAGTTCTAAAGCCTCCCATTCTGTCTGTAATGGCAAAGAAAAAGCACTGATAGGACGAGCAGGAATCACCAAATAGTTATGCTGGCTCTTTTGAAATGTATGGAGAGGTCTTGTTCAATGTCACGTCTTAGGAGTCTAAATTTGAGCAGTTGGGTATAAATCCATGATTAACTTATTAAAAACTGCCTGAACATTTAACCAGCCATCTTCCTAGCCCCGTGGTGGCGAACCTATGGTACGGGTGCCAGAGGCAGCACTCAAAGCCCTCTCTTTGGGCACACATGCCATCACCCCAGTCCTAGGCCGTCAACTTCACCTTTTCACTTTAGGCCTCTGTCGCCGTGTGCAAAAAAAAAAAAAGGTTCAATTAATCAATCAATTTCAACTTCTCGCGGGAAAAAAAAGATTTTGCAAAGTTGGAATTGATTGATCTTTTTAGTCCCACCTAGTCTGCCGTTACCACCGCAGCCACACCCACTCCATGGGCCACACCCACTCAAATGGGCCACGCCCACCTGGCACCTGACAATACATAAGTGGCTTTTGGGTTGCAGTTTGGGCACTCGGTCTCTAAAAGGTTAGCCATCACTGTCCTAGCCAATATGTCAGTTGGTGCCAATGCTTAACATATTATAACCATAGCCACATTTTGCATAACACATCACTTTTATCCCAATAAGATTCATAGGGACTTCTGTGTTGTTTTCTCTCAATAAACACTGAAGTAGCTCTATAGATTATCAAGTAAATTCTTCATATTTCCACTGTGTCCACAACTTAAAACAAATTCAGTCATGTGAGTTTCTGCCCAAACTCTTCAAAGCACTGGTCGAATCTGTTGGTTGCTGCTGGGAATTAACTGAATATTCTGACACATGCTAAGTTCATAAGCAGTTCACGCTAAAGGTCTTTTCACTGATAATACACCAATACATTTCCAAAGAACTTCAGTATAGCTAAAAATACTAGATGTGAATATGGATGTTTAATCTAATAATTGTCTAGAGCAGTGTTTTCCAAAGTATAGTCTGAAGACCTCTGAGGGTCTCCCCCAAGATCCTCTTAGGGGTCTGTGAAATCAAAATTATTTGCCAGCCTATGTTGAAACATAATACTAAAATTCAGCCAGATAATCATGAGATGCAGTAGCAGCAGTGAAAGTGTGAATATTGATAAATATAACCCATGCAAAGGCAGGCCTCTTTGGGATCCTCAATAATTTTTAAAAGTGGGAAAGGGCCCTGAAAGAAAATCTTAAAAAAAACAACCCTATTCTAGAGAATTATTTAGCAAGCATTCCTACCATGAATTCCAGATTAACATGCTCTGCAGCTATTCTTTCTTTAAAAGCATTTCCACTCTACATTCAAGGAAATACTACCTATGGTTTGAAGAACTTATTTCAGAAGTTGAAAAAAAATCTTGTACCTTGAATGCTTTATTAGTATCTGCAGGCATGGCCATGGCTGCTCCTGTCATCTGCTCCTGCATTACTCTGGACTGATCAGCAGCTACAAATATGAAAACAAGTGGATCATTATAGTATGCTCTACACCAAGGATAGGCAACCTTGGCTCTTTTATGACTCGTAGACTTCAACTCCCAGAATTCCTGAGTCAGCATAAAAAAGCCAAGGTTGCCTACCCCTGCTCTACACTAGCATTCTTCAAAATGAAAAAGGTCTTCTGCAGTCACGACATAAGCCTAAGACTGAAAATCAGGCTTGTCAGTTGCTATATTTTTTTTATCCTGCTCTACGGAGTAGAAAGTTGGTTTCTGACAGAAGGCCACCTGAAGAGACTAGAAGCATTTGAAATGTGGATTTACAGGTATCTGTTACGTATAAGCTGGGTTGACAAGATCAGAAATGAGGTGATAAGCCGCCTGGGAAAGCCAAGGGAAATCATCAAAACAATTAAAAAACGAAAATTAGAATATTTTGGACATGTGATGCGACACCCAGAAAAATACAGCATACTCCATTTAATCCTCCAGGGAAAGATTGAAGGCAAATGAGGTCCAGGCAGAAGAAGAACATTGTGGCTCCAAATCTAAGGGATTGGTTCGGACAAAACTCAGGAGCACTTTTTCGTGCAGCTGCTGAAAAAAACAGGATTGCCAACGTCCGATAATGGATATGGCACAAGAAGAAGAAGAAGAAGCTCTACACTAATAGAAAAGACTTTTTGGAAAATGATAAACCACCATTCATTTCTGTAAGTAATGAAATAGCCTTTCAGTGTTTGGCCAATTATGTATAAACAACAGGCTCAGTTTTCTTCAGCATTAAACTGAATATAAAAAGCTTTACACTTAACTAGGGCTAAAAAAATGCATTTTAATTTGCAGCGGATACTAACATGAGCAGTTTGATTTGTAATCGTAACACTAAAATTATTTCAAATAGAGTCAGCAATGAGAAACTTTTTTAGGATAGAAAAATAACAGTTATGAATTCTAAATTGCATAGTATATATGAATCGATTTCTCACAATCCTTTTGAATTAAACCTACAAGCAAGTATTTCCTTGAAGGGATGTAATTTATGCCAGCTCATGACTCATTCAAAAGGTAACAGTAATCTTCTGAGGAAACAGGAGCTACATATGATGCAAATTTTCTCTGGTCTCTTTGTAAAAGTTTTAATTTAAATGTACAGAAAATAACTTACCATTATCTTGGCCAAGAATGAGGGTATAAATGCTTCTAAGTCCAAAGACATTTAGAAAATACCAAGAAGCTGAGCTTACCCTAATAAATCAAAGAAATTGTTATTTAAATAATAAGGGCCCCATGTATAAGATCCAAGAACCGCTTCAAATAAGGTCAAACAATGAAAAACTCTTACCAAGATGCATCCAAAGTAAGCAATTCAATACCCTGTTGTAGCATTGGTTTAAAACGCAACGTCAGAGGAAAGGGGACTTTTGCTGCAAAAAGTTTAAAAACAAGTGTTAGAACTATTCTGTATGGCACCTTGCCATACAGAAAGAGACATATTATGAGAAGGTGCTTAAAACACAACTTTCAATAACTGAAAAACAAAGATAATGGGAAATTGAAAAACAGAAAGGCAAGAAAAGATAAAAAAAATAGAGTTGGCAGAGGAAACGCACAATGTATAAACAACTCCAAAAACAAAGAAAATTAAACTAACAAGTACTGCACATATACTATCAGGAAAAGTGCAAATGAATAGAAGAACAAAGCAGAAGCATTTTGACTAGTGTATAGTATTGGCAAATGAGCACAGCAAGATAAATTGTGTAACATCAATTACTTCCAAAAGAAAAAACAACTTCCCTTATATATACCATGTTGTAAGCCATAAAGCAATCTCAGTGTAAATTACTATTTTTGTTTCAAAGAAGAAAATTAAAGCTAACAAATGATGATTTATCCCAGGCTCCCATAGCCCAAAAAACAGCAACAAAGGTATCATCCAATAAATCAAACCAAAATTTTCACTCAAGCACAAATGCTCCAATTATCATGCTTTGGATTAACTATGTGAAGACTCTAATGTTAGGAAGGGTGGAAAGAAAGAGGAAGACTATCAGCAAGGTGGATGGATTCAGTTACAGTTTGGAACCCTAGATTGACACTCACTTGTGACAAAGCCTGAGAAGGTCATGTTGATCCAACCACCAATTAAAATCATAGGTAATACATTTGTTACATTCCCCTTCATCATATCTGTCAGCATGGTAGGATCTGCAAATGAAAGTTCAGGTGAATATATAACAGTTTGTCTTCACTGCTGGATTTCTGAAAAGCTCTGAATACAAAAACAGAAGGAAACAAAAGATCACCCTGACTTAATCTTCATTTTAATATTTAGCAAGCCAGTGTGGTACAATGATTAAAGTGTTAAGAGTAGTCCACCCTCAACTCATAGGTCACCGGTTGATTTTGGATAAGTTACTCTCAGGACAATCTATCCCACAGATTAAAATTCTTATGTGGGAAAAAGTTAATCGAGGGAGTGCTTAGGTACTCTGTCTTGAGGTCTTGAATGAAAACTAGGATAAAAATCAAATAATTAAATAGTATTTAAATTTGCTTTTTGAGAATGACTGGCCTGCAGGCCTAGCTATAGTCTACTCTTCTTGTAAATATTGTCAATATCTCTTAAAATTTCTCCGGGTACATCAGGCCCAACACTGAAAAGCTTTAGCATCTTTTATAAACAGCCTGTGAATTTATTTCACTAAAATTAATAAGTGGTTTTTCTTTTTTACTTATTTTGATTTTAGCCTAAATTCATTTGGAATTGTTTTAAACTTAATTTGTTTAAAAATAAAGAGTAATGTATGAGTAATCTTAAGATGTACGTACAAACATTAATAGATCTCAGTTGTTCTTTTTAATTGTCTTTCATCCTAAGGACATGAATGAGGCAGTTTCAAAACAGTAAACGGTAGCAGTCTTAATTGTTAGGATCAGAATCTGAAATTGTACAAACTGCTCCAAATTTATCCCATTCAAGAACTTGGAACATGTTATTCTTTCAGAACAATTATACAGAAGTTCAAACAAAAGATAGTTAAGTACATTTGAGCTTCACTTAGCTTTAGTCGCATTCACTACACAGCCAATCCTACAGATTACTTCACTACGCTAAAGAAGAGGCCACAGCGACTCTCTTCTGGAGGTTAGATATCCCTGACATTTACTGTTTAATTCATTTAAATTTTAAACTGATAGGAAAAAAATATGGCCACTGAGATCAGAGCCTCATACCTAAACGATTGTTCAATTAATCAGGACTCAAGTTAATTTCCTGTATGGGTGGAATTCCAGAATGTCAGAAATGTTGTTGATGGAATAGTTCAATTTTGCATCTCCTCCAGAGAGCAGTCTCTGTTAGGCAGGACAATAGAGGCTGCCTGAGAATCAGCAAATCAGAATACCAAACTAGACTATAGCTGGAGTAAGCCACTGTGAAACAAGCCCATTTTAGGTGTCGAACTCGCCACGTCACGTGACGCTACTTTTTTTGCATTGCCGGAGCTGGGGTGGGCGCAGCCTCTGTATGATGCAACTGGCCGGTGGGCTGGCAGTTTGGCACCCCTGATCTAAACCATGGTCTGCGTTTGGCTGATATACAGTAGAAAGCAATCACAATGTAAGTTGCTGAATCGTTCAACCATATTTGTTACTTTAAAGTGTTCTGAGCTCTAGTATTATGTGTTGTTTGAAGAGAGATATATTATGAGTAAAGGGAAACCACTCTTCTTCAGATGATCTTGCAGGATTTTCAAGAACTAAAGCAGAAAGAAAGACTTATCGTGCAAGATATCTAGCTTGTTTTATTTTTCTAAATAAATCAGCCATTGAATTAATAGCTATTTCTAAGACTGAAATAAAACTAAATGTTCCTAATATCATTGATAAAACTATTTCAGGAAGGCTTCTTACATACCTGTCATTGGGGAAGGAGGCACTACCTTTCTTTTAGTTTTCTTAAAGAACCCATCATCGGGATTATTGAAATAATACTTCCGTGTCAGAAATGACTGTAGGAAAAAAAGACAACAGAATGACTAGAATGTGGATGTTAGGGGAAGGTGGTAAAACTATGTTCCAGTATGACAGGAAGAGTGTGTAGATATGCTAACAAAAAATATAAGCCCTTGCTAGAATCAAGAAGTGAAAGACCTGTGAATAAGAAAAACTAGATAAAAAAAATGATAGCTGCAAACATGACAAGGAGAGAAAATGTTATATAACGTGTATATAGAAAAAAGCTACAAAAATTAAGGAATGGTTAATATTAAATGCTGAGATAATACACAGTAATAAAAATTAAAAAGTGGAAGTAGGTGAAAAGGGTAAACAAGGATCTTCCAGGAAAATAAAATAGTAGAAGTGAAAGAAATGCATAAAATAATTGCAAAAAGTCATAGTAAAGCCATAGGAATAGATGGTACAACAGGCAAAATGTTAAAAGAGTGCTCAAAGAGTGGTTGTGTACCTTGCATAACATGGGTATATTAATAGAACCTACATAAAGAAAATATACTTCCAGATGGGAGGGAAGTCTCTTTCTTGATCTGGCCTATCTCACAGGCTGTTTCCTGGACTTAAAGGTCATCTCCATAGTTTTCAACATAACCTTATTGCATTTTTTTTCTCTTTCTTGATACTGATGATGTTATTTGACATTCAGTTTATACACAGCATAAACGAAAAAGCAGCTGATTACATCTTTCAAAATGTATGGTGTTCCCAGTTCTACAGTTAGTAATATATAACTACCTTCTAAACAACCGAAGTACAAAAGGCTGCAGAATCATCCCCGACTTTTGATAGTTCAGCATTTTAAATTAGCAGATGTCAGATGTGATTGCCCTATGGGCCTGGATGTGCATATTAATAATAGAAACATATTACCTTTTAAAGATATTGAAGTATATTTAATCTTCCTGAGAACTGATGTTCTAAGAATAATCTCAAAGCAATCAATATCTTTTTTCTTTAATTACTCAGAATAGAATCGTCCAATTCATTTTATTGCGGTTTAAAAATACGTCCAAATGGAAAAAGGTCACCCTCATTTTCCTTAACGGCCTCTGTGAATCTAAGTCTGGTGTTGATTTTTGACCCTAACCTCAAAAAAGTGTAACCCAAAGCTTATCTCTATCCCTAGTTTAATTGCCACTAGGAATGGGACTTCCCCATGCATTTTAGTGAGGTCCCCAAATAAGTCCAAATGAAAAGCTATCACCCTCACTTTCCATAGAGAACGTCGGTTTTCTGATCTGACTCTAAGGAAGCCTCACCCAAACTCCAACCCTAATCCTAGCACTAGTTTAATTTCCACTGGGGATATAATTTTCCCATGCATTTCACTGAGGTTCAAAATAAGTTTGAATGTAAAACTGTCACCCTCCCTTTCCTAACTCTGATAGCAATAGCATTTAGGCTTATATGCCACCCCACAGCACTTTACAGCACTCTTTGGGCGGTTTACAATGTAGAAGCATTATTTGCCTATTGCCCCCAACAATCTGGGTCATTTCACAGAGCTCAGGAGGATGAAAAGCTCAGTCAACCTTGAGCCCTGTCAGGATTGAACTACAGGCTATGGGCAGAGTTTGCCTGTAATACTGTGTTTTAACCACTGTGCCACCAGTGCAGTTGGTGCAGATGTTGGTATTGGCTCTGATTTCAAGGAAGCCTAATCCTCATCATAAACTGAATCATAATAACTGGAAAAGGGGTTTTCCATGTATTTTCTCAAGGTCCACAAAAGTTCCCAATGAAAAACTGTCATCCTTACTTTCCTTAGAGAACCTCTATGAATCTAACTCTGATGCCAGTTGTCAGACCTTACTAGGAAGCCTAACCCTAACACTGATCCTAATTTTAGTTTAAGTGGGAATGAAAAGCTTTAAGTCCAAATGAAAAGCTGTCACCCTCACTTTTCTTAGATACGCTCTGTACATCTAACGTTGATGTCCCTACTGGCTCTAATTTTAAGGAAGCCTAACCCTAATCCTATTTTAATTTTCCCTGGGAGTGCTTTTTCCCATGCATTTTACTGTGCTCACAAATAAGTCCCAATGAAAAGCTGTGACCCTCACTTTCCTTAAGAGACCCTCTGTGAATAATAATCCTGACGTCAGTTTTTAGCACTGATTTCAGAAGCCTAATCCCAAACGTAATCCCAGTTTAATTAATGGGATTTTCCCAAGCATTTTACTGTAGTCCACAAATAAATCCAAACATAAAAGAGCCACCTACACATACTTGCCAGAGCCTTTGCGAATTTAAGCCTGATGTCAGTTTTTGGCCCCGACTTCAAAGAAGTTTAACTTTAAATTAACTAACCCTAATTTAACTTTCATTGGGAATAGAATTTTTCTATGTGCTTTACTGTGCTCCAAAAATAAATTCAAGGGTGAAGGATGTGAATCAATTGTTATCTTCTCTCATCTGGTTTCTAAATATAAACCCAAGAGGCAGAACTAGCCACATAATGTGGTTATTTTTTGATGCAAGATTTCTGATGATCCAGATGTAGTTTTCACTCCTTGCTGATTGTTAAATATGAAAGGATATGAAAAGCTGGGAGTAAGTATCCAAGGAAGTTCTGACTTTCACTGGACTACTAAGCAACAAGTCTAAAAAAAATAAAACAGTAATAATTCTGGTAATGATATCCAGCTGATTACAACGATGGCTGGAACATTGGCTAATTGAACAGGAACTGGTCAGCTGGAGTTGGATGGATTTCTTATATCATTTGCCACAGGAACCAACCAGATCTGGTTAGTGGCAGATCTGGTTTAGTCAGTCAGGCAAACATACATAATAGCCTTTAATTTCAACACACAGTAATAACAATTTCACAAATAGGAATCTCTTACATACCTGCTTTGGAATGTATTTTCCATTTTCTCTGAGGACTCTACTTCGAATGAGAACTTGGCTGAAATAAAACAAGGCCATTATGTAAAATAAGAAAGAAAACAAGAAATCAGCAAAAAGATGCACTTGTGTTACATTTGGGCAAACCGTGGGAAAATATCTTAATAACATTAACAAGACTATTTTTCATTTACAAAGTAACATCATCTTGAAAATATTAGGGAAATGCATTGAGCAATATTTCACTATCAGTATGTTAGCTGAGAACTATTTAATTCCTTCATGCTGACACCATTATGTCAAACTATGTTTTATATTTACCTTTAAATAATGTCTTCAGGAATTGCATCCTCCATACATAGTAATGTTTTATGCTTAAGATAACACAAGCCTTAAACATCCAAAGTTAGACCTTCACAGTTATGAAACAATCTGCTATTTTATGGAAATCAAATCATATCTAGGTCCTTACTAACATATAAACAGCAATGAAGTTTGGTGCCTGTTCCATTTATTTCATGAATAGCAGTTCAGCTTCCAATAAGCCATTAGGAAATAGGAATTGTTTGCACTTCCTTTAGGTGCAATAATACCTGAGTGCTTCCTATAATTGGTGATTTCTCTCACATACATCACACCATTAGCCAATGGCAACTACGCAGTAATATTTAAGGATTTCCAACATTAATTATCATTTTTAGTTCTACCACAATTTATACCTAGAACTTGACCTGACCATTTCATTGCATTGTACACTTGGTTATATGTTTTGAATCACTGTCTTACTACATGACCTGCTCATGTTTCAGTTTCAGCTGATAAGTAGATGACTTGATAGTCTGCAGAATTCAAAGTTATGAAACAAAACTCATATTTCTTTCAAGGATAACAAATCATCCAGATCCTGAGGTAGCAATATGTCCCCAGTCCATACTATTACTTCCATACTTGAAAACTGATATAATGTTCCTATTGTGGAACATAGAGTTTGTTTTGCACCAGATATAACAAATCCATGTAACAAAATTCAATTTTCCCTTCCAGAAGTCTGGCAGTTCAATCATTTTACATTAACACCCTTCACTATATTTCTTCCATCCATACTTTTCTATTTTGGCAGATTATACCTGTGTTTATTGTGTCCATACTTTGATTTGTATACAGTCAGTCCTCAATTTACAACCATTTGTTTTAATCATGATTCAAAATTATGACAGCTTGGAAAAAGTGACTTACAATCTATATTTGCATTTACCACTGTTGCATCAACCCCACAGTCATGTGACTGCAATTTGAGCGCTTGGCAACTGGCTTACATTAGTTGGGATATCCTATGGTCACCTGATCACTGCAATCTTTTCTGCTGATTTCCAGCAAAATACGCCCATTGGGGAATTTGCAGGATTTGCTTAACATCCACTGCAAAAATTGTTCCAAAATAAGTCCAACTCATGGACTACATGCACTGTATTTTGTTCCTTAAATTTTCATTTTTCTTTTTGTTCAGTCTGCATTAACTCTATCCAAACAGAATTTTATCACTCTTCTCTTTCTATCTCAACTTCATCTTCCTTCAATTATCTGTTTTACCATTGATCTTCAACCACTGTTTATGTGACCAAATCACTTCAATCATGCTTCTTTTGTACTGTCACTCACTTTATATTGAGTCTATATTTATTCAACACCAATACAATCTTGATTTTATCATTTATCTTACTACATACACATCTTAAAAATCTCCATTTCCATTACATTCAATCTATTTGCATATTTCTCTTGGCATGCCAATTACTTTGGCTTTCACTATATTGATTTTCACTGTATTTAACACTGCTATAAATTATTAACGTTCTCAGCCAACAACAGAGTTGTGATGCTGCATTCAAAACTACATGTACATTCACATCTCTACACAATACCTCTCCTAACGGCACCACAATAATCCTTTATACATTTATCAATGTATAAACAAACAATAAAGAGGCTATCATACATCTTTATCTTTCACTGTGATCAGTGTTGAACTCTTCACTAAAATTCTATTTATTCTCATGCAACATGCACTATAATCAATCTACATAGTATATTATTATAATTATTTAAAGAGACACTCATCAACTATTTACCTGTCAGACACTTGTTCCTGAGTAAGCTTTTTATCACTCTGGAGAAGGATGGATACATAGTGACGAATCATCCCCACAAAGAAGGTGATGAAGACTATGGGAAGCACCACCCATAATCGAATATTGGAATCCAACAACAGTTCTGGCTCACTCATTTTTAAGAAGAGTTCTGGTCATGCACACCAGCTTCAATTTTTAATCTCTAAAAGATCACAAATAATGGTATAATAACTGATGAGTCCAAAAGGAGCCAAAAACGAAATTATTATTGCTAACATTTCAGAAACATGTACAAAATTTACATTTAAACAAAAATCTAGAAGAAAAATAACATTTGGGGGATGCCAGGAAAGCTTTAAATTTTATTTTTTCATTTGCCTTATGGAAAACCTCACGCTGGAAATGCTAATCTGACAGCATGGCTTAGATTTGCATAGGAGAGGAGGACGTAAAGAATAAAGTTAAAGAATGAGTAATTAAAAGGTAATTAGTCTCAAGTCCTAGTTTTAACATAAAGAACTCAGTTCTAAAGCAGAAGAAATAAGTCAAAGAAGTCTTTAAACTTGCATTACTGTATGTGTCTTTCCCTTTCCTCGAAGTAATCAGTCCGCGTTCATACACCTAGAACAAAGTACCTGGGGCTTGATCCTCGGTACGTTTTTTAAAAAACAAACAAACATAAGACAAACGGAAATGATTTTATCCCTATTTCTTAAATCAGAACCATCCCACTGTTTGGAGGCCCCCGTCTTTCCAAATACGGAAAATGGGGAGGCTGGAGCCCCAAATTATCTAATCACGCTAAATAAGGACCTTCGGAAACCCGCTTTTCAACACCAACCTGGTCCCCCTTCAGCCTTCCGGGATCAACGACTGACGTCCTCTTAAAGTGCCCGACAAAATGGCTGCTTCCTAACTGGTGAGATCATCACAAAGCGCTCCCGGTAGGCGGTTTGGCGGGAGAGTTCCAAAACTGGAAAGGGGTCGCGCGCCGAAGTTGTGCAGCGACTGTGTTGTACAGTAATTGCTCCTCGCTGGTAAGCAACAAGCAGTCCGCGCGGAAACTGCGATTGTTTGGCTTAGTCGTGGCGGAATGCTTGCTTTAGGAGCCACGCTTCTTTTGGCAGTATCGCAATCAATCGGGGAAGGGAGATGACAGAATGAAGTGACTTGAAAAAGAAAAGCTTCATTCCAGCGGAATTGTTGTTCTCCCCCCTCCCCGGGATCGAAAGGAAAGAATCTAAGATTTCAGCGTGGTTGAAATTAGGCATAAAAGTACCCCCGCAACTCCTACCCAACAAAAAGCCAAAATGTAGGCTCATCATCTTCCAAACAGCCTCCTGGGTGAGAGGGAAACAGTGGAATGGCTGAAAACTTCAACAAGCATTCTGACAGCAACAATTTGTTGTATGGGTACCTGTATTCAACTGTGTTCATGAAAATGTATTTAAGTTATCCTAATCATATATGCCTGCTATAATATACACACTCTGCAGATGATTACAATAGCTCCTTTCAACACTTTTATAATATAATATAATATATAAAAATATATACTAATACATCTTTCAAATGAATTCATTATGCTGCAATGCAATTTTATGTCTATAATTTATTTGTTACACAATTATTTGCAAGATCTTAATATAAAAGCATGTATTTTTCAGCCAGTCTCTAATTTTCACCTAATATTCTTGATTTAGGATACATCAGTACCTGTCATGGCTTCAAAACGGAAATTGTTCAAACCCCGTGCCTACAGTGAAAATCTGATAGAAGAATTACCAAGTATGTAAAGATGAAACCATTCTTATATGAAATCCCTTTGCCAAGAACATTAAGTAAAGGAATGGTATTGCTTTTAGAACTATGAAGAACAGCAACAAGATCAAGCTTTTTCTTCCCACTTGAAATATCTTTTCCTCCACATCATAAGCAATGAATATGAAAAGTTAATTGTAGGCTGTCAGGAAATTTCCAAAACAGTAATATCAAAAATAATTTTTCAAATATCTATTTTATTTATTTACTATAGAATTTATACTGCTCAGTTACAAACATACTGTAGACCCTCAAACATTGTTATTGCAGTTGCAGTGTTTGAGGACATCCATGCTCCATATAGTTTACATCTATATAGCAATAGCACTTAGACTTATATACTGCTTCATAATGCTTTACAGCCCTCTCTAAGCAGTTTACAAAGTCAGCGTATTGCCCCCAACAATCTTGATCCTCATTTTTCTGATCTCAGAAGGATGGCAATCTAAGTCAACTCAACCTTCAGCCAGTCAGAATCGAACTCCTGGCAGTGAGCAGTGAGTTAGCCTGCAGTACTGCATTCTAACCACTGTACCACCACAGTTCTAACCACTGTACCACCTGTTGATGGCTGATTTGTCTAGTGCATTGCTGGCTGTGGAATTCTGGGAGTTGAAGTCCACATGCCTTAAAATTGTCAAGGTTGAAAAACACTGGTCTAGTGCCAGGCTTCTAGAAATTCTCTGGTGTTTTTGGATTTCTTGGTGTAGGATACTCAAAGTTTCCCAGTTGAAATTATGATTAGGTGTGTCCATGTGTTGTGAAATTAAGGAGTTTTCATCATGTCTTCTGATTGCTAATTGTTCATGGATACGATCTGCTAGTCTTCTGCCTGTTTGTCCTACATGGTGGGTTTTGAAGTCCTTACTCTGTATGCTGTACATGACTCCTGTTTTTTTTTTTTCTGGGCTATTGAGTCTTTTAGTTTACTTAGGATATTTCATAGGGCTTTGTGTACTCTGGTGATGCCATGCTATGGTAATAGTCTGTTAGTGGTTTCTGAAATGTTTTGATGTATGGCAGTATTATCTTTTTCACAGCTTGTGTTACTTGTGCTGTATTGGGTTAAGTGGTCAGAGACAATGAAGTTGTATGCATTTCCATTTTGTTAGAAGATATTGTATAAATGATCTGTTTCCTTTTTCTAATGTTCAAGTTGCTGCAATGTATTTGTGCTTATTCTTACAGTTTCTCTTATGGGAGGTTGGGTTATTATTTTCATAGTGGAGCACTTGGTTGCTGTGAGTGATTTTATGACAGACTTGTATTTCTAATTTGTCATTACTGTCTCTGCTTATGAAGATATCCAGGAAGGGTAATGTGTTGTTTTCTTCTTTCCCTAGTGAATTTTATTCTTTTGAAGATGTTGCTGATGGTTTTGCGTGTGTTCTGTAAATGGCGCTTTTTAATTATGGCAAAAGTGTCATCTGTGTACCAGATCCATACTTTGGGTTCTAACATTTGTTAATCAAAAAATATACTACCAGATTCCTGATATTTTGGCACTATAGACTAGCACATCTATCCTTCTATAATGTCCACAATGTGGACTTAATTTGAAAGTATAAACTTCTTGATAAAGTCATGTTTGAGAGTTCTGACAAAAGCAGACCTAGTGTAATAGAGGGTGTAATTCAGGAAAAAAAAATTTTTTTTTCAAGTCCCATTGAGTTTGTTTTAATTCGTTATGCGCATCATGTCCAGCAGTTATGATCACATTATACAGACCTATTCTTAGATGCTTATAAAGCAGAATTATTTTCTTTTCTCTCTTTAGTATCTACAACTGGCCTGTCAGAGTTTTTTACAGCCCCTTGCTTTGCTTTTTCAAGGCAGAGATAACAGAAAATGGGCTAACATTTTTACTTGAATGTTAATTTTTGCATTTAGCTGTTGTGATTCCACATTAATCCCAACGTTCATTTTGCTTATGTTTCCCTATTAGAAACAAAAAGGCCTCGAACCTCTGGAAAGAAAAAGTCTGTTCCACAAGATGATGGTGATATAGAAAGCAATAATGTTTTTGGGCATCTCCTTAAGACTGCAGGGATTACACTGAAATCAGGAGAAAAACAGAATGAAATAGGTATTGTTTGTTGTGCTGTGCTTCTCTGGTAAATGGAGTACTTGTTGAATATGAAAATCTGGGGAAGAGAGGGAAATCCTTTTTCTTTTTCTTTAACACTTGAGTCATGAGCAAGAAGGATTTTATTTGTATCATCAAAATTGATGATAATGATGATGATTAATTTATTTTGTGTTTTTATGTCTTGGACATAATAATATTAAATTTAAATATATTATTTTTTTCCTGATTTATGGCCAAATTTTGACTGCCCTATTACTTTTGGGAAACCCAGTTTATTGGTTCTTCCCAGCATTTCAATTCCTCCCCCCTCCCCCCATTGATCAATATTTCTGGAAATCTTGCAGTTCTTCCTATGTTCAGACATATTTACTGAGAATATTTTTGCAAAGAGAAAAAACATGCTGTACAGTTGTCTTTAATCTGTCACCGTCAATGTCAAAACCTATCCTTCGTTAAAGAAGATGACACTGTCATCTATTTTAATACGATTTTCTGTCCATTGGATTTATTGTATACTATATAAGAATTTGTAAAACACATTTTGGAGACTGCATGGAAGAAACATCAGAAGGGAAAAATTGTTTATGGAGAATCCAGCTTGGATACTTTATATATTTTGCGTTCTTGGCAACTATTAATGAAGCAGAAAGGTTGCAGGCATGTAACAATTTACTGACAGAGGTTTTATGCCTTCTCAACAGTTTTAGCAAAGATAGAAATTCAATAGATGCATTTCTCTTTTAGTTAGAATTGTCATTATTATCTTAGTATGATCTTGTTTATCACCTGCATGACAACCAAATTCAGTGAATCAGAAGAAGAAAAACAAAAACTTCTTCTCTTGCTTGGATGCAAGTTGACATAAGACAGGTCTCCTTGAAAAGTATATAGTTAATATATTTTCTTATATTTCCAGTTTAGGAAATTAAAAAAACACGTTGTTGGATTTCTGCCAGCTATTATGGAGCTGTTTAAAGACAAGGGAAGGTGGCATTTTGGAATAATGTGATGTAGATACGTATTTTTATGTATGATTCTCTTGATACTTTTTTTGTAGCTGTAGATGGAGCAATTTTACAGAAAAAGTTGAATCAAGCCTTAAGAAAACACCCTTCTTATCCACAGGTATGAATCTGATCATATGATATATATTTATTACAGCCCACATAACAAAGAGCTGAAAAGCAATGATGACTTTTATGATTTCTCAGTCTTCCTTTTTTGTGCCCTTTTTTAAAATTAGATTGTTGCAGAGTTCATCAGTGGCTTGGATTCCCACATTGAAAACAGAGATCATTTTAGGAATTGTCTTCTACCATGCATACCCGCACAAAATCAAGAAACAAAGTAAGTGAAAAGAGTTATTTGATGCTTGAAAACTGTCACCCAAATGTTTCATAATTATAGTAGCAATGAAAAATCCCTGGTGATGTACATGAACTTGCTTGGATAGGGATAGGGCTAAAAGTACTAATGAGAACTGATGCACCTTTTAGAGGGCAGACCAAAAGCATATAAGTAAATTCTATAGTACATTGATTGAAAGTGATAAATCTCTTCAATTTTTTTGTTTAACGAATCCAGAGATTATTCCAGTACAAATACATAGTCTTAAATTCACGTTTCCACTTGGCAGTTAGGTTATGCAACCAAACAGCAAATTCTCTAGAATGAATTTGTAACAAGAGTAATGGGTAACTGTCTTTCTCCTCCTTAGTAATGCAGTACATTCATACTGCGAAAGTGTCATTAAATTGCTTCTTGGTATTGAGATGTTGCAGGTATGTTTATCATTTGATTTTCTCATTTTCTCCTGACAATCAAAAGTAAACATCTTAAGTGCCACTTTCAGCCATCTCTTGTGGTTCCCTGTCCTCAGCCACCATGTGCAGTGTGAAAAAAAAAAAGTGGGACTAAAATAGTTCAACCAATCAATTCAAACTTCTCACAAAGTTTGAATTGATTGGTTGAACTTCTTTGGTTTGTGAGACAGATAGAGAAAGAGAGAGGCAGAGAGAGGCAGAGAGAGAGAGAGAGAGAGAGAGAGAGAGAGAGAGAGAGAGAGAGAGAGAGAGGTAAAAAAGGAGATATGCAGTGTTATCTTCATTTTAGATATCAAAAGGGTTTTACGGCTCCCAGTGTTTTGTTTTCAGTGAGAAACGGGTCCAAGTGGTTCTTTGAGTGTTTTGGTTGCCTATCCCTGCCCTAGGGTATTAGATTGAACTTGTGGGAAAGATAAAAGTGGGGAAAATGGAGTTCATATGCAGTCTATTCCCACCTTTCCCACCTTTCTCCAATCATCTGTAATTATTATTCTGCTCTATTTGGTCCGGGGTTACAAGAACTGTACTCTCATTCAGTCCAGTTCAGTATAATTCAGACCCCTACCTGAATCTGTGGAAGAGAGAGGCAAGAGTATACGTTTGTAATATGTTTAATTTCACAATGCTTGTGGGTATACAATATTTTTTGTTGTTCCATTGTCTGTGCAGATATAGATATTGTCTGAAATCGTAGCATGTATTGCTTTTATATCCAACAGATGGCACTGTTTTTCAAAAAAGGATGTTTTTATATACCTATATTATATAGATGTCACACCTGTGACAGGTAAAAACATGCTTTTTTGAAAAACAGTGCCATCCATTCGAATGCAACGTTGTGTCAGAATTTCAAAGCAAACGGTGAAGAACTTTCGGAGATTTAAGATTTTGAACAAACGAACATTTACATTTTTATTTATATAGATTGTGTGTGTGTGTGTGTGTGTGTGTGTGTTTTACAGTCAGAAAATTTATTTGTATCTCTTTATATTTAAAACTAAGTTTATTATAAATATGTATTTGCATTAACTTTTTAATGCTATATTAACTTAGATTCCTCAATATTTGTAACTTGTCTTCTCTAAAATCAAAAGCTATTATATCGTTTTCCTTGTGTACATCTCCAATGTTTTTATGTACCATTTACTGATACTTTAGGAAATTTTTCTTGCATTACTTTGTATAAGATTTTGTACACAATGTAAAAAAGCAATTTTCTCAAATCACTTTTATCTTTTTCTTTTTTGGAAGCCTGCTGTGATAAAACTGTTATTTGAAAAGCTTCCTGAATTTTTTCAAGAAAGGTAAGTAAGTCTGAGGGAGATAACTATGAAACAAACAAACAAACAAACAGAAACAAATAGATACTTTTAAAAGGTATTTAAAGTAGAACATTGTCTATCAGATAACCTCTGTTTTTTATTGTTTTGGAATCCTAAATATGGGATCTGATTTGCCCTGAAGGGGGGAAAAATACAGTAGACTGGTATAAATAATTTGTTTGTAGTCCTAAGCAATACACAATGAAAGATTGATGTTCAGTTTCTTCTGGTATATATACATTATGCTATAAAAGGCCAACCTTACATGCAAAATAAACAAATAGACTGGTGAAATACAATTGACGATTAATTAATTAATTGATATTTATTAATTGACTAGTGTAGATTATTACATGGCTCAAAATTAAAGTGTTAATCTTCCTAATGTTATTTATGTTATGAATGGTGCCTTTATTTCCAGTAAAAAGGCTTAAAGAGATAATGCTAAAAAAAAATGGATCATGTCTAGACAGTTCAACAATTAATAGATTAATATAATCTATATTAGTAATAAGGAAGATATTGTGCTTGATCTCTTCTTCCCTGTTGTGATTCTTTTGTCATTTTTATTTTTCAGTATTGGCAGTGATGGATTAAATTTGCCTCGGCTGATTGTCAATCAATTAAAATGGCTTGACAAGATAGTTGACAACAAGGCAAGATCAAAGAATAAGTTAGAAATTCTTAGGGTTCATTTTAAAATTCAGCTAGTGCTGGATCTTACAATATAATTTATGTTGTGCTACTTGAAATCATGCTGTTGAGGTCCCTGGGTTATAATAAAATATGTATTTATTATGTTTGCTTACTTTGCTTCATTACAGTAGATGAAGTTCATTGCATATATCAGGCTAAGTAATGTAAAATCAGTTTCCTGAAAAATTTTGCAGAATTAAAAAAAATCCTTTTATAGGATCAAAAATGCAGCAGATATGGTCATGGATAATAGTTAGGACCTGTTTATTAGCAAAAATATTTACCAAATTTCTCTTCTGACTAAATTGGAGGAGTAAAATTACATGGTTGTACAGAGAAACAATTTGTGGGGTTCCTAGTAGCAAAATCAAGTTTGTTTGTTTGTTTTTTATTATTATTATTATTACATTTGTTTGCCACCCATCTCGCTTTGAAGCAATTTTATTTATTACATTTATATACCGTTCAGAGTCACTTTGGATAGTGACATGGTTAGAATATAAATTTAATAAAGCTTGATTTTGATTTATAGCAAAATGTTTGCCAACATACTATATAAATAATATATTTCTAGTGCATAATCAGTATCTTAGGTATGTATATATAGCATATATTTCCTGGCTTGTCAGTATTTTAGCTGAGCAGTCACTTGTAGAGAAACTGTTTTCTTGAATTTCTATGACTTCATGCTTTGGTACCTGTAGGATCTTGTTTCAATGATCATGCAGATGGTTTATGTTTCACCTCCATCAATTCAACATGATATTATTACAAGTCTGCCAGAAATTCTGGAAGATTCCCAGCATAGTGAAATTGCCAAGCAACTTAGGTAAATATGATATTACTGTGTTTTAAAAATATTCTTCATGTATTTTTATGGTTTTCTGGCATTTTCCAGCAACACTATGTCATTAAGTATATTATAGGAATTAATAGAGACCATGTCCAAAGTAACTAAGTCAGCAAAAGGCCTGGAAATTTTAATATTTTATTATAATCCATTCCTGCTAAATTTTAAGGGATATCTATTTAGAGAACTGAGACTTTGGAATTATTAGTAAGAACAGTCCAGGAATCAGAAAAATAAGAAAAATCATAACATAAGAAAAAAAAAGGCTCCAACTTCAAGAAATAAAGTCCTATAATGAGCAATTGAAAAAAAACCTATATAATATTGCAGTCTGTGTATTTTGTATCTGTTAAAAGTATTTTTTTTTTTTGCCTATTCTTTAGTTCTTTGTTAAAGGAGAACGTTGGGCTTACAGTTCCAGTCCTAGATGCACTTTCCTGTTTGAATCTTGATATGGAACTTCTGTCTGAGGTATGGAATTTTCTGTCAGGAGTTAAATTTGCTGAAGTTTTGGAATCAGCTAGAATCTAAGATAGCCTTGAATTTTCTAGTTTTTATTCTAAGCCTTTGGGATGAGTTTTTTTTTCCAGTTTTTGAGTTTTCCATTAAAGTTAACTCAACATTTTGGGATAAGTGCAAGCAAGGAATGTAATTCTTTTTCTCATTTTGACATCTGATCAACTTTCTGCTCTCCCAATAGATACGCCAGTCTGTCATGATTTCAGTGTCTGCTGTAAAAGTGGAAGATTTACCCGTAATAGTTAAATTTATTCTTCATTCTATGAAGGCCACTGAAGCAACAGAGGTACAGTATCTATCCTAACCATCAAAGATGCTCCATTTGAATATTATATTTTTGGAATAAATAGTGAAATAAATATTGGAAAACGGCTTTATTTTTACGTATGAATGACAGAGGTTCCAATATTGATTCACCTCTGAAACTTTTAATACTGGCATCATTTCAGATTATTTAAATCTTCCTTTTTTCTTACCTAGGCAGGTAAGCAAATGCCTTGAGCTTGATTTGGTTCAGTTTGGTTCCTAATTTGTTACAATGGGCTCTGCGCAACTGCTTATCCTATCACCTGTAAACAGCATTAAAATAACTAAGAATAAACCAGATAAATTATAAAACGTACTTAGTAAAATATTCCTATGTCAATGATTCATCTAATGTCTTATAATCTTAAAATGGCTTATAAGCTTATAATGCAGAAAGAATCACTTTGGTTTCCACTTCTCCTCAAAGGCCTGCTAAAGTAACAAGGCTCTGATTGTCTTCCCCATGCTGGGTCAGGTTAAATTTGAGGAGGGGGATTGCTGTTGCAGGAAAGGGGCCAATATTTATAAACGTTGTTGATGATTTTTTTAAAGAGGGGTACCTGGAGAGAACCTGTTCTTCCTAATCACGCAGTAGAATTTACTGGGAGTTGCTTTAAATCTGAGGAAGGATATTTTTAACTTGAAATGTTTACAATCTGAAATACTTACAAGACTGGAGTTTAATAAAGCAGTGTTTTAACATGACAGTACTGGACTAGGAGCAGGAAGACCCAGGTTTTACTCCACCCACAGTCACAAAGCTTGCTGGGTGGCTTTGAGCAGTTATTCCATCTCTCCCAACCCACGTTATAGGGTTGTTGCAGGGGAAAAAAATAGGAGAAGGGAGCACCATGAATATTGCTCCTCTTTAAAAGGCGGGATATATACCCAATAAACAATATGTGGAACAGTAGAAGGAAATAATACATTAAGTATTGCAGAAACAAAATTCTGGCCAGTTTTCTTTATCAAAGAAGACATACTATACCATTTTCCTATTTTTAATTTGGTTGTCATTGGCATAGAATATGGAATATATATTAATTGGTGTTATAAAATATGTTAAAAACTGCATATAAAAAATACTTCATTGCAGTCTTTGTACGCTGTTCCCTTTTCTCCTCTTCCTTTTTCTCATTTTCCCTAGTAATTGTCTTGAATACATTGCTGTTGCCCAAATTAGTTTGAATGAAAATTACTGTCATGCAGGTAATCTCTGATCTTCGTAAGAAGCTGAATCTGGAATCCTGTGCCGCCCTTCCAAGTATCCAGGCTTCTCAAAGCAGACTCAGCAGCCAGGCACAGTCAAGGTCTGTACATAATATCAATATCCTTTTATGTTAGCCTTATTCAATGACTCTTTGTGCCAATATCTTGAGCCAATAAAATAAGGTAAATCCAACAACTATCATAACACATTGTTCAAAAAAATTAACTCAAAAGCCTTACCCTTACCAAACCATTATTTTAATACTGTTAATGCTGGTGTTAATGTTGTTTGAATCTGTTCTTGTGCTTCTTTTCAGTCTATCCGCAAGCCAAATGAGTATTAACAAGGATTCTTTCAAGCTCCTTTTTGACGTATTAAAGTCGGCTCTTAAATTTCAGAAGTTTGTATTAGAAGGTTGGATTAAGGTTAAATTTTTTTCCCTATTTATTTGCCTTTTGCCATGCTCTCTCTTTTACACAAACTTTTATAAAGCTATCTTGTGTTTTATGTGTTTTATGTAGGGTTCCTCTTTCTTATAAAACTGGCACTAAATGTGGTTCTCTATCTTTAGTGTTGTGCTCCATTTTTCTGAGTTTTCCATGATGCACAAATGCCAATAGTTGAAACTGGAACCTATTATAAGCAAAACATGCCTTTTTGACACTTTAGAGTGCATTTGTAAGATTTTTACTAAAAATTATCCCATCTTTCTCAAATATATGCAGAATTTAATATAATTCTGGCAATTAGCGCAGATCTGTTCTGCTGAAGAGTTCTGAGAGTTTATTTATGTATGTTATGTAAGCAGTTATTGAACTTCATAATGTGCATAATCCATCCTTCTTCTAGGCTATTGAGAATATTCCTTCTGCCTCTGATCATAAGGTAATCCTATTTAGATTCTGCACTAGCTATTTTCCTCTTAGTCTTTGTGGGCCTCTTATTGCTTGAGACTCTTAATTTTTAAAGACCCTTGCCATTGTTTACCTACTTTTTTATTTTGGATTTAATATTTGCATAATTAACTTAGCACTTTTGTTTTTTAAAAGATTCTGGATATGATAATGCTGTTAATTATCTATGCTACAAATACCAAAAACAAGAAGCAAATTGAGAGATTGTTGAAGAGTAAGATTCAGTCAGGTTGTTTGCGAGAGCAGTTGCTGCAGAACACCTTCCGATATCACTCACTGGTAGGTCCTTTGCTATGATACAATTCAGCACATTGGATGGGTTTTCTTATTTTTCTTTCTAGACTAAATATTGCAAAGATTCTTCTTTGTTGGACCACGCACCTGATTATTTTCTCCACATGTTTATAAATACTGTACTGCCATAAATCATTAATCAGATAATGTATGGAGAAAGCCACACCATTTGGGGGATTATGACAAGTTCGGATGGTGAAATGACTTTCTGCTTTCTCCATAAATATCCTGTTCTCCTGAAGAAAATAATGGGCATCCTTATCTTAGGATTCAGTATATTGTTAGCTCCCATAAAAGCAGAAATAGAATATTGTTCATCATCTCAAATGGATGAATTAATAGCAGCAGTCAGATGTTTAACTGCAAGATTGAATCTGGATCGGTCCCAGGGACCAGAGATTTACTCTTCCAAACTTTCAGACTCAGGCTGGAGACCATCCTCAGGGAACTTGTTTAACTGATTTTATGTTGTTAGTACATTTTAGAATACTGTAAATATGATCAGCCATAGGCATTGGAAGGACAAAGATGCATTTTTGAAGCCGTTTTATGTTTTCAGGTTATGAGAGATCTTTTCCCAGCCATCTTGTCAGTTGCTGAGAGCTTTGTGAATTCAGCAGATCCTTGTGTTGTCTCCTTTGGTAGCTGCATGTACAAGCAAGCATTCACAGCTTTTGATTCTTACTGCCAGCAGGTACAAAAGATACATATATTTGCGACATGCATTTTTATTATGTTCATTTTTTATACATAAGCAGTTTTGAATAACTCATTTGGAGAGGAAAAGGGAGTAGCAATTAGTTAAATAAGAAATAAATAATGTGTGTGTGTGTGTGTGTGTGTGTGTGTTTGTAAAGTTTTGTGCACATTTCTTTCAAAGTAATATTTCTGGCTGTAATACAATAATTTTTCTCTGCCAAGTTCATACATTACCTTTTATTATTTATTACTTTGAGATTGATCAGTTTTGTGTAAGCTTGACTTTTCCCTTTCGCTTAACTAATTTACTTTTCCCTCATTTACTTTGGGATTCAGTCCTTAATCTTTCTGCCTATCTGACCACATTACCTCAATGTGCTTTGTACTACTTATCACTCACTGGAACCTGGAAGTTTATTTAAGAAAGACTTTTCAACCATTCCTTACCAACTTCAACCCTAGCAGGCAAATGATTTTTTTTTTAATTAAAGCAAAGCATTTACATACTTGTAAATTTTTCTTTCCTACTTTGCTTCTGTGCAGGAGATTGTGGGTGCCTTGGTTACTCATGTATGTGGTGGCAATAAGGTTGAAGTGGATGTTTCTCTGGATACATTAACTGATCTTGTGTCTGTCCATACCTCATCAGTTGTTCCTTACGTTGTCTTTCTGAAGGTAAGTAGAGTTCAGCTCTGGAAGTTTTGATTCAGGTATATTTAACTAATTTCTCTGCAGAGTTAGAAATTGGAATTTTTGTGAAAAGACAAAATAAACATATTTAAAAATAGCATTTTTTATTCTTTCATATACCAAAGTATTTTTAATTCTGTCTAGTTTGTGATAGCCTCCGACAAATAAGCATATAATCCCTTTTAGCTGTCAAATATTATTGCATATTTCTCACTGAAGGAAAAAAGAAAAGAGACTGATTAAATAAAATTGGGGAATTAATTTAATAGTGGAAGATATATGAGATTCTTTGAAGAGCGAGGATTTATTTTTTTTCTTATTAGAATCCTTGTGGCCGATTGACTTATTTTTCAGAGCAAAGATTTATATCAATATAGGCATATTTGGTCTCTAAAATAATTCTGAGTATGCATTTTTGCCACCAAAACATTAAGATGGATTTTCTGGATCAGAGCACTTAATTATTGGAAGAATCTCATAACCAGCTGATACTAAACTAGCTGTGGCAAGAAGGCCTTTGGTCCATCTTTTACTTGCCTGTGTGACACAAAGAAATCTCATAGGAGTGTTCCAATTTATCTTACTTGCTTGATGTACTCATGATATCCTAGAGAGGTGAGCGTGAACTTTAATTTCAGAGCATCTTGGACTATATGGATAATCTTGGTCCACAGCAAATCCGGAAGCTATTTCACATCCTCAGCATACTGGCATTTAGCCAGGGGCATAGAAACAGCCACATCCAGGTGAGTGGACCACTGATAGCTGACATTAGCCTCACAAGGTAAACCAGATTAAGAAGCCAATGCCATATAGATCAGGACTATTTTTATTGTAAACTATAAAAACAGAACTTTGCAAATTTGAATGTTCTTTTGTCCCCTCCTTCACTTTATCTTCCTGTAAACTAGGAAGGGACTGGTCTGAGTCGTTTTCTCAAATTATCTTGTTGACCTGGGGCTCAAGTCTGGCAATCTAAATATTGCATTGATAGTGGCTTTTCCTTCAAGATCATTCCCTATGTCCTCTACATCTGAAGACGTTGGGGCTGGTTCTCTATTCAGTTTTAAATGTCTAGATGCCATTGGCAGAAAGATTTCATGCATAGTGGGTGTAAAATAGTTACTCAAAATTTGGTGAATGTTGCTAATAATTCTCAACTAATATTTCTTTTTTCACATGTCAGTATTTTTATTTATTTATTTATTTATTTATGAGACTTATATACCGCTTTAAGTGCAAGCACTCTCTAAGCGGTGTACACCAGTAAGCAATGTATATATATATTTACATTGCCCCCAACAATCTGGGTCCTCATTTTACCTACCTCGGAAGGATGGAAGGCTGAGTCAACCTTGAGCCGGTGAGATTTGAACCGCTGACCTGCTGAACACAGTCAGCTAAAGTGGCCTGTAGTACTGCACTCTAACTGCTGTGCCACCTCGGCTTTTTGTACATTTTTGTAAATTCATTAAAAAATTGGAGCCATGTATGAATCTAGATGTTTTCCAAATTCAGTATAACATATGAAATTGAATGCTAAGTTGCCTAAATAACCAAAGTAAAATTTAGTTCATTATTTGAGAATCATTGGGAAATCATAAATTTCTATATGAATGCATTGCCTGTCAGATATTTTTGCTTGCTTTAATTTCATTCTTAATTCTAAAATTTGCAAATGCATTTTACATTCAAAGAATAATCACCAACTATTAAAGCATTGTTTACTGTTGCACTGAATCCCAAGGGGGAAAATTGTAATTTTAAAATATCTCTCAGTTTATAGAACAGAATAGTATTATTTCTTTTTTGTATGCTTTGATAGTTCTGTGCTACTACTGTTCTTTAGGCATTGCTTACAATTCAGGAGAAGTAGATTTATCTCACATTTCTGGATGTCAGTTTTATAATACTTAGTTTCCTTTCCACCCAGGATGATATGCACATGGTGATTAGAAAGCAGCTCTCAAGTACTATCCCTAAGTATAAACGTATTGGGATTATTGGAGCAGTTACCATGGTCGGCAGTATGGCAGCCAAGAGGTGAGCAAGCAAGTATCACATGATGATGACAGGACAAATATAGATGAACTGCAGATCATTACATAACAGTGGGTTAAACTTATAAAAAGGGTTAGAATTATAAAAAATTTGAAAGTAAAGTGAATAATGAACAGTATCAGCGAAGGAAGAATATAAGGGCTTTATTGCATTCGTTTTGAACTCCTCAGCACATCAACAATGTTCCAGTAATTCTCTGGTTCAGACTAAGAAACTATATGTGAAGGTTTGACTGCATCAGACATCCTTAATTAATATCATACCTAATTTCAGGAGCAAAGAAAATGGAAAACTGCTGGAAAGGGAACAGCTGAGCAAGGAACAACACAGACAGGCAAGTTCTGTTGTTTCTATGTAGCAGATTTTTAGTGCTACCAGGGGAATATAAAATTATTCTTTTTTCCTAGCTTTAATGAGGAAAAGTAGTTGGAGAAGGATTTATCCCCCATTTTTTTCTTCTTCTATTTTTTTGTACTGCAGATATGGGCAACTCATTGGCCATGTCCATAGAGATTCAGCCCTATGTTTCCATCCCCCAGGGCTCCCTTAGACTTCATTGCTGAAATTTTGAGGGCAAAACAGTTTTCCTGACTTGTCGCAGCTTGTACAAATAATAACTATGATTCAGAATTACATGGAAACTGGATTATTATCTTGTGGAAGGGTCATCAGTATAAATTTGAGAGCAGATGAGTGGGAGTTTTCAGAGAAGCCCAGATATTGTTGAAGAAAGCACAGGAGACCTTAAATCATTTAAGAAATAATTTCTCCACCTGGCTGATCATATGTTCAAAAGAAAACTTGTGTTGAGTAAAAGAGATGAGGGAGGGGCTGTGCCTTCAACTGCCTAAATCTGCCGTTTTCTTCGCAAGATTTTCAGAAATGCCCTTGCTTTCTTGCTTAGGGCTGAAATAGATTGGTCTGGCCCAAAGATCACCCAGCTGGCTTCATGCTTAAGACAAGACGTTTGCTTTCTAGCCTGGCGCCTTAATTATTATACCAACTAGCTCCCTTATAGGTACATTTACAGGCATCACAATTCACCTTTGATATTATTACATGAGGCATCAGTCAAATCCTGGGACTCATTGCAGTGAATCTTCAATCTGCCTGTCAGAGAAGCTGTGGATATTGATGTATTGATGATGTTACACGGCTTGGTAATGAAATGTCTGCAAGAAAACCACCAAGCTCAGAGTTATCAAGGGTCCAGCAATACAGATCTATTGGCAGACCAGCCTTAGTCTGACATAAAATTTACGCAGTGCTATTAACCTGGAATGTAGACCTATTTAGAGGTGTTTTTTTAATGAACTATTGAAATATCACTCCTTGTTGAATTAACAGGATTGGGATAGTAAAAATAGTCTATTTTTAAAAAATTAAAACACTTTTTAGAGTCAAATTTAAAATAAAGCCTATTCTTCTTTCTGGGTCTAATGGTCTATGATTGCTTGGAAAGGCAACTGCCTAAGGACATGCTGATACAGAGTATTTTCCATTTGCCTGATGTTGTTTTAGGTAATCTGGAATGCTGCTCACAGTATATTGTTTGAATCTCTGTCGTTGTAGGAGAAGAGCAGGCTGAGGTGAAAGCTGGAGTTAAATGTGCCATCAGTTTGGAGTCATTGCGTTGCCTCAAGAAACCCAAATCCAGCCCTCTGAATTCCATTGATCCTTATCTAGCACCAATTTGGCTTTGACCGTTATTGATTAGATTATTGTGTATAGATAGCAATAATAAACTCTTCTGTGCTTTGAACTCAAGGAATATTCCTGGTTATTTGTGCCTGACCTTCAGGTGCCTAAAAGCAAGTGCTCTTCTTTTTTTTCCTTTCTCCCTCTGCAGATTATAACATTGCTGGAGCTTGTATTCTCCTGTTGTGGGCAGGTTCCTCATGCCTTGGCTTTGTACTATGATGAACTTGCCAACTTAATTCAGAAAGGAAGTATGGATTTGCAGATCCTGGTAGGATACAGAGTTCTGGGCTTATAGCCTTTCCCTTATTACATTGCATAACTATGGCCAACTCTTAAAGCAGCTTCTTTCTTTCTTTCTTTCTTTCTTTCTTTCTTTCTTTCTTTCTTTCTTTCTTTCTTTCTTTCTTTCTTTCTTTCTTTTTTCAAGCTTATGGAATCTTTTGAAAAGTTTTTGAAGCATGCGGAGCTATTGATTAGATATAATTTGGTATTTTCCACCTTTTATCATGTGAAAAATTACTACAGCAATTTTTGCAAGAGTACTTTGCATCCCCATTTGGAATTGTATAAACTTGCCATAAGGCGCATTCAGTACTATAAATCTGAAGAAAATAACTAATCTCTCCATTGTTCTCCAACTCCAATTAATTTGCCACTGGAATTGTTGTTGTTTTTTTTCTTTTTCCCTTAAGGCCTGGATTAAGGACTATGTGGTCCAAGACTTTGAGAACGATTTTGTCACAGATCTTCTCCAGATAGAGGATAGGTATTTTCCAGAAGTACTATCATCTCTCCTAAAAATAATTAAATTTGATGTTTTATATTGAGCTTTACTGTTGACATTGGATTTCTTTCCAGCACTTTCCCATTCCCACTGAAAGCTCTATATGGCTTAGAAGATGGTGAAAGTGAGGGGGGTATTGCTGTTAACTTGCTGCCCCTGTTGTCCCAGAGCTTTTCCATGAACCTGGATGTAACAGCTGCGGAAAGCAAGGACAAAAGGTTAGTGTTGCCTCCCTTTTTTTACTCAGCTGAAGTGCTAGCAGAGTTTTCTTGGAGCAGATGCTGTTTAAATCTAAATTAGATCCTTGTATCCAGCATAGTTTAGAAACTGCAGTCTCAATACATTTGGACAGGGCATGCTTGGGTGTGCAAGAATGTTAATGGAAAATCCTCTTATGAAAACCAAAAGTATTGTATGTATTTTCCAAAATTATCACATGTTAAGTGAATAAAGAAAAAGCAATAGTCATTTTGCTCAATGCTTTGGAAATTGGAAATGCGGTGGGGGAAAAGGATTGCGATCACCCCGTACACCTTCCGAAAGCGGGTTCCAGTCCTTCGGGTTTGGCTGTGTAGACTGATTGACAGCAGCATTCTAGACTTTCATGTGAAATTCTACCCTAAAGATGCTATGCTTTTGTCCTCTTTTGCCATAAGCATGGCATTTCTCAGTTAATTTTGTTTGGTTGCTACTGTTTGATAAATACTATAATTTGTGGGTAGATTTTTCCTTCTTGTCAGATTCTTGCAATTCCTGTTTCTGCGCATGTCTTAAAAGTGGAGGTTTGCTGATGTGAGGAAGTACTTCTCAAATGTTTCATCTCATGAGACTGTAATCTAGTTGATCTCTTGAGCCATCTGTAGGGTCTCCCCAAAATTAGAGTTTGATGTCAGTTTTCGAATTGGAACATTGACAATTACACCTGTTTCTCTTTCCCATTTATGGCTCTTATGAAATCCAAATCACTCTGCCATCTCCAGGGCTTTGGATGAAAGGAGTTTTTGTAAACTTACATTTCAGCTCTCCCTTCCCCAAAGTTATATTGTGTGTAACTTATCTGATAGGCAAAACTTCGGAGAAGTCTGTAGGACTTTGGCCCCTTGGTATATATCAATGAATTATTATAGTCTCTCTGTAGCCCCATTTTCCAAACTCTATAAAATTGCTATAATGACTTCCCACCACCTGCCCATCTGGATCTCACATTACTTGAGGCTGGCTACTGCTTTAAGCCTAACACAACTATTTTTTTCTGGCTTCCCCTGCCCTGTCCCTCCAGTCAGCCAAGTTTTCTCCTACCAGCCATGTTTCCTGACACTTTTGGTAAACAGCAATAAAAGTTAAGTTGTATGTGCTGTTGACGATTTTGAGACCTACACAGCTCTGGAAGAAGTACTCTTTTATATCAATTGCATGACTGCTGACTGAGGGCACAGGAATATAGGTGCAATACTCTGGAGACTAGTCACAAAGCAAATTCAGTCCTTCTGCAGACCAAGTTGCACGTGTTCCAAAGTAAGGCTTTTTTTTTTCCTGTATTCAGCACCACAGCCATGCTGTCATTTCACAATGTTTCTCTCTTTTCACCTCTCAGGCTAGTGTCTCCAGTGTGCTTGTCACCCTTCTTCCGATTGCTGAGGCTCTGCATGTCAGAACTGAATAAAGGGAATATGGAGGACATTGATGCTTTATTAGGTATAGGATGTAAACAGTTACCTCTGTCTAATTTAACCCATTTTTATTTGGAATATTATAGATGGGATATTGATGCAGAAGAACGAGTGCTAAAACTGATGCTCATCATTTATCTAATTTGTTCAAGTTTAAGCATTACCATCTGCTACACTGAAATATAATCTACAATGTGTATTTGTTTATTTAATATATTTCTATAATGTTGCTAGAAACACATTTTGAAGCAGCTTACAACATGGCTGTAATGTAACAGCCAACAGAAAACAAAACTTACTCATTAGAAAATAGGGAGAAAAGGAAACAGAAACAAAACAGAAACCATTCATCCAAACTTCATTTCAGGAAAATGTATGAAAAAGATTGATTAACAATTAAGCGAATGAACTTAATTATGAGTGAATTTCTTTTACTGTATTCTATTACAGTATGCCCTTTATATCTGACCAGCTTGGAGGTGACAGAAAAAATAGAGTCTTTGTCAAAGCAAGAACGCGAGTTCCTTTGTTCGCTCTTATTTCATGCGGTGAACTGGTTTCGTGAGGTAAGCAGGGCTTCAGAAGGTGCACTTTTTCATAGTGCTGACACTTTATTTATTTATTTATTTATGAGACTTATATACCGCTTTAAGTGCAAGCACTCTCTAAGCGGTGTACACCAGTAAGCAATGTATATATATATTTACATTGCCCCCAACAATCTGGGTCCTCATTTTACCTACCCTGGAAGGATGGAAGGCTGAGTCAACCTTGAGCCGGTGAGATTTGAACCGCTGACCTACTTTCCCGAATAATAGGCCAGATGTCTGTTTGATAATCATAGTCTTTCCTAAAGTATAATAAGAATCTTTCATTTTGAGAGTTTTTCCCAAAAGGAGAGACTTAGCATAGCTAAATATAGTATTTTTTTCCTAATTACTCTTGTTATTGCATGTTCATGAATAAAAATATTTGAATCTTAGGTTTGTAAGTATACAAATATTAATTTCCTTACATACACTTCTTTCCATATAAACACTGTTGTATCAGTAAAAGTAGAAAAATATTTTCTTATCTTTCTCTTTCCTGTTTTTGCCCTTAATGGCTGGCGCTACTTCTGAAAATATTTTAAATGTCGGATTATAGGTAGTCCTCACTAACCACCACAACGGATCCCAAAATGTCTGTTGTTGTGCAATTGTGCAATTGTTAACTGAGTTTTGCCCCACTTTACAACCTTTTTGCCACAGTTGTTAAGCAAATCATTGCAGTTGTTAAATGAATCATGGTTCTTAAGCAAATCTGGCTCTCCACATTGACTTTGCTTGTTGAAAGCCAAAAGTTACAAATGGTAATCATATGGCCAGAGGACAATGCGACTGTCATAAATACGTGCCAGTTGCCAAGCACAAAAATTTCGGACACATGACCATGGGACACGGTTATAAGTGTGAAAAATGATCTTAAGTCTCTTTTTTTTCAGTGCTGTTGTAACTTTGAATGGTCACTAAATAAATGGTAATAAGTCGAGGACTACCTGTACTGCTTAATTCACTATTGTTATGTGTAATAGTTAGGGGTGGGTGGGAAATATGGAATTCTTAAGACTGGAAATTGCCCTTTTGGTGGATAGAATATAAAGATGAATATTGATAATTTATTACTTAAAATATTGACAGGCTTGTTTTATTTATTTCTCTATTTGTTAAAGGATTTATAAGAATGCCTAAGTCATAATGGATGATTCTTGGGCATTGTGTACCAATAGAAAACCGATACAAAAAACACAAGCATACATATATAACTAAGACTAGAAATAATAGTCACTGCTTCCTACTAAAGTTTGTGATCAACTTATTTTTACCAGGGGCCAATATTTGGAACTAAGTTAAGGTTTGAAGAATAGTATTTTTATTATACTGTATATTGAAAAATCATAACAGTTTGGGAACTGTCAAAAAAAATAAATTGGTAGTAGTTGGTAAGAAAAGTCTCTAACCTGATCTTATGAATTTGTCTCTCGAGGTTGTAAATGCTTTCTGCCGAGAAGAAGAACCTAGTATAAAAGGAAAAGTTTTGACTCGGTTACAGAACATTACCGAGCTACAGTGTATTCTAGAAAAATGCTTAGCAGGTAATCTTGCATGAAATAAAGGTGTAAAAGGGGTGTGGGCAGAAATAACATCCAATTTATGCGGGTTGTTTTAAGACAATAGGAAACTTAAACTTGAAGAATAAATGTGAAAAAGGCAGGGAAAGAATACTATTCTAATTTTCTTAGGGCTAGATGATTGAATGTAAAGTCCCTATATAGAAAGTATGTATGTGGATTAATGTGTTAAATATGTCTACCTTTAAATATGTCTACAGTTAACATATGATGAAGCGGAGATATATGTTTTAAATGTTTCAAGTAGTTCTCTGGAAAAGATGTAAGTGATTAATGTTTTCAGTCAGAATACCCTGATTTCCTTACAGGAATGGAATATATTTATAAGAACTATGTGTTATAATCCTTGCTTATGACCACTCGTTCAGCATCTGTTCAAAGTTGTGACATTGCTGAATGAGTGGTACTTGCAAAGTACCATCTGGGGCATCACCCCCTCCAGTCATGTGATTGCAGTTCAGCTGTTTGGCAGCTAGCTCTCATGACAGCTGCAGCATCCTGCAGTCACACAATCGCTATTTGCAACCTTTCCTGCTGGCTTCCCACAAGCAAAATCAATGAAGAAACCGGCAGGGAAGGTCACCAGTCGCTCTGGTAAGTCTCCCCTTAGTCTCTATGCAGTTGTGTGGCATGGCACAGTGCTTCCTCCAGTCTCCCTGCACTTGCACAGCCCTGCACCCTGCTTCCCCTGGCCTTGCTGTGCTCCTGCACAGCCTGTGCCTGGCCTCCCCCACCCCCCACTCCTCCATGGTACTTCCCCACAGCACCCCCGTGCCCCTTACAGGGACTCTTATTGCTTCCCACTTAACCCGTGCATCTTGGGGTTATGATGACAACTGGAACTGTTGTTATGTCATGCAATCGCGTGACAGTTAATGAAGGCAATCCATTCCAATTGCCATTGTAACCCAAGGATTACTGTGCAGGTATTCCTCAACTTAAAACCATTTGTTTGGCAGCTCTTTGAAGTCAAAATGGCAAAGAAAGAAATGGCTTATGACCGGTCATCACACTTAGAACCATGGCGGCATCCCCACAGTAATGTGATCAAAATTCAGGCACTTGACAACTGGCATATTTACAATGGTTGCAGCATCCTGGGATCACGTAATTGCCATTTCGGATCTTCCCAGCTTGATTTCTAACGAGCAAAGTCAATAGGGGAAGCCAGATTTGCTTAACTATTGCATAGTTCACTTAATAACTGCAGTTATTCATTTAAATCATTGCAAAAAAAAAAAGGTCATAAAATCGGGCATGATTCACTTAACAACCACCTTATTTAGCAATGGAAATTCTGGTCCCAATTGTGGTAATAAGTCAAGGACAATCTGTATAAGAAACTTAATCGAGTTACTTGGATTGTTTTACTCTGGTTTTTCAGCAAGCCCTGGATATGCTCCTCCTCTTGCTAACTTTGATTCTGAGACCTTGGAAGCTGTTCCTGTCCTCAATACTACCTCTGTTATTAAAAAAAAGAACAAAGGTACCACATACAATTCATAAACTGTTGTTTCGGCTAAAATGTAAAAAAAAATCAGATAAACTTAATGGCTGAGCAAGAATTATAGTTAAATTCTACTTGAATTAAAGCTTTTTTATATATTATTTCTGTTTGTTAATAGCTGCAATACTAAATCATCTGCTTTAAGTGGTCAGTCAAGCTAATTTAATTTCATTTACTGTTTTCTCTATGATTCAAAGTAGCTTCAGAAATATAACATGAATATACATTTCCCCCCTCCCCCAAGTTGTGTTTGTACAACTATCAAACTGCTCAACAAAATCACTTTTTAGGCATCAGCAGTACAGGAGACAGGATAGCTAGGGCAGTTGTTTAGCAGCCTTTTTTAAAATCTTCCCAAGGGCAGCAAAGTTTTGTGACAATTCTGGCCACTTATTTTTTTTTTCTTCCAGAGACATTTAGAATCCAACATAATACCCATAATAAGCAGTAGCAGGAACGTGTCTAGAAAAATGAATGTGGTTTTCCTAGTCCATGAGATTATTGTATAAAGTACTAGTTTATTCATGTGGAAAAAGAACATGCCTACATGTGGGCAGAAACAATAAATATTGACCATTGTCCATTTTATCTATTGTTTGGAATGAAGTCTATCATTGCCTAAGCTCAGTCAAAAGTTACATTTAGCAGACTTTATTTGAAATATGTGAAATCCGCTAAACTGCTGTGTTAATGCAAGGAGTTAGACTTCAGATATAGTATAATATATTTTTCCTTAGAAGTTTTCTATTTATTTTAATCAGCTATGAAACTGGCTTTCCTTTGTTGTTGGAACCTTTTGCTTTTTTTAGGACAAAAAAAAGTAAAATCAGATAGCAAAAACAGCTTTGGAGATAATTCACAACTGGATGAGAACTCGGACATAATTCAAGCAGAAGCTGAGACAAGTCAACAAGAAAAATCTGTATGTGTCTTATTGAAAATACATTGAATTTATAACGTGGAATGTTTTAGGTCTCTTTCTAGAAGTCTGAGGTTAATATATCCATGTATATATCTTTTATGAAAATATAATAAGCCAGAAGATCTGCAGAAAGTTGTTCAAGAAACTTTTGTTGTACAAGCAGAATAATGGGATCTTCTCAGTTGGCAGTGAGATTGGATAGAAATCGGAGTAATATACTTTCAGATTCTTGGTAACCACTGTAGTGATCATTTGCCTGAAACTGAATCATTGCACATAGTTTAATCTTATTTATGTGCGCACATGTATAGATCATCCCAGTGATGAAAATAAAAGACGAGCTGAAAAGTTCAGCTCTCAGAGTCTTTGATTTTTTTTTCATCCAGTTCATTTGATCAGAACATCTTTAGTGATTATTGAAGAAATATTAGATACTGCAGAGGGTGCAGTTATATTTTTTATCAATGCTACAAAGTTAACAAAATAGAATTTGGACAACCTGCAGGCACATGGTATCAACTGCCATTAAGAATCAATCCCAAATATGGTGCCACTTTTGCCAGCTTTTAAGTTATATCATCTTCTTTTGAAGGGATTTATATTTCTCTTTTTAGAACTCCCCAGAAAAAGATCCAGGAACTCCTTTAATACAGCTGCAGAATTACAGTGCGTATTTCCGTGAGTTAGATTTGGAAGTTTTTACCATCCTGCATTGTGGACTGTTGACCAAATCTGTTTTGGACACAGAGATGCACACAAAGGTAAGTAGGCTAGTTCAATGGTGGATCTTAACTTCAGGATGAAGAATCATGGGCAAAGTGGAGTTTACTGAGTTAAAACCAGTATTTCAGTTATAATCAAGCATTTATTTGTTTGTTTGTTTATTCAACATATGGCATAGAGTATAGGGATAACAGTAGGAAAAATACATAAAGGCAACACATAATACTATGGTACACTTATAATGGAAATATGTAGTCAATTTTATAAGGTATGAGGAATTCAAGAAGTTATGTATAGATTATAGGTTACATTTTAAAATATGCTGATTAATAAGAATGGAATAAGTGTTCCATATATTAATATCTAGACCAGTGATGGTGAACCTTTTAGAGACTGAGTGCCCCAAAACTGCCCCTGCCTCCACGCCCGTACCCCCCGCTCTTCCCCCCCATAAGGCCACCCACCGCCTCCACGTCCCACCGCAGCAGATCACCCAGGTGCCACAGCAGCGCCATGGCAGCCACGTCCTCCACCCACACCTCACAGCATCATCTGCACGTGATGGGGCACAAGGGTGGAGTCTTGTCCCTGCTGCCCGGCTGCCATGTCCTTGGCTGTGCCAGCTGTGCTCGGGGGCGACTCTCCTCTGGGGGGGCTGCTGGTGATAAGGGGGCCATGGGGGGAGGCGGGGATGGGGTAACAGCACGTGTGCTCACAGAGAGGACTCTGAGTGCTGCCTCTGGCACGCGTGCCATAGGTTCACCACCACTGATCTAGACCATTTATCCAATTAAGCACGGTATCTATTAGTTGGAAAATTAATTGCTTTCCCTCCCGCATAAATTCTTAAATGGCAGCTAGTCACTATATGGTGCAGTGTCTGATGAGGAACACATTCAGGTCACATTCAGGGGAGGATACCCTGATGCACCATTTAAACAGAGAATCTCAACTGAAGCCCTGCAAGGTGTGAATCCTATTCAAACTTTCCCAGCACAAGTTGGTGGCATCGAAACCTGATAATTTTTATGTCGCGTCAGATATATATATATATATATATATATATATATATATATATATATATATATATATATATATATATATATCTGGACGTTCGATAATCCAATTTACTTTCCATTGGGATTTTACATCAAAGTTAATGTTATGCAGCTGCTGTGCAAGTATTAGTGTGGAGTTCCTGAATTTAAGCCTTTTAGTTGATAAGTGTGGCATAACAGAGTGCACAATCATAATCAAGCAAATTTAAGTATTAAGGAAAGTCATCTTGATTATAACACAGGGTATGTAGACACTATTCAAGCATTAGGCATATCTTGTATATCTTGCTGGAATGTTTTTCTACAGATTCTTTCTATATGCCAAGTTCTGTGCTGTAAAGTTAGCTGTAATTCTGGATGGTGATACTCATCTGCAAGTTTTTTCTGTTCCTGGCAATTTCTCTCTGTTTGAATTATTAGAGGAAAGTCACTGACAAAGTAGCTGATCTGTCTTCATAGGAAGAAGAGTGGATGATACATTAAGACTACTTGCTGCAATGTTCAATCTGCCTGCCTATCGTTGATATAATTAGTTGATCCTGTTGCCTTTCATAAGAGAATTGCAAACACTTGCCTTTTTTTCTCTTTAGCATTTTAACAACTTTGTTCAGCTACCTGAAAAATCTAAATACCGTACATGTATAATATAGTAAGCATATGACTTATTATGAACACTGAAATTATATTATATTCTTCTTTTAAAATATTAGACCCGTGAAGTGGTGCAGCTAGAGCCAACTGAGCTCCTCTTCCTTTTAGAAGATTTGTATCGTAAAATGGAACATGTCTTAATACTAGCTCCTGCAAAGAGAACCCCCTTTTTAAAGGTATGCATCGTGTGAATAAGGCATTGCGGCTTTAAGCAAGGGAATGTTAAGAAATTTCATTTAAAGAAGAACTTTGTTCCAATGAAACTAAGAGCTAGTTTGATATAGTGGTTAAGGCACCAGGTTAGAAACCAGGAAACTGAGCTCTACTCCTCCTGCCTCAAGCAAGAAAGCCAGCTGGATGACCTTGGGTCAGTCCGTTTCTCTCTCTCTCTCAGTCCAAATCACTTCAGGGGATTGTTGTTGTGGGGAAAGTAGGAGGAGGAAAAAGTATTATATATGAGTTATTTATAAGAAAATAATAAAGGCAAGATAGAAATCTAATAAATAAATACACTTTTATAAAGCAGAAACAGAAGCAATGATGAATTGGGACATCAGAGATACCAGTTAAAACGAATAAAAAGCAAATTAAAGTACCGTATATTCCGGCGTATAAGGCGACTGGGCGTATAAGACGACCCCCAACTTTTGAGAAGATTTTCAGGGTTTAGAAAGTCACCTTATACGCCAGAAAATACAGTACAATATTGAATTTCTGTTTATAGATGAGCACAATAGGAGCTCCTTTGCTGCTAGAAAGCTTTGTCCTGTTAGTGCTTATTTCTGTAAAAAAAATAGGGCTGGCCACTAGGGGGCAGATTGGTTTTAAATTCAGAGAACAGCTACCCCTATATTCCTGCGTATAAGACGACCCCTGACTTTTGAGAAGATTTTCAGAGTTTAGAAAGTCGTCTTATACACCGGAAAATATGGTAAATGAAATGCCCACTATATAGTTTCCTAGTATAGCAACAATTTAGGATATTTTTTAGATTTTTGAATGTTGAGATTAGTAGTATTGATTTAGGATCTGGAAATGTTTATAATTGTCCCAGAGTACTGTAGAATTTCAGTCTAAAGATATGATGCATTTTTGTTGCTTACATTATAATTGTTGTTTGAAATTATTATATGCATTAGTGTACAGTCATCTAATGTCTGCACTTTAATTTCCTTTTTAATTAATTGTTTTTATTAAACCATATTTTGCTTTGAGTACAAACTATACTTCTAAATTGATGCTCTTCCGACAAGATTCAGTGATCTGGTTGTCTTTGTATGTAATGATATGCTCTTTGCTATATCAGGTTCATATTTCAAACAACAGTGTGTTTTCTGAATGTTCACTGGGACACACTTTGGAATCATAGGGTTGGCAAAAGTTATCTAGACCACCAAAGCCAATTTCCTGATCAATAGTGGCTTCCAGATGAAACCGCTCCCATACATCTAGCTTTCACTTGAACACTTTCAAAGCACAGGGCCCATCACTGCACTGGATTTTTGGTTCACTGTTGAACTAGTACACTAGGAAGTTTTTCTAATATTCAGTCACAATTTATTTCCTGCATTCTGGAACTAGAGAGTATAAGTCTTGAACTTTCAGCTAGATGCCAAATGCCAGCTTTTTCAGTTATTTTATCCCAGTTATATTTGATTTTTTTCACAAAAAGAGTGGGTTTCTAGTTCCCAAAGGTCTATGTTAAATTATGATTGTTGCAGAAAGAAAGTCATTTCCAAAAAATAAAGATGTTTGTTTTTTACAGGGAAAAGGAAATAAAAATGCTGGATTTTCACATCTTTGCCAAAGTACATCTCAAGAAGTGATTGAGTATGCTGCTGAACTTTTAAAGCCACTGTGCAATCACATAGAAAATATGCACAACCACTTCCAGGTTGGAACATAAATTATTTATTTATTATACCATACAGTGTCTACTTTACTTCATACCGTAAGCAAACCCACTACAGCCTTTTATGCAGTAACATATTCTTTACTTAAGACGCTGATTACAGAGAACCATGGTGTGATTGATGGGCCAGGCGTCAATGTTCAGGAACATCAATTAATGTCATCCTGTTATCAGCGCTTATTGCAGATCTTTCACTTCCTGTTTGCTTGGTAAGTATGTAGAATTACAAATATAAGGGTGAGAATAAATTAATTTTTTTATTATTGGCCTTTTATTTTCTTTATAGAATATCATGAAGCAGACCACCCATAGCGTAAACTATGATGGGTCTTTTTTCATATAGCAACGTCACAATATTTTTATGACACTGGCAGTGAGCAAACTGAACTACCAGATTAATGTTGGCTTCTTGTCTTGAGATCACACTCAAATGTCTTCAAACAAAAGACAATAGAGTTTATAAAAATATTTTTATATTGTATTAACTGGATACTATAGCAACAAATAATTGATGCTTTTTTTTCATCCAGGAATGGATTTTCTCGGCATGAGAACCATGGCTTACTAAAAACAAGTCTGCATGTCCTTGCATGCAGGCTTAAGCCAGGAGATAGAGAGCTTCCTCTTGAGGACCTACTCAGGTACCAGAAAAGAAACTATCATGCAACTTCAAACATAATACGAAGGACTTAGTAGGACATAACATTTATCAATACTGTATATCAGAGACCTAGAATTCACAAACACTTTCATGCACTCTTCCCCTCCCCCCAAAAAACCCAAACTAAAAAAAAAAAACAAGTTCAGGAACACGATGGAAGTAATTATGAACAATGAAATATTTAGATCTACTAGCAAATTATAATGTAATTTCATTTCCACTTTCTCCTGTATCCTATAGTCAGAGTTTCCAGTATTTACTGAACTTCCAACAGAGCGTTCCCAATATTTACTGTGCACTGAGTCTTACCCAGCTTCTGCTTGTCATTGCTGAAAAATCTGTGGCCAATGCAAAAAGCAAAGAAATAGGTAACATATGGAGTTTCCTTTTATTTTTATTTTTTTAAATGATTTATTGATTTTTTAACATATTTGGCAAACAGTGTGTTGTCTGGTTTTACATTTAAAAAACACTCACTAACAGTTGGTTTCTATGATCTATAATCCACATAATATCTTTACTTGATTTCCTCTTTTTCCCATAATGTTCTCTTTTACCAACTTAAAATTAATACAATTCTTGTTGTTTTGGTTGATAACAATTTAGTATAAATTTTTTTCTAATATTTCTACAGATAATAATCACATCAGTATATTTATTTTCTGTCTAGTTATTCTGTCTCATCATAAATCCTGTTTACAATTCTTGTTTACATTTGTTTTTCCCACAATGTTCAAGACATTCTTACTGGTTAAGATTTTCTTAAAGTTAATTACATTTAAATATTTAAGTCTATTTTTTCTCATGTAAGCCATTCCAGTACTTTTACCTTTCTTAAGGAATAAATAAGACTAAAAAAAGAAAAAGAAGAATAAAAGTAAAGAAAAATAAAAGGATAGTCTGCTACTTAAAATCCATGTTTCCTATAAGCTAATACATATTTATTTCCAAAAATTTTCTGTTCTTTTTTATATAATTAAAAATATATTTAATTTTTAAATATTCCATTTAATAAATCTAGCCATCTAGTCTTTTAACTCTTATTCAAAACATTTTTAATCCATTGTAATTTTCTTAAAGTCAACCACATTTAAATATCTAAAACATTTCCTTTAAATAAGTCAACTCTTATATTACTCATATCAAGAAATAAAATAAGAAGAGAGAAGAAAAAGAGAGGAGTACTAGGTTACTTGAGGGGCTCTTCCTTCTTAAAATAAAATTCATATCTTTCTGTTTCTTTAACCATATTCAAACAGGTGTTTCTTTTTAAAATATTCTCTCTGATAGGTCCCATCGTCTATTTTCTTAAGTTTCACTTTAGCCTTTTTCTTTTGCCCAGTATCTTTCTTAATCAGTATGTTCTGCTGAATCAAAGAATCTTTCTATATTCTTAGAAGTGTTACTGTAGATATAAAAGGTAAGTCAAGTACAATATCTTTGTAAGAGGCATTTGCCCGTTCATGTTTGTTGAAAATCTTTTTCTTTCTTTTTCTCTCTGTTTCTCTTATCATTTTTTGTCTCTTCAGTTCTAGTAGTTTTCCTGACATCTCTGCAGTCCATTTTGTCCAATCTTTTTTCTTTTCCTAAAATTTGTTTTGTGGTGTTAAAGTATAAGTTGTCTTTTCCAAAGCCAGTATTTCTTGTAAATTTTTTCCATTTGGGTTATATCATATTTCTTTGTTTTGTTAGGTTCCATCTTTAAGTCTCTATTCTTGAATTTGTATTCAGTTATCTGTTTTATCTGTTCCTTCTCTATTGTTGTTTCTGGGATTTTTTTGTTGTAAAGTTAAATTAGAGATGAATTGGTTATTTTGGATTTCTTTGTGGTTTGAAATCATTGTTGTTTGAATTAATTGCAGCATATCATATGTCTCCTTGAAAGGTATTTATTTTTTCTTGATAAGTTCTTTCTATAAGTCTCTGATTTTCCATGATGACCAAGAATCCAAGTTTTCTTTTCTCTGCAAATAGCTTTGGAGTCACAGTTAAGTAGATTCTTGTAATCCAAAAAGTTCAAAAAAGTTTTTTTTTTGTTCCCTAAAGTTTATAAGTCTCTCTTTGTCTGCAGTCCAGATTGTTTTCTTTTTTGTCACAGCTGTTCTCTATTGTTAGAGCTTTGAAGGTCACAAGCACAGATTAGTTTTTTCCAGATTTTACCAAGTCTTGTCATAGTCTTCATCCACCACTAGATGTGGTAGGAATGAGAATCTTAACCATTCAGCAATTTCAGACTTATTCAAATTTAGGTTTTATAGTCATTTCATTTCATTTCAATATGTTTTTGGTCCTCCATAAAAGGCTTAATTCGCCGCTTCTGTTAGTAAAAGGGTGGGGCAAAGATCCCCCTCCTTCACTTTCGGAGGTTTTTTTGTCTCTTGGGATTTTTTTTTCTTCAGGAGAAAAAAAATTGATGTTCTTACCCAGGTTCAAATGTGCTGTTTACAATCAGCTTAAAGTAGTACTTTTGACTTGGGTTGCTTGTAGCTTGGGCTAGACTCTGACGTTAGGCTAGCCTTCCTCTGTTGGTTTCTGGAAGGCTTCTCCTGGACCGATCGGGTCAACCGCCGTCTCTCCACGGTCCACGGGACTTCTTTCCTTCTTTGCCACCTCTTTGGGGCAACTTCTGGCTCATTTAGGGTCCCCTAACAGGAAGAAAATCAGCCGGAGGACGTGGAGCCCCGAACCCCTCGACTGCTGTACTACTGCGCAAGACCGGAAGTCTCTGGAGTTTCCTTTTATTTCTATTGCACGTCAATATTTTGGAAGGATTTATTTTGTATTTCTGAGAATTTTGTAACTGTAGCATCTATACTTCCAACAGAAGAAACACTGCTGAGAATCAGTCTTAATAATAGGGAGATACAGCATAAATTTAATCAATAAATACAAATAAATAATTTAATTGAAAATAGGTAAAGTTCTGTTTCCCTCCTTCATAATTGATGGGCCTAGTTGAAAATAGATATAGGATGATAGGTCTGAGTATTGCTGAATTTCTAATATCTAAGGTGATTTGCATTTATCATTGTCATAAATTGCAACAAGTTAACTCAAAATCATATTAAATTTAGCAAATATAATTTCTCTCAGAAAAAAACTTAGTTAGAAGCCATATCTAGCACTCCTTCTTGTTCTTTGACAGCTTCCATCACAAAAGGTTTCCTTTGCCAATCTTGGATGCAGCCCTGTGGAACTCGTCAGAAGGGTTCCCAATTTAATGATGCTCTCCATACTTTGCTGAAGTAAGACTGTTTTTGTTTTTGGTGCTGTTGAGATTCACTTCTTTTCAAAAGCAACCCTATAAATAGACAAAATCCTTAACCATGTTTAAAGTATCTCATTGCTGAGAATAAACACTAGCAGTATAAGCTGCAGGATCTTTCCAGTACCGTTTTCTTAATTTTCATCTTAAAAGTATGACAATTTGATCAGATTTGATAGTGTCATACTTTGTTATTATCAGCCAATACTATTTTTTTTTTAGCAAAGAACTAAAACGAGCCAAATGGCCTTTGGGGGGGGGGCTCTACTTGTCAAAAAAAACCCCACTATTTCCTGGTTGGAAGGCAATCTGTAAAAATAAATTTGTATGGTACCAAAATTGAAAATTAGAACTCTGTCCCTTGTAGTGCCGTTTTTTTCTCATGGCATACCATTGAACAAAAGAAATGTGAAAGGTCGCTAATACAGGTAATCCTCATTTAGCAACCACTCATTCAGCAACTGTTCAAAGTTGTGATGGCGCTGAACGAATGGTAACTTCAACAGGTCCTCAAAGTTTTATTTATTTATTTATGAGACTTATATACCGCTTTAAGTGCAAGCACTCTCTAAGCGGTGTACACCAGTAAGCAATGTATATATATATTTACATTGCCCCCAACAATCTGGGTCCTCATTTTACCTACCCCGGAAGGATGGAAGGCTGAGTCCACCTTGAGCCGGTGAGATTTGAACCGCTGACCTGCTGAACACAGTCAGCTAAAGTGGCCCGCAGTACTGCACTCTAACTGCTGCGCCACCTCGGCTCCTCCTCCTCCTCCTTTGGCTATTACATCACCCCTGCAATTGCGTGATCACGATCTGGGTGCTTGGCAACTAGCTTACATTTAGTTGCAGCACATGTGGCCACCATTTTCAATCCTTCCTGCTGACTTCCCACAAGCAAAGTCAATGGGGAAGCCAGCAGAGAAGATCAAGTGACTCCACTAAGTCCCCTATCTAGCACCAGCCCCGCCCCCCCAACACCAGTGCACCCATGCCATGCCTTGTTGGCCTTTGCACAAACTCCCACCAGGTAGTTGCTGTCCTCACCATGTCTTGCTGGCCACCGGTAGACCCTCTGCTACCCAGAGCAGCCACCCCCTAGGTCCGAATCATTTGAAGATGCTACTTATCTGCCTGCCAGCTGCTTTTGAGCCACTGAGACTTGCAACTTCCTGCTGGCTTCCCTACAGACTTTAGTTGTTGGAAGCTAGCAGGAAGTTGCAAGGAGATCTTCACTTAGCACTCATGACCCTTGCTTAATGACGGCAGTGAGGAATGCCAGGTTTGTCACTAAGCGATGCAGTCGTGTCACATCACACTTCAAAACCGCATTGCTTAGCAACAGCAATTATGGTTCAGTTACCATTGTTGAGCAAGGACTACCGGTAAATTATCCCCAAAATTAAAAACTGTTGAATGGATTGATTTTTAATAAATTAAAATGTTAATAGAATGCATGCTTATAATCATGTCTGCTGCTGAAATGAAAACCAGCTTTATGTTTTTCCATATGTTAGATAAAACCTAGTGTTGAAAAAAATCTTAATGCAGTTTTTCAAACGAGACATCTATAATTTTGTGAAAATTATTCTATGCAGTATTCATATGGAATATACACATGATATCTTGAAGGAGATAGAAGACATTTCAAGCACTGGGGTTCCACAGCTGATTAATTCTTCTAAAGATGGATACTCTTCCACTTACCCTACACTGACCAGGTAATAATTACACATTTGGCCATACCTTCTGTTTGCTATAGGTTGGTTAAATATTCTTAATATGATAAACCAGGCTCTAGGAAGAGAGTTTAAGTTTAAAGATGCCAGAGTTCTGTTAAATTCCAAATTTTGGAATATAGATTATTTATTTAAGAAGATGCATTGGTTTCATCTTTATAGACTTAAGAATGTTTCAGGAAGATGCAAGGCTTAGATGATCAAGATATTGGCAGCAGAATGGAAAATTTTTTATAGTAGTCTACCATGACTGCAAGGCTAATTGTTGTATCTGATCTTATACTGCTTTCATATACTTAGCAGGCACTCTGTAGGCAGTAGGATTGCAAAGTTGACTTACATAAATAAATAAAAGTTAAAGTATTTTAAGAAGACAAATTTTCAGTGATCACATTTGGGGAGAAAGATCTGGTGTATGTTTCTGGAGCGGCGCAGTGGCCTAGAGGTGGAGCTCTTGCCTCACCATCAGGAGGCTGTGAGTTTTATTCTAGAATCTAAACAGTGGCAGATGTTTTTCTCTCTGGGCACAGAGAGTTATTGTCTGCTTCAAACTCCACGTAGGTGTCAGGAAGGACATCTGGAAGTAAATGCTCAAGTTCTGTTCAGTTGCCCCAATGCAAGGGATGACAGGGTCATTAAAGGATTAAAAAAACTGATGTGTGGTTCTCTTACCATAATAATTGGACGCTCAGCAAGATTGTTTACTTGTGGCTCAGTTTTATTTATGATCATCTTTCCAAAAGTAAGTTGCTTCAATTACAATTTCACCATAAAGTTTATGGAATCCTATATGTGCCCTGAGACTTTTCAGGTTTCTCACTTATTTTCTTAGGTCCTTGGATACCCTTTCCAAAAGTCAGTAGATTCACAACTACTATGACTTTTCTCATGTTTTAGATATACTGCATCTACCAGGTTATTGAGCAATTTCAACAATATGCCACCATCATTCTTACCATAAAGACAGCTGCCAATATACTGTTTTTGTTAACCAAGTTTATACAGTAACTTAATTAAGTGCTTCTCCGTACATCTGATTGCAAGTTGAAATTCCCACATCTAATTGCAATATGAAAAGTCAGAATGCTGGATAATTTTACCTTTCCTCCTTAAAATGTAGTATATTTCCTTAGGTCATTTAGTTTTGCAATAGTTCATTAGACGTGGTTTTGCTTCCTTGGTTTGGATTCAGTGTTCTTACTTTGAACGATAATAGCCACATAATTTCATTTTTATTTTAGGCTGCCTTTTGTATTTTTTATTATCGCTAATTCGAGTTTGAGAGATACATACTACATATGCATCAGAAATTAGTGATGTAATGCTAAGTAGTATGAATATATTTCATATTTCCTCATCCTTTCTTTACCAGACAAACTTTTCCCATTTTCTTCCGGGTGATGATAACTCACCTAGAAACTTCAGTAAGAAGCATATCTGCTGGAAAATCATCAGATTCAAGTGAGGTAATATGATAAAATAGAACTTGGGGTTTCTAGCAAGGCATCTGCATTGCTAGGTATATGCCTTCATTCAGGGAAAGAATATGTATTCTTTTGACATGTTTCATAGAGGTTATTAAGATAGAAAACACCTACCTGAATATGTAGCATTAGTATTTGTGTATTGGCGTACATAAAAGCCTGGTTTTGTCTTGGAGGTACTTTTTGGAAATTACAACACCCAATAGATGGCATTGTTTCATTGATGGAATCTGAAATAGCCCAACCCTGCCAAATTAAACCAGCCAGCCAGATACTATGAAAATCTTATCTGTGGCTACAACCCACAACAGTTGATTTTTCCAGGGACTTCTCAAGGGCTTAAACTCATCCTCCCACCTTTCTAAATTAACAGATATTTGACACAGAAGCAGGATTTAAAAAATGTTTAAAAAAGGTGGCTGGGGTATGTTTCTATAATAACCATCTGTTGCCTGCGAACAGCTGGTTTCTGTCTCCCCAGCCTCCAACATATATTTGTCTTTCTTCAACAGTCTTCAATGAATAAAGATCACTGGATAGGAATCAGGTGAAAGTTCTGCCCCATATAAGCAAACCCCGCTATATGTCTTTGTGCGTGAAAAAGTGGGATGGCAGGAAATATGACCCGGAGCCCTGCCTATATTATGATTTCTGCATGGCTGTAGAATTTGTAACAGTAAAATCTCAGTAAAGCCATTTGCAGGGGAGGTTGTGCTGCTCCCCAATCTCTTTAAAATCAGACTTCCTGACAATTTACATTGCATAGTCAATATAGGTCATTTTTGTAACGATGTCATTACGGTATGATGAAATGTATATAATTTGTGTAATGATGTTGATGCATAGATTCATGTACCTAATGTAAATGTCCATTTATTTAGCATATAGTTAATGTAAATTAGCCTTAAAGATACAGTATGTAACTTATCTGAACTACATTTGATTTAATGGACTTGGCCATTATTTTCAGGGAATTTCCAAATGAACATTTTATCTTTTGTATTTGGTCTTCTAAGTATGTTTGTGGGAAGTGGGGTTCCATTAAATCTAGGTTTTACTGTTGAAAGTGGAAGCAAATCTGATCCAATTCTTGCATCAACCTCAGAGGGAAGCCCACAAAAATTCCTTCTCTGATGCATTTTATATAGAAATTGTTAAATGCTAATAATAATAATAATAATAATAATAATAATAATAATAATAATAATAAAGTTGGAAGGGACCTTAGAGGTTATCTAGTCCAACCCCCTGCTCAGGCAGGAAACCGTATACCATTTCTGCACTAAATCTGCCCAAGAAGTCTATATAGGTTTTAGCGTAAAATTTAAATTATGCTTCAACACCATTGAAACTTGTTTATTGTAATCCTGTTATTCCAGGCTAGGTATGTACATATTTGTACTCCTAATCTAAACCCAAGTTTGCATATTAGTAGGTTCGATGAATCACAGTAGAGTTTTTAACAAGAATAGAAGATTATGTTTGCAATATAAAATTTTGGTCGTGGGGAAGGGGGAAACAGATCTGGATTTGATGAGCATATTATCAATTTTAATTGAGAAAAATGAGAAATTGAATATAACCTTGCAATAGGAACATGAAGTAAAAACAACCATATGAAATTGAGAAATGAAAATTAATAATTCCACAAATAGGTCAAGTAAGTTGCAATATATTGAACTCTTTTCTGTCTAAACAGTTACAGGATGATACCCAAATAACGTCATTTGTCTGCATTCCATAGATTCAGTTGGAGAAATTGTTACACTGGAACCTAGCTGTGCGTGATTTCCACATCCTTGTTAATTTGGTCAAGGTGTGTAACATTCACATTAATGTTTCTTATATATGAAACCACGATGGCCTTTTGTCTGTTGATATAGATTATTCAGATTTAAATATTTTTTTTAATTTACTATTAATTTTATATATCACCTGTCTTTACACTGACTTGATTTTGTGGACCTGTGTTGAAACTTTCTTTTTATCCTGTATACATTACTCTTACAAGACATGTTCAGACATCTTTTATTTTAGCAAGACAGGTCATGTGCAAACAGAACATAGGTCTTGCAAGATTTAGATGCTGTAAGATATTTTAATCATGCATTTATATATTCATTGGAATATGTGTGAGTGAACGCCCTCTGATATGAATGTGATTATCCTGGAAGGATCATATTGCTGACTTTAAATTTAGACAACTGGAATTACTTCGCATATCACATATCTTTGAGACAATCCATATTCCTTGCCTTTTTAAAATTCCCATTATTTTTTGAATCTACTTCTATTTAACTAGTCATTATTTTCTTTCTTTACTATTGTCTATCAAACATAACATTCCCAATTTTGAAGAAATGCTTGGCTTGTTGCTATCATTCCTTCCTTCCTTCCCTCCCTCCCTCCCTCCCTTCCACCACCGTTGTCAATATATCACATGCACACATTTGTTTGTATAGGGGGATATTTACAGTTTTAGTATCAGTGGGGTTTGGCAGCCCTTCTCATGTTACAGTGGGGATTGCATTTTCAAATAAGATTTAGGGTAAACAAAATTTCTTCTGTGCTAAGATTTAATGTAAACAAAAATTCTTCTGTGCTATGTTGCAGTAGGGTGACTTTACTATGACAATACGGTTGAGTATATACTGATAGTATGGGTGAGTCCATTTCATGGTTAATCTGAGTACTAATCAGTGTTCTCAGCAGTTATTTGATAGGTTATTCTGTTGTTTTTATTGTTTTGCTCTGTTTTTGTAAATACCTACCTCAACTAGGCCTCCCAAGAAAGCAGAATTTTTGAAACAGACATTGTCTCAAAAGGAACTTTTATTAGGGGCTAGTGACAGCAGGAAAAACAAGGCGAGGTCTGAGAAAAAACCCGCACAAGCAGTATATTAAAAGCAATACTCATTACTCCTCCCCCCGAGGTCCATTTGAATCCCAGCCAATCCACGGGTGGCATATTGTTTTGGTAACAGGTTCCGTTGGCAAGCTCTTCAATGTCTCTCTCGCTTTCGTTTCTCTCTGGTTCCAAGCTCAAACCGTCTGCTAGATAAGGATGATACATTCCTTCTCCTGGGGGAAGGACATAGTGGCAAGACAATGCAAAGCAGCCCCAAAGCAGCCCCTCTCCCAACAGAATGGCAGGCCCCCAAAAGTGGTTTCAAAAGCAAGCATACTATAAGGAGAGAAACAATACATTTCTTTGGGGATCTGACAATTTTAACTGTTAGCAGCCAAGAGTCATGTATGTGAAATGGGCAGCTTATTAAATAAATAAACAGACACCTTTCTTTCAAGTAAACGCTGTACTATCAATGTGATATTTAGGAAGGAATGTGGTGATATATACTGTTCATATTCTGCAGTAGTAGTTGTATTTTTTAACTAGCACTATATTATTTTATCATATTAAATATATTTTAAAGCTTTTTTTTACTTTCTCCAAACAGGTATTTGATAGTCGTCCTGTACTCAGTGTTTGCTTGAAGGTAAGTGAGAATCATGTGATAAGAGACACGAAATTCAGGAAATTTTACAGTAAACTATTATATCACCTTCCTCCCATATATACCTGCTCTGAGTAGAGATGTCCACATTTTCTACATAACCCTAACCTTTCATAGCAACCTATTTCCCAAGGAGAAAATAGACTTCAGAGGTAAAGGATCATAGCTACTGTTGAGAGGAAAGCATTGTCATTCTGCCTTCTGGTCTGCTTGTTTCTGGTTTGATTGTCATGTGCTATTTTCATTGGTGGGTGGGTGTACAAATGAATGCATATTTTAAGTGACATATATTTCAGATGACTTCCAAACAAATGTGGTTTTCTTGTAAGGTAAATATTGTCGAATTTTGCCATTCCTCAAAATGAACACTTCAGAACTGAAAAGCTGCAGCCAGTTTAGTACTTCCCAAAGCTTCCATTTTGAGGAGTCCATTTGACACTACACCTTATTCCTATCAATACAGATAGTCCTCGTTTAGTGACTGCGACTGATTTTGGTGACTCAATGATTAAGTGAAGCGGTTGATAACTGAAAATCAGGTAGCCGTGGCTGCGCTCAGGACTTTACTTAAGCTTTCCTTAGGAGCAAAAACAAAAGCCTTTAGTGTCAAATTGATTAGAGTTTTGCCAGTTTCAGACAGTTGGGGTTCTAAGCAACAAATTAGGGTCACAGAATTGAATTTGTTAACTTGCCATTAGCACTTTTTAGGGACCTTTTTAGCATTGTGGAAAAAAGCAGCTTAGGAAGAGATTGTTTAACTTTAGGCAATCTCTCTCCTCTTTGAGAGGTGGAAAAAGAAAAAACCAGGTCAGGCACAGGATACCACGATGCTGTCATGGCAAAACTTGTGATTCAGAGAAAGATATTCAGAAGGTTGTAAATGTGGACACTGGTCACAAAGTTATTTTTTCATTACCATCATAATTGCAAACGGTTGCTGTTTAAGGCAGCTGTTAAATGAGGACGTTCTGTATTATGAAAAGGAGGGGGCAGCACAGATTATTTAATAATAGATGCTGATTATATGAACTTTGGGTTACATGTACAAGGAATTTGCATATCACTGCTCGAAACTACTACCCAAGCACCTGAATCTATTCACACAACAATTCTAATGTATACCATCTGATTGCACAAAGATTGAAGAACAGAAAACTGCTGACTACAGTGTAAATTTTGGGTAGGATTTGCTAAACCTCTTCTGTCAGCAAAACGAAAGGGTAAAATGAAGGCCCCTTCGCTTTTACTGTCTTGTGGATATTGAAAATCTGCTCCAGAAGGTAAAGGAGGATATTAGTGGATATGCGGGAAGGAGGAGAGAAGGCAGAATACCCATTGCATAAGTGGACTTCTACTTCCATTACAATGGCTTCCATCCTAAATACCTAGTTTTGGTGTCATTCTGTGTGGGCAGTAACTAAATGGAATGATAAGATCTGGAAGTGATACTAGGAAACTCTAATAAAATTCTCTGCGTCTCGAGAAAATTGTGTTTTCCAACATACTGGTACACGTCTTGGATTTGCTGATGAAGAGTTCATTTAAATAAATTTGATGACAACCAACTTAAGAAATTAGATCATTTAAAATTTAAACAAGCATAGTGAGTGCTTGAATGTTGTGACTTATGACGCAAGCTTAGAACACTCACCCTTGTTTGGGAGAATTGGCCACATCTGCTGACATTTTGTGTCTTTTTGTTCACCCAGTATGGTCGTCTGTTTATAGAGACATTTTTGAAGTCTGGTATGCCCCTCTTGGACTACAGCTTTAAAAAGCACAGGGTAAGTTGTTAGGGATGGACTGTCTCTTGATTGACTGAGAGTGTTTTAAAGTGCTCATATCTGTTCTTTCCAAGCCTATAGTGCAGTGACCTACTGCAGAAAATAACAGAAAAGGAGGAGTAATTAGCATAACTGAGTAGCTATAAAACTGAATGCTAAGAACTTTGAAACAACAGTTTTTCTTGCAAATCTGGCAAGACTCAAAACAAGCATAGGTTGTTAGGTAGTATCTTATTAAATGAGTGCTGCATCCTATGATTTTTTTTAAATGTACATATTAGATATTTCAGATATTTCCAATACCAAATTATATATGTGTGTGTGTTTGTGTATTTGCATATATTTATGTATGTATGTATATGTGTATGTGTGTGCGTATATGTGTGTGTATATGTATATGTGTGTGTATATGTATATGTGTGTATATATATGTGTGTGTATATGTGTGTGTACATATGTATATATATGTACGTATATGTGTGTGTGTGTGTGTGTGTGTGTAGATAGTTGACTTTTGTTAACCATCAGCATTGAGTACAAATGGGCAGCCATATAAACTGAAACTATAAAATAAATACGTTTTTTTAAAATAACCAGTTTAGTGCAGTGATAAAATCAGGAGACTGTGAGTTCTAGTTCTGCCTTAGGAACAAAGCCAGCTGGGTGATCTTGGGTCAGTCACTCTCTTAGCCCTAAGAAAGAGGCAAGGGCAAATCACTTCTGAAAACCTTGCCAAGAAAAACGCAGGGACTCGTCCAGTCACCAGGAATCAAAAATTGACTCAAAGGCACGTGCACACGCATAGACACAAGACCCAAGGATGACGTACAACTCAGTTTTAAAAAAAGAAAAGAAGACTACAAGTTGACCTTAACTCTTGAATTCCGCTGCTGGTTTGCCACTGCTATTTTTTTTAGCAAGGATGACCGATGCCACTTTCTTCCTTTTTATTTTTTGGTATTTTTTGCCATGAAACATTTTTAACTATTGTAAATTGCCCAGAGTTGCTGGGACTAGATGATAGCTAAATTTAATAAATTATTATATCCCCAACATGGATTTCACACATGTGAAATCATAGCTGCCAGTTCTTTAGCTGGTATAAGCCTTCATTCGTACCAAGTTCTTCCTAAGAACCTAGGACATCATAATGCATCTGCACAGTATATGTGTGGATGCAACAAGTATGGTCACTTGTAATTGACAGATGGAAATTTTGTCAATGCACAGTTGATTAAGTGCCACCCAAGGGTTTTTAATATGGCACCTGTGTGCCAATAACCATTGGAACCACCACGACAGGTTTATGCTATAATCTTTCAACTTCAGTTTTCAGTTCTTGATATTTCAACCTCCATTTTTTTGCCTTCCATTCTACTATCCCCTACTATTGCCACATGAATTATTATTATTATTGGTAGTGAGGTTTTTTTTTTAAATTCATGGTCCAGTTTATGCCCTTGGAATTTGCTGGAGGTCTCTTCTAAAAATATACTAAGCAAACTCAACCCATATTATTTTAATGACATGCTTGCCTTAGTGTCATGTACATTGTGAAGTGGTTCTCTCTGCTTCAATATATTGGATATGCTAAACCACAAACAATGATTTGCAAATCTCATTAACTGAGATCTCAAACTATCTACAGTCTGCCACAAATATATATCTGTACAAAACAAGATTTCGAATAGTAGACACTTTGCAGAAGTTTCTAAATGGATTTCTTTGGGTTGCAGGAGGATGTGCAGAGTTTGTTGAAAACCTTGCAACTGAGCACCAGACAACTTCATCATGTTTGTGGCCACTCTAAGGTAAAGAAAACTACACCTATAGTGCTAGTGAATTCTTGTTACTTGTTTAGTTTTTCTAATTCTAGCAAGTTACACACTCTTAGTATTTTATTCATTGTAATGGAGCAGTGCAAAAGTATTGTTTGGAAATGCCCAGATCCTGGTTAACATTACTTAGGCCAATATGCTGTAAAAATGTTGTTTATCTGCATCTTAATATTGCTGGTTCTGTTATTATAAGTACTTTATTATAATATAAATATTCTGATTTTTTTTTTACATTTTCTACTTAGCAATAGAGAAAACATTCCTCCAAGAAAAATGCTACTAAGGAGACATGTCAAAGGCCACTTAGCACATTCATAAAATACAATGTTGATTTTTGCAATAAAGAATCGGAAGAATCTGAGTGGTTCTTTCTTGGTTTGCCTTTCTTACACATGCAGATTCATCAAGACACAGGTCTCACCAGTCATGTACCTCTCCTAAAGAAGTCCCTCGAGCTATTTGTTTACCGAGTGAAAGCAATGCTGGCTCTCAATCATTGTCAGGAGGCTTTCTGGGTGGGCATCCTCAAAAATAGGGACTTGCAGGTAAGTGTATGTGTCTCATGAACGGCATTAATTCATTTTCACATATGTTCATTGGCCACTTTTTTTAAAAAACTCAAAAATTAATTATCGGATCGGATGCATATGATTTGGAATTAAGCTTCAGAGAATCATTCAAATGTGTAAAAGGTTGCGGCTTATAGTAAATGACATTAAGATGAATTTACTGAGCAAGCTTTGGTATATAGAATTAATTCCAAACTTGAAAGAGTTTTCAAAAGATGAAGAATCGCTATACAAATTATACTTGTTACACTGAGCTGGGGTCTCCATAGAAGGGACAGAATATATCTTTCCATCTTTCTTTCTTTCTTCCTTTGTTTGTTTGTTCAGTAAACAGTGGCTCAATTGCTACAGATTGAATAACTGATCATATATCCATAGAGATGACCTGAAAATGCTTCTGTCTTCCAGTAAAAATATTTATCAGAAAAGAATCCATTGAAAGAGCAATGAGGGTGTGTGAAATTACACAAATGTAACTATTGATCTTAGTGACAGGCAGGTACCATTAGTCTCCCTCTCTCTCTCTCTCTCTCTTTCTCTCTCTCTCTCTCTCTCTCTCTCTCTCTCTCTCCCTCTCTCCCTCTCTCTCTCTTCCTATCCCTCTCGCTCGCTCGCTTGCTCTCTGGCAGATGGCATACTTTACCACCATTTCATTTTTTAAAATGTGTCTGTGGTCTTGGTATCTATGGAAATAAAAAGATTCTCCTGCCCCAGAGGGCTATTTAATCCATTACTTAATGCAAGTGGGCGAAAGAAGCTGAGATATTGTACAGTATGTTTACATAGGGAGGGCAGTTTTGATTCATACAGGTAGTCCTCAACTTAGAACAATTCCTTTAGTGACCCTTTTTGCAGCATCCCCATGGTCACATGATTAAAAATTCAGATTCTTGGCAGCTGATTAATATTTATGATGGTTATAGTGTCTCGGGGGTCATTTGATCATGTTTTGTGGCTGACAAGCAAAGAGTCGCTGCAAGCAAGTGTGCAGCTATATACATTTTCTAAATAAATAAAGTAAACTGGGAGGCCAATTGACTAACTTAACTACAGAGATTAACTGTTTTTTTGCTTTTGTTGTTGCTTCTAAATCCACTAAGAGCAAGCAAGTAACTAAGATTTACTCCACCCCCACAAAGTCCAGGACATGGTGGATAATTGAAAAGTGTGGTTGGAATTGTTCCAGTTCTTAACTTCCCTGCTCTTTCCCTGCCTGCTGTTCTTTTGGTGATTTTCAAGATCAGGATTGCCTGACCATAGCCACAGAGGCATGGGAACTGATTTTCCTTCTCCACCATTGAGGCATTTTCTGATAGGAGTTGAGCGATTAACTTCTCTGCATTGTTGTTAACATCTTGACTCTTCTCAGATATAAAAACCATTGTCATCAAGATAAATTATAAAATAGCCTCAGCTTATCAGTGAACTAACATATTGATACATTTCCATGAACTAACTTCCAATACATTGCTAGAATGTCATTGTTTCCTTTAGCATGCTCTGGGATTCATTTCACCATAACCTCACAATATGGTACTGCAATTCCTTGATTATCAATTGCTGTATTTCCTTTGCATCGTACATTATAGGAATGGGTTTTGATTCTTCAGGTTGAAAGACAGGGCAGCCTATACTCAAGTTTAACAATTCAGATTGTCACAGAGATTCCAGTATTCTTTTCTGAATCACATCATACTTGTTTAATCTGTCCTAGGGAGAAGAGATCCTTTCACAAGCATCACAAGTACCCGAAGCAGAAGAGACAGAGATGCCCACACTCTCTCAAAAGGATCCTGAAGAGGTATTCATTCTAGAGGCAGATTACTTGCTTATGGCGATGGCTCTATACTTTGCTTTGGAAAAGACCAGAACTATTTTTTCCCAAAGCGATGTTGGCTCTAGAGGTAGTAGGCAAAATACGGAAAATAATTAACATAAGGATATGTAAGATATTACAAACTATTCCTTTCTTATGAAAAATGGCAGCAATGCTACCCTGTTTTAAAAAGTAACAGACATGAAAGTGCAACTGAATTCCAGTTTTTTCCTTTGTTTTAGTTAGGTTACTACTCTAAATATACTTTATGTCAGAATTGTTAATTTATAAAAACAAAGAACTACTAAAAATCTGACCATTGACATTTTAGCAACATTTTTGTTAAACCTTTACAATTTACACTACTTATCCAAGCATATATTGACATGTCTTATTCTGTGACATTTCATAAGGTAGTACTGAGCAATCATGCTCAAATGAATAAGGATTTTGAAAGGATTACTCAATTTTTCCCCTTCAGAAGATGAAGAAAATGTGCTGGTTCATCTTTATATGAATCAAATCTTTTCTTTCATTTACAGAAATAAGACCAGCCCTAATAATATGGCTACCTAGTTGCAATTCCATTTCTACATTAGGGTGCAAACATTATTTATTGCTGGGAGATGTCTCTCTTAAATCAGCTCCCAAGTTACTGCCTTGATCTAATTTTGAAATATGAATAAAACAGCCAGTAAAAGGTAAAAAAATAAATTGAAATGTATGTATAGAATTAAGATTAAGCATGCCATCTTAGTTTGTCTAAGAATGAAGAATTTATGATTTGTATTCCCCAGCTTTTGTTGTTTAAACATTTGGCATTTTCCCTTCCTCAGGAAAAGGAAGATTCAGAGACTGAAGGTAGAATGGACACCAATGATAGTGATGAAGACAGTTCTGATTAGAATGTGCTATAATTCTGGGTGAAACGTTTTGGCTTAGATTATTGGAATTTGTTATCCATATCCCAAGAAGTTTATAATTTGTATTCAGACAATATTAAAATAAATTGGATGAGCCATGGGCAGTATTATTTGTCTTTTAATAATCAACTGTTACTATTTCTTTGAAAAAGAATATATTGAGTACTTTTTTCTCACCCATACCTTTTTTTTGCATCTCCATGCTATTCCTCATAAGCAAAAAATTGTAAGTTTTACTTGAAATGCAACAATTAAGTTAACTTTCTTAGGAAAGTTTACCAATAGCTTTTCTGCATTTAACAATTGTGTCAGGAAATGATCAGAATTTAATAATTCACGTGGTTGGATATAAAGCATTAAAGATACATTTAAATTGACATTTGTTGGTATCAAAAATCACTTGCCTCAGGAGAAAGGCTGGTATTTATATTTGTGATCCCAACAGAATATAAAAAGAATTGGGGATTATAACATTAAAATAGTGGTGGGTTTATATAATCTTCTGATAGAATTAGAGTATCTTTTTTATCAAAGCAAAAGCTGATTTCCATTCATGTTTTTAATCACATACGAAGCAAATTTGCACGATCAAGCACAGTGAAATTTAGTGATTTTGACAGCCTCAAATTTTGTTTCTTGAATTAATATACTGCTATAAGGAAACTCCTTTTAGTTCCATTTGAAGAAAGTCTTGAGAGATGACATAGGCTCAGATTTCGTTAGTCGGAAACAGACCCAGTCTGTTTCTCTGGGCCTTCTTGGAAATAAGATAGGGTGGTGATCCTTCCATCTCCCAAAGGAAACTCGAAATAACCAACGTGGGGGGAAATGTGACGAAAGGGGTCTCGTGGCTTCCTGTCTTTTGCAACTCAAATTTGGTGCTTTTAAGGTTAAGATTGGGAAGCGGAAGATTTGTTATAGACTACATTTTAAAAGTTTCACACAAAAAGAAGCATTTGTAAGCCGTGATCTACAGCAGTCGCGCTCGGCGTATGATGTCAGCACTGCAAGCTACTTCCAAGTTTCGGGTCCTCCGACAGGCTGATACAGCCTATAGTGGTGCAGAAGTAGGAGCAGCGTCGCGCATGCTCAAGAGTGGGAAAGGAAGAGGCTGCCCCTCCCGGCCTGCTTCTGGGAACGTCGTGCGCGCGCAGGCGTCTTCGCTTATCTGTGGGAAGCAGGGTTGCTGCCAGCTGACTCGGCCATGTCGGTTCAGGAAGACCCGGTCCAGCGCGAGATTCACCAGGACTGGGCGAACCGCGAGTACATCGAATTGATCACCAGCTCCATTAAGAAGATCGCGGACTTCCTCAATTCCTTCGGTAGGTGCGGGCGCCGCCCTCTCTCCCCCGGAGGAGGAGGCGGACCCTCTCTGCAGATGGGAGTGATCGGCGGAGCGAGCGGGCGGGCGGTGGGTCCGTGGCCGGCATTTAACGGCGCTCTCCTCGCTCTCCCAGACATGTCCTGCCGCTCCCGTCTGGCCACGCTCAATGAGAAGTTGACGGCGCTGGAAAGACGGATCGAATACATCGAGGCCCGGGTGAGGCATCTCCCTTGCGCGGCGGCAGAAGCTGCAGGGGGAGCTCGGCCCGCGAACGCCTCTTCCTGGGGGCCACCGGGCTCCGGCTCACTCGTTTGGGGGGTTGGAAGGGAACACTTGAAGTTGCCCGGTCGCTGCACCTGCGGTTTGGGCAGAATTAACCTAGGGCAGCTGCCTGTGGGCGGTCAGCGGGTTTTGTCTTTGGGGGATGGGGAGCGGGAGGGGAATCTCAGTTTTCAACGTAGTGATATGTCTGCTTGTTTGTTTCTTTGAAATGAGGTAAAGTGACTTTCCTGTATTTGATAAATTAATTCCCTGACTATATATATATATAGTCAAAAGCGTTTGATGGATGCAGCCTTTTTGAGTCATTGTTTGTTTCTTAGTTTTATATCTCACCTTTTCTTAGGAACTCAGGGAGATATAAATAATGCTCTATCCAATTTTTCCCATAACAGGCTGCCCTGAGAAACAGTGGCCTAAAGTCATTTGATGGCTGAGCTTGGGATGGGTAAACTTGGCCCTGAGTCACAAAGGTGCCATTCCCAATTTGCTTTTCATTTTGTAATAGGGAAAAGGTCTTGCAACCTTAAAATATACTCTTTACAGACCCAATGCCTTTCTAAGCAGGGTTGAAACCATTGCCTAAATTAGTTCTTACATAATACACAAGCAACTAAAATCATGTTAATTTCCAAGCTTTGTTCACGTTTCTTAAAATATAAACTTTCCTTGCTTCCCAATGGATACATATCTCTTCTGCTTTCCCAGATATTATATACCAAAGTAAGCAAAGTTTTTTTTCTTTGACAGGTAACAAAGGGTGAAACATTGACATAGTGTGATGCTGGCAAGGAGTCAACCTTAGGGGAAAAAAAGTGCAGCTGTTTAGAAGGCTGATGATCAGACTTCGGGTTTCTTCATTACTTAACATGGATGGGAGTTAACTCATTTTTGCCCCTTGGGAAGCTGCCTCCTCCATTTGGAGACTTTGTGTGGTGATTCCAGCTGAAACAGCTAAATTGTACAAGAGCATGTTTAATTATGTTGTTTTATACAAGCAAATTCACTCAGTTCTTGTCCTATTGTGTCCCATGTACACGCAGAACTCTGGCTTCACAGCAATTAAATGTTGATGGAACACAATCTTAATTTCTGGGAACACTGATTATTACTATGAGTTATTTTTGAAAATCTAAACAGATCAGGATATTATGCATAGTGTGTGGCTCTTATGGCTCACTCTTGCTGCTCAAGATATCAAGTAACCTATTTGAATAAATGTGCAGTATGTGTAGGGTGGGTTGGGCTGGGCTGGGGGAGATCATGTGCCAAGGGAGGGATGACTCAGTTTTCTAAGTATTTTATATTCTTTAATGTAATTTGAAATGTCTTTTCCATTTGTGTTCAACAATAAAATCACTTCTGCTTAACACATCTGAACATTTTTTTAGCTAATTTAAGAATACACATTCACTTGATACTGTCATAGAGTACTGTGTAACCCTTAGATTTGTCACATTCATGTATTATGGCTGTTTTATATTATGGTGCTTGTAGCATCTTGGAAATTTTTTGGTTCCTGTGCTGCCCCACTCCCACCACCACCACCCCGACAAGTGTATAGCAAGAGTTCTACAGGTGTTTAGTCAACCTTCCCCCAAACAGGTCCTTGGAAAACCCCTGTAGCACAGGTCCAGATGTCAAGCTCAGTACAGCAAGAGTCACTGGGTAACCAAGTCCAATGGCTACACACAAAGTCCAGGAATGTCCAGGAGTCAAATAGGCCAGGATACACAGCATGAGCACACAAGGCACAGAACTGGGCACATTGCTCCAACAACACTGAAGTCCTCAAAGTGGCTTTAAGTAGGCAATGCCAGTGCAGCCCTTCATGAGCAGTGAGGTTGCCTCCTCATGAGTAATCTAGCATTGACCGATGCTGTCTCCTCTCTGCTCTATGGGTCATTGGATTAAAGGAGGTGTGAACTCCACCTCCTCATTGCTAATGGGTGGTAGCTGCTCCTAGTCCTGGCCTGGAGCCTCCTGGCCAATTTGCTGCAGCTGCGGCGCACTTCCCTCAGCCTGTCACTGGTCCAATCAACCCAGCTGAGGCTGTTCCATCAGGCTAGCACTCTCAGAGCCCAAATCATAAACAATACTCAGCTCCACACTTTCCTTTGCAGACTCGAACTCAGCCTCCTCTGAACTCACATCTGGAGAGGGGTCCTGGGGTGGATCCATGACAGTTCTTACTAATAGATAAAGTTGGAACAAGACGTGTCTGGGAGATAAATTGGGAGGCATCCAGAGGTCTGGCTTTGCAGATTATTGGTTGCCAGATGCTGTTTCTTAAATTGGGCACCAGGAAGTGGCAGCTGGGATTGCTGTTCTCGTACCAGTTTCCCTGCTGCATGGCAACATCCCTGCCTGAACTCCTTGACTCTGTGGCTAGATTGGCAATGGAGTGCCTGAGCTAATGATCCTAGGGGATTTTAATTTGTCTTCACTGGCCATGGGGTTGGAGGTAGCTCAGGAGTTCCTAGCTACCATGGCAGCCATGGGCCTGACCCAAATTGTCCAGGGTCAACTTATAACAGTGGTAATGCACCTGTTTTCTAACTGGTCAATGGCAGAGTGTTTTGGATTTGAAGAAGATAATAGAATTCTCCCTTGCCATGGTCAGATACTGGTGAGCCTCCAGTTCTCTGGTGCCAACCATTCCTCAGGCAGGCTGGGCCTGCCCCCAGGTAATGGACCTGATTGGGTTCCAGAGGGCGCTTGGGGTTATTCCAGAAAATCTACTTCTTGGTCTCATTGAAGCCATCGTGGCTGCAAAGCAGTGGCGGCTTTAGATTGGATTTTGTCTGAGTGTCCTTTCTGTATACAGGATTCTCAATGCTCCCCGTGGTACATGATTAGAAGGTGTATAGTGGAAGCATACAGGGGGACAGTCCTTGACAGTCCCCAGACGAAACACTGCACATTCCACGCGCAGTGCGGCAACCTCAGCAGCATGGGCAACTCAGGCTTCAATTGAAGAAATATGTAGAGCGGCGACGTGGACGTTGCCTTCCCTTTTTATAAGACACTACAAATTAGACAGATTCGCATCTGCGGATGCCTCCTTTGGTAGTAGGGTACTCCAGTGCATAGTATCAGAGTGGGACACAGGCCCAGATGGCTGCCCACCCACAAGGACAGTGAGGCTTTGGTATGTCCCATTGGTGGATTCTCCACTTGTCATGCTGGAGAAGGGGCGTTGGTCTTACCTGAATGCCTTTTCTCAGCATGACGATGGAGAATCCACTCCCACCTTCGAGGCCAGTCAGGTCCCATGAGGGGAGAGGATAGAGTCAACACAAGAAAACATAGCCAAACAGCTTTGTCCCAGGAGGAGTGGCGGAGCAAAATTGGATGACTAGTCTACGGGCAGAAGTTAACCCATTGGTGGATTCTCCATTGTCATGCTGAGAAAAGGCGTTCAGGTAAGACCAACGCCCCTTCTCAGCGCTCCCCGTGGTACATGATAGAATTAAGGGCACTTATAGCAGGCTAAGAGCGCCAGTGACAAAAAACAAAACAAAGAGCAGACATGAGCTATAGCTGCCATCGGCCTACCTTGTGGTGATAAGAGCAGAGAAATGTAACTATTTCTTCACCCTTATTGCCTCTGCCAACAGTCACACAGTGACCCTGTTTCAGGTGACTGTCCTTCCTTGAAGGAAGCAATAGAAAGTTCACATAAAGGTTATTGTGAGGAATAGGCTGCACATCTGGTGATTGAAGTAGTTGACATTCACTCCATGGTGGACTCCAATTTTAAAGCAGAATCTGGTGAGGTGGTGGGGTTATATCTTGCAAGGTGAACCTGGGAAGAATTTGGGAACTGAGAAAGTGGACAAGGCCCTCTCAGCTGCTAGTTTGGCCACTTGTATAATAGATCCATGCCCTTTCTGGCTTATTAAAGCTGCAATCCCAGGGAGATGGAATTGGGTCTGGGTGGTAGTTTATGCCTCCTTGAAAGAGGGAGTGGTCCTATGAATTCTTAAAAGAGGCAGTAGTGACCCCCTCCTCAAAGGACCATTGCATGATCCAACCAAGCTGGGAGGCAGAGGGCTCCAACAGATCCTAAGAACAATATCAGAGCTCTCTGTCCAGAAGAGTGCGGTGTTAGGAACAGTTAAGATACTGCACAGAATCCTCAAACTCCCACGCCATAAAGGACCCAGCATTGAGGAAGACAAAACCACCCATAGGGTGAGGGTTTATATATACACAAGTATAATTAAGTTTCTTAATGAATGTACCAGAGATAAAATTATTCAAGATGCCTGCAAACTGGAGAAAATAAACTGAGATTTTTTTCAAACATGGAAATACTTTACAAAAAAGAACTGTGTTGAAATTTCTAAACAGAATTGTTGATAAAAATGGGAAATTAAAATGCAGATTTCCATTCAAACTTACGATTTTGAAGCCACAAGGAGCAGAGAAATCTTGACCAGTTTAAGAATAATATGTCAGCCTAAATTCAGTTGGAAAGTGTGGTAATATTCTAATAGTTTTATTACCCGGTTCTGTTAGCAAATAGTCTTATGGCTAAGATACAAAATTTAGCAATTGGAAAGGTAACAGCTATCATCAAGAAAAATTTAAAAACACTGACTGGAACAGTTGGAATCACCCATTAGAAGTTGAATTAATCGAGGTTTCCTATATTTACACTTGAAAAAGATCTGCTCTAGGGTTTAAATTTCACGACACCTCCTGAGGTCAGTGCGAGGAATGGCCTTGGAGATTAAAAGAAGCAGACGCAGCTGTCCAATGGAGATTACAGTAGGGTGATGAGGAGGATTCAAAACACAAGCAATAACAGCGAGAAAAAAAGTTGCCAAGGTTGAGAAACACTGATGTATCGCATATTAATTCCCACTGGAAAATTTCTGTGTAAATTGTGCCCAGGTTATGCTACTGTATATATCTCTCTTTTATCCTCTGCCAGAGCATATATTTTTTTATCGCCTTTAAAGTTTAGCGTCCCTGCCTTCAAAATACGTAAACCAAATGTCTTCTTCGGTGGAGCAGTGCTGATAAGTGGGGGGGGGAGAACCTTCTTTCGGGCACGCCTAACCCCAAACGTTTGCTTTCTGCGTCAGCTTCGCCTCCTCCCTGTCAGGCTTAAGACTTTCATTTTCGTTCTTGGATGCCGCGACCTGAAAGTAGTTCTGGGAATCTGGCTTACTTTGCTCTGGTTCGGTTTTCCTTGGCTGCCTTCCCGGACCGGTGAGGCACTTTTGGAGTTGAATTGAGACGCTGGGTGGGGCTGGCCTACGGCCTGTTATGGAAAGGGGCCGCATTTCACTGAAACGCGGTTCAAGGGTGCAGAGGAGGGTGGCTGCTCCCTTTATAGAAAATGCCTGAACTATGGCCGCCAGCGCGGGAGGGAAGGGAGGGGCGGAGAGACTTGGTTCTTGCCGTTTGGGCAGAGGAGAGATAAGTGTCTGGGAGTGGGTAGCCTCTCCTTTGTGGGTAGCTGGGGAGCGGGTAGCCTCTCCACTGAGAGATTTTTCGACCGAGCGGGTCAGGGAGAGCGCCTGTGACTATTATATAGTGCACCAAGCTGCAAAGCCATAATAACGTATCTTTTATAGCAGTTGAAGTTTGCATGTATTAGTACTGTATTATGGCAAAGTTTGATGAAACGAAGATAGGAATTGTATTCTAGCTGATTTGCAAGGTCTGGGCTGCCCAATCTTGTTTTATAACTTCTGGAAAAGTAGACTTTTTGTTAAGTCAGATAGGAACTTCCTTTCTTACCTGGTTTCTCTACAGATTTTTCAACTGAAAAACTTTCAAGGCTGTTATTGCTAGCTAATAGAGAAGCCAATACTAGTTAATCATTACCACAGATCTGCTTATAATAAGAGGGAACATACCATTGGCAAAATAGCTTTAGATAAAATGATAACTAAAATATAATTGCATTTAGAAATTTAAAACTGCTTTTAATCCTTGGATATAAAGAACAGAACGCTGCCTGTGAAGGGATAAAACTACAGCGACTATATTTTTTTGGAAAATATAAAGCATAAACCTGAAAAATGGGCAAATCTGAAAGACAAGCCAGCGAAGCAGCCATTGCAGTGCTGCTAGATATTTTAGAAAGGGAAAGTACATATTTATACATAGAACCTTGGCATGACCTTACTTTTACTACTTTTAATTCCAAAATCTGGTTTATAATTAATTTCAGTGGTGGGATTCAAATATGTGAGCAACCGGTTCTCTGTGTAGGATGTTGCTTCCGGAGGTTCATTCTGGGCCTGGTCAACAAAAAATTAGCTACCAGCCGAAGTGGTGGGAACTGGTTGAATTCCAGCACTGGTTAATTTCCCTTATATTGCCCATTCTCAGATCCCCAAAATTGTATCTGACCAAGTCTGGATATGTTCAAGTTACGGCAGCTCTGATTTCTCACACCATGATGCCCTGCTTGTTTCTACCAGAAATAACACATCCGTTCTAACTTGGTGAGCAAACATCTGGTAGAAGTTGGCTATCTTCTGCTGCAGAGACCAAAAATACCTTCTGGTATTTTTCTGTAGCTGGGATTTCACCATGGTTTTGAATAATACAATTTGTTGTACAGACACTCTTCAATTTATGTCCATGATTGAGGCCAAAATTTATATTGAGACAGTTAAGTGAGTTTTGCCCCATTTTACGACCTCTTTTGCCAAAGTTGTTAAATGAATCTTTGCAGTTGTTAAATTAGTAACACAGTTGTTAAGTGAATCTGGCTTCTCCATTGACATTGCTTGTTGGGAGATTGCAAAAGGAGATCCTGGGACACGGCAACTGTCATAAATATGAATCAGTTGCCAAGCATCTGAATTTTGATCACATGACTACAGGGATGCTGCAGTGATTGTAAGTGTGAGAAACAATCATGTCACTTTTTTCAGTGCCATTGTAACTTTGAATGGTCACTAAACTGTTGTAAGTCGAGGACTATCTATACTGCTCCAAACCAAACTAAATGCCTAGTTAAATTTGGTCTCAGCCCGAGTTTCTTTTCTGCTCTTGTTTTTAAAAAGACGCTACTGCATTCAGGATCCCAAGCCTGGCCCTGGTTGGTTTGAGTGTGCATTGAAACTCAGACATGGTTGGTGATTAATGAATGCAGGATGGTGAAAATGCCTATTCACTGCAAGTGGTAATTATGGTATTCCACCTACCTGCCAAGATTATGCAAAATTCATTCTGAATGCCAACATTTACTTTGGTTTTTTTCCTGGCCTCTAAAATATGTTGTGCTTGTAGCTTGGCTATAACCTTACAATGGCCACCGGAGGAGGAAAGATGAAGGACTTGCTTGTAGATGCTTTAGAACGTCTTGAGGAAAAAGACATTAAGTTGTTTAAGTCTAAGCTGCGATGTGTAGCAGCTCCTTGGGGAAAGAATATTCCACGCGGTCGGTTGGAAAATGCAGACCGGCTGGATCTGGTGGAGCTCCTTGTCGAATTCTACGAAGAGAAGGCTGCTACACTAATGATAGCTATCTTGGAAGACATGGGTTTCAAGAAAAATGCTTCCAATCTCAGCAAAGGTATGGATGTACTGAAACATAATTAGTTGTAGAGTGGGCAAGGGTATTGTAGTATGGGCAATCTCCCTGTACCTGTTGCCTGTAGTTTAAGGGAGTTGCACTAAGACAGGAGTGTCAACTCAATTTCATTGAGGGACGCATCAGCATTGCAGTTGCCCTCAGGGGACTGGGTGGGTGTGGCCAGGTTAGATGCAGCCTACTGGGTGGGTGGGCGTGGATGGAGTGGGTGTGGTTTCGGCAGGCAGCAAGGCGCTCACCTGAGCTGAGCTGGACAGTGCAAATCTGATGAGAAGTGCAATGCTGCCTAGCCCCCAGCCTGCCCAGTTTCAGCAGGCAGCAAGGTGCAAAGTTGGTGAGCTTCGCACGGCCCGGCTCAACCTCTTGGCGCTGTGAAGAGAGAACCCCGCTGCCTGCCGAAACCAGGCAAATTGGGGGGTGGGCAGCATCATGCTTCTTTTTGGATTTGCGCCGCCTGGCTCAGCCTCTCAGCGCTGTGAGGAGAATGCCCCCCTGCCTGCCAAAATGCCTCCCCCAGAGCCCATCAAGCTGCATATGTGAAGTAGGCAAGGGCTATTTGCTGGCCACTTCCAGGTGATGGTGCATTTCTTCATTCCTCACAAAGATGACACCTCCCCAGCATGCACCCAGGGGGCGGGGCCAACATGGCAGGGGCTGGTTCCTTGCTGTTTCCAGACGGCCTTGTGGAGCTAAGACTGAATACCTTTCAGTATAGATGACCACCATAAAATTGTACATTGGCTCCTGGCTGGCCTGGGCCAGGGCCAAGGCAGTGGAGGCCGTTCCCTCACTGTTTCCAGGATGGTTTCGCGCACCACATGAAACCACTTCACGGGCCGCATCCGGCCCCTGGGCCTTGTGCTTGACATGTCTTCACTAAGAGAATACACATTGGAGTGAAGGAAGCAGTGTGTGATTGCACCTTTCTCTGTCATAAGACCTTAACTCAAACATGTTACTTTTCTGGGTCCTCACACCTACCATGCAAAGCGAAGAAAACCAGGAAAGTGTGAGTTCTAATCCTGCCTTAGGCATGAAAGCTGCCTGGGTGACTTTGGATCAATCACTCTCAGAGCTACCCATATCACAGGGTTGTTTGAAGAAATTAGTAGGCAGGAGTATTAGATATATTTGCTGCTGAGAGTGAGAAAGAGAAAAGAAAGGAAAGGAGAAAGAAAGAAAGTATGCTTTGTACAAAGCCATTAATTTTTCAAAGCACTTTGAAGTTATTATCACCTGTATTTCTTTTTAGTGGGACCTTTAGACTTGACGTCCTGTCAGGCACAAAACAAGGATGCTAATTAATTAATGTGTTTCCTTTTCAGAGCTCAAGGATCAAGTTCAGGGTATGTGAGCACCTCATTACAAGGCCTTAGAATTATTGATATAAATGTATATAAACCCCAAGGTAACTGCATATTTTTTTCTTTATTTTTGGAGAACAGTTAGGATATTTTAGAAGAATGTATAAAAACTAAACACTTGAACATATTTCAAGTAGAAAACTAAAAACAGTCTAAAGATTTTAGAGATATAACTAGTTAACGAGTTCCAAATTGATATTCGTCTGTGATATTATTGGAGTAGCGAACGAATGATCATTTAGAGATCTGTGCTAGTGTTGCAGAAGTGAGAGACTTGAGTCAGCTCTTTTGTGGAAAGGGAAGTTTATTTGTGCAGGTTCAGAGAGCTGTACACAGCTAAAGAGGTCTGAACGTCAGACTGGGGCATAGATGATCATATTTATCCCCCCCCCAATACGTAAGTATTTCCTGATCAAGACATCTTCCATACATGGTTACATCCTATAGTTCCTTATTCTAACACAGGAATGCTTTTAGCAGTTTGCAATATATCACGTGATAGACAGTTTGCAATATATCACGTGCAGAGTTAAAAACAGGATATCAGGCTAGTCTGGCATTTCTAAATTTAAGTGTGGTCTGGGGAACAGGAAAACCTCCCTTTCACCCACAATTTCTGTCAGACAATCAGAATTTTTCCAGCCTCCCACTTTACTAGGGAGAATAGGTCTAAGCTTAATCTTTGCAATGTTGCTAACAAATATTAGGGTCTAAGTAAATCTACTTCTATATGATGAGTGACACAAGCTCTATAACTAGGGTAGGTCTAGAATATGGTAGCTTAAAAAAACCTAAATTAGAATTTATATGTACCCAATCCATTCAGAAACATTATAGCAGACAAGCATCACATCTGCTTCAGAATACCTCTGTTCTTGACAACTTGAACAAAACAAACACAAAAAATTATTGGAGGAATCAGTGATGAATACCTGCCATTCTCAAACTGGTGCCCTCTAGAAATATTCAACTTTCATAATCCCTAGTCAGTATAACTTTTGGTAGAAAGTACTAAATTGTGGAAGAACGATGTAGATGGATATGAAGAAGAAGCCCTGTGAGATGGAGGATCTCTTGATAGACCACTTAGGAACTACAATCATACTAAATGATGCGGTCTTCTCTATGCTTTCTGGTATTTTCCTAGGTTACAAAAAGAAGTATGCCAAGTATGTGAAGGAAGAATGCAAAAATATAGAAAGGAACAGTCTGTGTGGTGAGAGCATTCCTTTGAATTCACGCTATGCAAAGCTGCTTATTATCCAGAAGCATCAGTCCCAAAAGCAGAAGGAACATGAACTCCTTGCCACTGGCGGGTTACACTTGGAAATCCTGAGAACCTATAGTCATAATTTATCCATTGACCTTGAAGATTTATTTGAACCCGATGAATCGGGAACAATTCCAAAAACAGTAGTGTTGCAAGGACCTGCAGGGATTGGGAAAAGCATGACTGTGCAGAAGATGATGCTGGACTGGGCTGATGGGCGGCTGTATCCAGACATGTTTGATTATGTATTTTGCATCCATTGCCAGGAATTGAACTTTGCTGAAAAAGCCAGCAGCTTGGTTGAACTTATTAATGAGCAGTGTCAGGACAGAGTTGCCCCAGTGGATGAAATCTTAGCCCACTCTGAAAAACTGCTCTTTATCGTTGATGGCTTTGATGAGCTTTCTCACTTTTTAGAATCTGAAGGTTATTTGTGTGACAATCCTAATTTAAAGGTCCCTTTGGAAAGTATTTTAAGCAGCCTGCTGAGGAAGATACTCTTGCCAGATTCCTTCCTCTTAATCACCACCAGGCCAGGTGCTCTAGAGAGACTGCAGCAATGCTTGAAGTTTCCCTGGTTCACTGAGATCGTTGGCTTTTCTGAAAAAGGTCGCCGTGAGTTTTTTTCCAAGTTTTTTGAAGAGGAGAAGAAAGCCAACATTGCACTGAGATTCATTGAAAATACTGTTGCGGTGTCCACCATCTGCTTCATTCCAATGGTGTGCTGGATCATTTGTTCTGTGATGAAAATAGAACTGGAAACCGAAGATGAGATTGCAGGCACCTTGGATACCACAACAAAAGTCTTTTTGCAGTTCTCTCATATTTTTCTTAAACACGATAATCCCAGATGGAAAACCTCCCCTGAAAATGAGTTCAGAAAACTTTGTTCTTTGGCCAGAGCTGGCATAATGCAACAAAAAGTCCTTTTTGAAGAGCAGGATCTCAAGGAACATTGCTTGGATATATCAGCTCTTAAGGATCTCTTTTTAGAGAAAAGAGCTTTCGGGACAGGTTTGGGCAGGTGCAATCTCTACAGTTTTTTCCATCTCTGCTTTCAAGAGTTTTTTGCTGCCATGTGGTATATACTGCCAGCGGAGTCAACAGAAGAGATGGATCACATTATGGATGACTTGCAGAGATTGTTGGTTGAATGGGAGAAGCCAAATAATCAACATTTTGCACTAACTATATGTTTCATATTTGGCCTGACAAATGAAAAAACACACATCTTCTTTGAGCAAGCCCTGCAATGCAAGACTTCTGACCTTGTAAAGCCTCTCTTATTACAGAAAGCAGAAGAAGTAGCTGCTAAGGAACACATTCAAAAACGCTATTTCCCGCTAAATTTTTTTCACTGCTTGTTTGAGAGCCAGGAGCCAGAATTTGCAAAGAGGGTGATGCATCACTTCCAAAATATTAACTTTTCCTCCAAAACGCTGTCCATGTTAGACTGCAAAGTCTTGGCGTTTTGTCTGCAACATAGTACAATTGAGGATCATTCCCTTTGCTTACATTTCTGCGGGTTGAAATCTCATCACATAAAGGCTTTGGGTCCAGGAATTAAGAACTGTACAACATTAGAGTAAGTGATCCATCCTTTCCTGTTTCCAAATTTAGATTCAAACTGAAACTGAGATTTTTAAGCATCTTTCATGTTTTGATCCTGCCTTTGCTAATTGTGCCTTCTCATATTTTGAAAGACTCATTTATCATTTTGTTCTGCAGAATTATTCACAACAGTGTGAAACCACAGCTGACAGTTCTTTAGGTGGTGTTGATCTTCATGCTCGCTGAGTTCTTCCCAAGATGTCATAATATATCAGCATCATATAAGTGCAGATCCAAGCAGTGGGGCCTTTTGTAATTGACAGATGGAAATTTTGACAATGTGCATATTTTGTATGTGCTGTCCAAGATTTTTTTTGGTATGGTACACAGTGTGCCAATAACCACTGGGGCCATCATAGCTAGTTTATACCATAATATTTCAACTTCAATTAATACTTCATGCTCTCCTCCAGTTCTTTCTCTTCTATTCCATCATCTAGTATTGCTACATCAATTATCCACACTTTATTCTTTTTAACTACATTGCAGGTTTGGAGATAACAAATTTGGAAACTCAGGAGTGAATGTTCTCTGTACCATTCTGAAGCAACTGGGTTGTAATTTGGCTGATTTGAAGTGAGTAATAAGAGAGCAAAGGCACATCTAAACAGTTGGGTGCATATTTTGTCTTGGAAGAATTGGGTGTCCTTATCCATCCTAATAACTAGCAGCCAACTGGGTGAAATTCTAAAGTAATTAGGCATTAGTTACTCAGAACTGATATTCAGAAGAGTCAGTTTAATCAATGTGAATAATGAAGAGCAGTGAGGAGAGAATGAGTCATTCCTAGAGAACTCAGCAGCCAACTACTAAAAAACATACAAAGATCATCTTCAATTCCAGGCTACACCTGAAGTCCTACCCTCAGTCAACTGAGGTAAAGGAATTCTTTGCTTGGATGTTTGCTTTCTGCTGCTTACAAAAGATTTTCCAATGTTCCTCCTAAACTGGATGAAACATAGCTTACTAAGGAACTCTAGGCATTTCTTGTGCTGAACTTCAAGTCTTTTTTGATCATATGTCTACAGGAACCTATGGATTTTTCCTCATTTAATAACTTACGACATGTGATACTATATGGTTCTATGTTGGTACAAATCTCAGTGTTATGACAACATGCAATTGAGAAGGACTGTTTTACTCATAGGTTCCCAGGGAAGTGTTTTAAACAGTTTTATGCATCAGAATTTAACAATGACTCTAATCATCAAATGTTACAGTACTTGGGGGGGGCTGTATTTTTTGTGAGATCTCTACATTTTAGGATCAGTCACACTCATTGACTGATTGGCTTCAGAATGAGTATAAATGCCAAAGTGACTTTTTTCCAGGTTAATTGATATACGCGAACACCATGCATTTATCACTTAAGGGTACAACCTGAATAGTGTTGATGTTGATTTGTATCCAGGCTAACATTTCCTGAATCAAGTCCAAGGCATAGGGCAATATTTAGACCAGGAAGGCTTCAGAATGAGTATAAATGCCAAAGTGACTTTTTTCCAGATTGATATATGCCAACACCATGCATTTGTCACTTAAGGGTACAACCTAGATAGTGTTGATGCTGATTTGTATCCATGGTAACATTTCCTGAATCAAGTCTAAGGCCTAGGGCAATATTCAGACCAGGAAGGCTCTGTCACATCAGCCAAAGGTTAATTCAAATATAATTGGTTAAAGTGAGGTGGGGTGGAGAGTACCATCTGTAATAATTTGCTTCTCACGTGTATGTTCTGATTTTGTTATCAAAAAAGATTGAGCAAACTTGTAACGTGGCTTTTAATTTTCTCTTTGCCAGACTTGATTGCAATAACCTCACAGACGCTTGTGCCCAAGAGCTTTGCACTGTTCTCAGAACTAGTCACAGACTTTTCAGTTTAGGTCTTCAAGATAACTCCTTCACAGAGAATTCTGTCCCATTCATCCAAGACTTGATGAAAAAATGCACCAGTTTGGCTATTGTGGAGTGAGTACTGTATTGATAAAGCTGGGAGAGAACATTTGGCTTGCCTTCTGGGAAATGGATATTATTATTCTGCAAGTGTATGTGCTGAGACCTAGTGGAATGTTTGTGTTGGCTATCCCAGTACCATTGGGTTGAGCATTTCAAAGTGGGAGACTCAGTTACAGTGGTGATGGGAACGCCATTGGAAGAGTGAGTTAGGGGAGACATCATGACGGAGGGAAACTATCCTGCCCACGGGCAGGAGATCCTATACCAGTGATGGCGAACCTTTTAGAGACCGAGTGCCCAAACTGCAACCCCAAATCCATCAGGTGCGGGTGGGCGTGGCCCATTGGGTGGGTGTGGCCAATTGGGTGGGCATGGCTGCAGTGGTAACGGCAGACTGGGTGGGACTAAAAAGTTCAATCAATCAATTCCAACTTTGCAAGATCTTTTTTTCCCCACAAAAAGTTGAAATTGATTGATTGATTGAACCTTTTTTTTTTTATTTTGCACAAGGCGGCAGAGGCCTAAAGTGAATTTTTTTTATAAAACCCAGCTGAAGGCTAGGACTGGGGCGACGGTGCGCGTGCCCACAGAGATGGCTCTGCGTGCCACAGGTTTGCCACCACGGTCCTATACCACTCCAGACAAGTGGTTTCCAGTCTTTTCTTGAAAACTTCCAGTGATGGAGCAGCCATAACTTCTGGAAGTAAGCCTTTCCACTGATTTCATCGTTCTTACTATCAGGAAATTTCTCCTTAGTTCTAGGTTGGATCTCTCTTTAATGATCTTCCACCCATTACTTCTTATCCTGCCCTCAGGTGCTTTGGAGAATAAATTCTAGTACCTTCAAGTACTGGAAGACTTCTGTCATGTTATCCCTAGTCCTTCTCTTCTTTAGGCTAGATCAACCTAGTTCCCTTAGTCACAAAGTTTCATACCAATCAAAAATGTGAAAATAGAAGAAATAAATAAAATGGCATGTTTGGAAAAACCAAAAGTTAACCAAAGAATGAAATTTGTTAAATTGTTAACAATTATGCATTAGGTTTAGGTGATCAGATACAAATATTCCCCATTCACTGAGAAGGGAGGTGTCTGTCTGTCTGTCTAGCTGTCTTGTCCATCTTGAACAGTTTTTCAAGGGTGGGATTTTCTTGTAGTGGTGAAGGAAGCTCTGTGGGCTGAGTTTCCTTTGGGATATATTTAAACAATGGGAAGCTGAGAAGGCTGCAGATTGCGAGAGACGGACAGACAGACAGAGAGTAGTGTAATGGAATATAAGTTCCTTGACCTCTCCTAACTACATAATGTATGTGCAAGATGACCATTGTCTACCTGTGAGCCTTTTTCCAAAATTCTCATTTGAAATAATGTATAAAGCAAATTTTCCTTCATAAAATTGAATGAAACCTAGTTTAGTAGATTAAAGTACCATTATGGCCAATTAGAGATGGCATGACAATCCATATAGGTAGTGCTCAACTTATAACCATTCGTTTAGTGATGGTTTGAAATTACAAGAGCACTGAAAAAAATAACTTATGACTGGTTCTCAGATTTATCATCATTGCAACAGTCTCACGGACACATGATTCAAATATGGGCATTTATCAGCTGGCATGTATTTATGACAATTGTGCAGTCTCAGCTCATGTGATTACTATTTGCGACCTTCCCAGCTGGCTTCTGAAATCAGATTCACTTAACACCCATATGATTCACTTCACTGCAGTGATTTGCTTAACAATTGTGACAAAAAGAGTCATAAACTGAGGTGTGACTCACTTAAGTCCCTTGCTTAGCAACCGAAAAGTTGGGCTTAGTTGCAGTCATAAGCCAAGGACTATCTGTACCAAACACTGGCCTCATATGTAGCAATTTGTTGTAGCTTCTTTTTCATTTCTTTTCAGCTTATCATCAAATAACTTTAATAAAAGAGGACAAAAATCCCTGAATCTGCAAGTCAAGGAGATAACTGAATCAGGGCGTCGCTTTGTGTTATGGATATGACTCTATTCTCTCACGGTAGCTACAGAACAAAAGGTAATCAATCCTTGGAGAATAATTTCAAGGAAGTATTTCTACAAGTTTATACCAATTTCAGTTGTTGAAAACAATTTTCAGACAAAAATGTAGACACGAACAATCATTCATATCTTAGAATATTGTGGCATATTGCTTTCCAGGAAATCACTTTCTTTGAAAAACATTAAGTATCCCCTAATATTTAGGGAAATGGGAAACCCATTTGACCAAATTTTAATTATTGATTCTAACATTTATATAAGCAGAAAGATGAGGTTTGCATGTAATAATAAGTCAGTAAAAATAACACTTGAAGCCAGCTTTTTTCCAGATCCTATTGTCAGCGTAGATCAGGAGTCTTCAAACTTGGCCCTTTTATGACTTGTGGACTTCAACTCCCAGAATTCCTCAGCCAGGCACGCTGGCTGAGGAATTCTGGGAGTAGAAGTCCACAAGTCCTAAAGGCCTGGTGTAGATAGTGATTATATAATACTTGTATATAGTATATAAAATATATGTTCTAAGATAGGCAAGGAGATATCTGCTTGAACTGATTTTTTGAGGAGATTCTGAAGAACTAAAGCAAGGAGTCATTTTAAAAAATTTAAAATTGGTCCAAGATTATTTTCATCAGAGTATTTTTAATATTGATGTAGTAATGATGAACTAACAAACATGCATCATCCTTGTGAAGGTTTATGTGATCATTAAGATTTGGCAATGACTTCATGGATCATAATTGATCAACAGACATGTATAATTTGAACAACTGGCATCTATATCAGAGAATTAGTATGTGGTCAGAGTAATACCAGTTTCAAAAATCAATGTTGAATCTGGGGCAAAAGGTGATTTTCATCCTACAAAATAAAATTGTCATTAATATTGAAAAGTTATTACAATGCATAGTGTAGTCACAGTTGGAATATTATATACAGCACTATTTGGTTCTTGCTGTGATATTATGGCAACAATCGAGAACAAACACTAAATGAGACAAGAAAAGCACTGAGAAATTATTGATCTTGTCTTAAAGACTAGCATGATGTCAGAGCCCCAGCAAAATTCGGTACTGAAAACTTTGGAAAGACATTAATAAGTAGGATTCAGAACCAAAATGGTCTGATGGACTGAAAGGCAAGATATTAGAAATAATCCTTGCTGATCCACCAAATAGTTGTTTCCTGTAAATTCAAACTGATTGCACAGGTCATCTTTTTTTCTAAAAAAAATTATAGAATTAAGAAAGGTGTCTAAATGAATCTGATTTTGATAGAGGTTCCTATCCATAAACTCTTTCTACCTTGACACTAGTTTCATCATTACACAATGACTTTCTATCACACCAGCTTCACAGTGCGGTTCTGTCAATTTGCCCAATTATCCATGTAGTTTTCCTAGTAGCAATACAGCATGTTATGACCTTCACCCAAACATTTTCTTTTATTGTTTTCCCAGTCTAGGGAAAACTGTGAGATATTACAGGTTTCTGGGTCATTGTCTGTCTTTTTCCCTTTACAGGAATTCTTGTCAATGGATGGGAGTGGGGAAAGGATGGAAGAATGTTCAAATGGATTTACAGTGCTAAAGTATTGCAGTTTGTGGCCTCTTCTTTTCTTCTAAAAGTAGGGTTAACACATCTAGGCTACAAAAAGCCAGGAAGCTCCTGGTAGGCACTGAAGACATATACAAACGATTTTATTTGCGACCATCGACTGATCATCCAGGTTGCTGCAATCTAGAGATAGTAACTGTGAGACTACTGCTTGAGTGCTTCTTCTTGATATTCTGTCATACATGTGCTTCATTTTTCCAATAAATTTGCATTATTGACCAAACACTGCTTTTAAGCCAAACTAGGTGTGATGGGTTTTATGTTTGCTTGGAGACTGGTTTCTAGAAATATCCAAGTCATAACAGACACTAAAAGCAATTTTTTTAAAAAAAGAGGTTAGGGATTATAATATCACTAAAGCTGATTTTATTTAGATGTATTTTCAAGGCCCCTTTTTGTGGCCAATTTATCCAGTAGTATGTAATTTATGAATATCTAGTGAAAGACTATTACAATCAGTACACAACTGTGGAGGTTCATCTGAAATGTTAATAGTAAATGAAGCAATCTAGGAAACACAATTTTGTCAATATTGCACTATTTAAAATATATTTGTTCCAGTTATTTTTTCTGCATAATAATAATAATAATAATAATAATAATAATAATAATAATAATAATAGTAGTAGTAGTAGTAGTAGTAATAGTAATAGTAATAATAATAAAAGTTGGAAGGGACCTTGGAGGTCATCAAGTCCAACCCCCTGCTCAGGCAGGTAACCCTATACCATTTGTCCGAAATGGTATAGGGCAGTGGTTCTCAACCTTTTTAATGCCACGACCCCAACCGGTCGTAAGTTGAGGACTTTCCCTGCCCGGGAGCATCGCATATGCATGGTGCCGCCCCCTGCGCCGGCTGAGGCGTAGCTGCCAAGGGGAAGTGACGGCGCAGGGTGGCTACCGGCTGGGCCACCAGCTGGCCCAGCCCAAGGGAGGTAAGGCACCCGCCGGGCCCCACGTGCGCCAGCAACCCTCCCTGCGCCCGCCGGCCTCTCACCTCCCACCCCTGGCCCTCTTTTACTTACATTTTTAGTAGTTGCTCAGCAGGGAGGAGTGGAAGCTTCCAGACAGCTCGCCTTCACTGCAGACAACTTGCAGCACCGTTTGCAGACTGGGGCTTTTGGCGGGCTCAGCAGGGCAGAGACAGCCTGGACAATTCCTATTGGCTTTTGAAAGCCAATAGAATTAGACTCTATTCAAGAGAGTCTATTCTATTGGCTTTCAAAAGCCAGTAGAATAAAAGGGAGTAGCACAGCTAAGGAAAAGGGGAAAAAAACGGCGGACTGCGTTGTTTGGCGACCCCCGTGAAATGGTCGTTCGACCCCAAATGGGGTCGCAACCCATAGGTTGAGAACCGCTGATATAGGGTTACCTGCTTCATTGAGTATATGTATGATTATACTCTGAGATCAGCTGCCAATGAAAAAAAATTGAAATTGAGCTGCTTAGCATATTAATCCAGCAAAGCTAAAACTATAGATTAAAAGCAATGTGACAATATCACAGAGTGGAACCTACTAGCACATATCACAGAGATAGATCAAAACATCATAGTGCATCTTGGAGTATTTTGTAAGAGAATAGGAATAGAAAACAGAACAGAATAGAATAGAAATAGAAGCTGGAAGGGACCTTGGAGGTCTTCTAGTCCAGCCCCCTGCTCAAGCAGGAGAACTTATACCAGTGATCTTTTAGAGACCGAGTGCCCAAAAACCACTCTGCCCCCATACCACCCCTGCTCCACCCACCCCTGCTCCATTCCCACCCTGTCTGCCCATAGGGCCACTTACCACCTCCACGCCCCGCCGCAGATTGTCCAGGCATCCCAGCAGCGCCATGGTGGCCACGCCCTCTGCCCACGCCCCACAGCATCAACTACGCATGACGGCATGAGGGCGGAGTCTTGTCCCCACTGCCCGGCTGCCATGACGTTGGCTATGCTGCTCCATGGAGGCGACTCTCCTCAAGGGGGGCTGCTGGTGAGGAAGGGGGCATGGGGGGAGGCGGGGCTGGGGCAATGGCACACGTGCCCACAGAGACGGCTCTGAGTGCCGCCACTGGCATGCGTGCCATAGGTTTGCAACCACTGACTTACAACATCTCAGACAAGTGATTGTCTAGCCTCTTTTTAAAAATCTCCAGTGATGGAGCATGCATGATTTCTGGGGGCAAGCTATTCCACTGGTTAATTGTCTTCACTGTCAGGAAGTTTCTCCTAAATTCCAATTTGCTTCTCTCTGATCAGTTTCCAACCATTGTTTCTTGTCCTGCCCTCTGGTGCTTTGGTGAATGACCTATGACCCCCTCTTCTTTGTGGCAGCCCCTCAAATACTGGATTGCCTCTACTATGTAAGATTTAAATTTCCAATATAAAAATGAGCTATTATATCATAACCTTATATTAATCACCTTTGCCAGATTTAGTGATCATCACCTGCAAAACTGAACAGCAGCTGTTTACCTTTAATCAATGGTTGTCTATTTTCTCTGAGAAACAATCGGTCTTTAAATAGAATGATATAAAGCAGGCATGTCAAACTCGCAACGTCACATGACGTCGCGCAACATATCGGGCCTGTTTTGCCATTGCCAGCAATGGGGTGGGTGCGGCGTCCATGTGACGTGTCCGGCCTGTGGGCTGGCAGTTTGACACCCCTGATATAAAGGAATGTTAAAGTGCTGCTGGTCAAATAACAAAACCTGCCTATTTTCATAGAACCCTGGGTGATGGCTTGATAGAATTTAATAATCGAATTATAAAAGTTTTCAAATTCCCATATCCATTATTCCCCCTTCCCACCCTCAATTACTTCTGACAGCAAAGAATGGAGAGAGGTGCTTAGGCATTTCATTTTGCTTTAGTTGCCCAAATAAGATTGCACCTTGTCTTTACAGCAAGAAGATAGGATCTGCCGGCTTGAAGCAGAAACATGTCTTGGATTTGTTTCAATAAAATTCTGTTTTTTAAAAAAGTTAAGCTAGTTCTCTGTGAAAAAGTCTGCCTCCTCTGTTAAAGACAAACACATACCCCCCAAAAATCCCATCTACAACTCACGTTTGAAAACTGCTTTTCCCATTATACTCGAGAAAGAACAATATCTACGTAGCTCTTTTTTCCATTTGCTGTTCCTGCCATGGAAATCCTATTTATCATTGTTCCGAGTTCACTGAATTCCACTGTTTTGTACTCCAAGATACATGTCTAATACAGCTGTAGTTTCCATCAAGATCAAGAATCAATTCATCAATCAAATCAAGAGCATTTTACCTTTTCCAATGTTTCTGCTATTCTATTTTCTTTGGTTTGGTTTGAGGTACAAAGAGTTGATGCTCTTGTTGCTTCCTCTACACCAGGGGTGTCAAACTCGCAATGTCATCAATGGTGGGATGCAGCCAATTTGCATCACTTCAGCAGAACCGGTAGCTATTGACGTACCAGAAATATAATAAATTGAGTCTGTCAGAAATCCAGATACAGTTTATTAATTTTCACATTAATAAAAGTTTATGAACCATAAAACTTAGAAACTACAATGGCACACATTACACCAAAACTAACAACCATATTACAATCTGGCTTATATAATATACTAAGCCACCATTCTGATCTATACAATACAGCACGCCATAATGTACTTTGTGGCTTAATGTGTAAATTTAGCCCACTGTGGTTTAAATGTTTTATCATTTAACACACTCAATGGAGCACACTTATTTAAGTTCACACAACATTCTCAACCATAAATTGAGGTCTGTTTTCATGTAGCCAATACAAAACAAAAGACAAGTGTGGACAATAATTCAGATTAGAATAACTAGCTCATTTTCACTTGTTCACTCATGAATTATAATTTGTGAACCAGCCAGTGAGATTTGCTTTTCTTCTTTTAAGTAGCACCAATTCATAGGTGATCATTTATGTTTGGACTCTGGAAGGTTAGAATATATTTGGAGGGGAGGCACTCTTCTTACCCTGATGGCAAAACTCTGATGGAAAATTATGACATTGCGCTGCTGTTCGGTTATCGCCCGGGTTATTCCAGACCTTAGGCGATATTATCCTTTTTTACGTGCACAGGTAATGCGTCTCGAATGATCCGGCTACCGCATGAGAGCCGAAAGCCAAGCCTTTGGGGAAGCGAGAGCATCGTCTGCTAGTGAGCTGCAGAGAAGCCTGGGGTTCTCCCGAGGAGGCAAAGGACGGGGGTCGGACCCGGCCTCGGTGTAGGGCGCTGTGACTTGCTCGCGGGAGATCAGCCTGGTTCTCGAGGGCGGCGCTGCCAGTAGAACGAGGGTTCCACCCGCCCCGCCACTGCGGTTGTGCCGCCGCTTGGTGTGTCCCAGCTGGCGCTCCGTAGCAGGGCGGATGTTGTGAGGAACCTCGGCTGGCGGGGCAGGCAGGCAGGCAGGCGTGTGGTGGAGGCGGTGGTGAGTAGTAGCCGCGGTACCCAGCTCTGGGTGCGGAGGAGCCACTGCCAGCGAGGCGGCTGCCGTCAAGACGCGGCTCGCCGGCTGCGACTAGGCCCGGGTGGCGGGTCAGCTGGGGAGGCAGAGAGCGCTGCGCCTTTAAAGGCAAGCCGGAGAACCGAAGCCGGCTTGTCAGACACGCGCAGGGAGGACGGTGGGGCGCTTCGGGTGCTTGGTGGGAAGCCACCCGCGCGGCAGGGAGGCTCCCGGTGGGCAGTCCAAGGCGAGACTGCCTGCTGCACCGGTCCTGCCCTGGGCGTGAGCCTGCCGAGGGAGGCCTTTTTCGGGGGAAGAGTTGCAGGCGAAGGCTGTTCCTCTCGCCCTCCTTCTCCTCTTCTGGGGTCTTTCTTGTCCCACAGTCTCCAGCCTGGGAATTGGTTCCCTTTGCGCCTTTCCTTTCCTTCCTCCTGCTGCGTGCTAGCAGCCACCCGGGAGACCGACTCTTCTGCGAAAAACGTGCTTCATTTGTGTCACCTTCCCAGAGTAGTATGGAAAGAACAAAAAATAAGTATCTATGAACCGCTTTTCCATGGAAAGGCTTTTCAGTGTGATCTTGAAGCGTATTAACTTCGTAGGTATTAATGCCCGTAGAATTTAGTGGGAAGTCATCTGCTCAGACATTGCACCTTAACCCTAAATTGATTAAGGCTTGATCTTAAGTAAGCACCGTCTATTTCAATGGGAGTTCGTTACCAATAATAGGTATGGGTGAGATTGATCACTAAGCTGGGGGAGTTTGAAGGAGAACAAACCTCCCAGCAGTAGAAGGGGCAACTGTGAAATCAGGCAAAAGGTCATGCATGGGCTATGACTGGTGTTTCAATGCAAGGCTGATAGCTGATTTTTTTTCTTGTTACCAGTGGAAATCCCAAAATAAACATAATTCTACACCTGCAACCTTCCACATCATTTGGAGACCAAAATTATTGCAATACTATGCAGGTTGGTTGTAGTAATATTTCAAAATTACAGTTGTAATTTACAGCTTCCATTTCCATGTGCCAAAGCCTAAATGTAATTCTCCTGTGGATTTTCAGCTGTTAAGACAAAACTGATTTATGCATGATATCTTTCCCCTAGTTTACATTTATTTTAGTAGCAAATATCTGCCATAGTTAAGCCAGAAATTAAGATTGGGATTAAATTTTGTACAAATTAATTTATTCACATTATTCACTTTGAGTTGCTATTCATATAACTGCTGATAGGCAGAAGTAAGTCTAGTTGAGAATATCTTGAATAGACACCTAACCCATTTTGTACAGTGTATTATTTCATGCTGTGGTCAACTAAATGCCAGTGCAAAGCCCATCATGATGTAAGAGAGAGAGTAGAATTCTCTTGCAGTTGTCCCCCACTAATGAATACTCACAGTAGGTTTCTCAGCTGTGATTATTATAACAAGCAGCTATTGATAGCCTTTTTCTTCATGAATTTCATTAAGATCTTTCATAGTGATCGTAATTTGACCATTGTTTCATTTTATGATATCTAACTGTAACCCTACTTGAAATGTATTGTGTAAGGAAATATTTTAATGTGTCTAGAATCCATATCAATCTTTTTTATTTAATGATCAAAACTTTTACTGTAGGAAAATGGATTCTACTATAGGGAAAACTGCATAATCTCATGAACATCTGGCTTGTTTTAATAATTTTAAAAATGCCAAATACTACAGTGTTTATTAATGTAGTTACTCCATTTCAGCTGACATTTGCACTCTTTCTGAGCTATCTAGTATCTTTCTCTAAGATAAGTGACCAGAATTTGGGCTTCCTTCTTAGGAATAGGCCTTCCTTCCTGTAATAAACTTGTATAAAATAGCTTTATAGAAATTGTAATTAATTAGAGTTATCTCTGCTTTTGCAGCTGCATTTTGTGTCCTGCTGTCTATTTCTTGGTCTCTCTTTTTTAGCATTCTCTGATATTAGAGTTGTTTCTAGATATGCATTTACTATCAAAGTTCACAGTATAGAGATTATTAGAAAACCTGTTAACTTGGACTGGAAAATATTTTCTTACAAAGGTGCTGATTTGAGGAGAGATTGTTTTGAGTGACCAAGCAGGAAGGATTTACAGAAAGTTTTAATTTAAGGTCTCATAATGTAGTAATTAAGACATCAGGCAAGAAATTGGCAAGAAATTGTGAGTTCTAGTCCTGCCTTAAGTACAAAGCCAGCTGCATGACCTTGAGCCACTCTCTCTCTCTCAGCCCTAGAAAGGAGCTAAGGGCAAGCCACTTCCAAGAAACTTTGCCCAAAAAATAATAATAATAAATTCAAGGACTTCTTTGGGCAAAGGCTCACATTCCCACCAGCAGAGATGTGTGGACAAGTTTAGTAGTAATGTTTAGTATTTGTGAATATACTGTGGGGGTAAAATTATGGTTCATAATAATAACCTTCTGCCTTGTAGTGTAGTTCAAAGCAGCACTGCAATCTTAGCCTAGGTTTTTTTTTACATTATGCTTCAGTCAGCATGTGGATATATAATATATTAACTGTTTATAATGTTGCCAAAGTTACTTTTTGTGCTGTGTTGTAAAGGCAATATTGAATTACTATATATGCTTGTGTCTGTTACTAGAGAGGATAAAAGTTAGTTGCTTTTGCTATTGTATAAGTTTAAATAAAGACTATGACGGTCAAAATGAGATGTATTTGGAACTTGAAACATCCTTGCTTCATATTATGAGATAATGTTCTTAAGATGTTGTATGGGGACTTGACATTTGTGAGACAAATATTCTTGAAGCTATATATAGCTAAAGTGTTATATGTCTGTACTGAGAATGGATCTAGATATATAACAAATACATCTTTGAAGATACCGTAATCTATTGCTTACATGTTCTATTAAAAAGCATTACTTTGAATAATGAAGAATAATGAATATCTATTAAAGCAAGTCCCCATAAAAAAAATAAGTCATATTTTTCTCTTGATGACTATCAACCTATCAACTTTTTGTACTTACATAAATATGTGTATATACTTTGTACATTCTTCTCAGGTTTTTTTCTGGAATAGGCGTTTTCCCTGTTCTTCATTCTCATCATTTTAATAGGTTTACTTTTCTTGTACAGTATTTGCTACTATACATTTAAAATTTAATTTTTGTCATTTTAGTAGTTCTACTTGCAAATTTTTAATTTTTACTAATCTGTTCTAGTTAATGCTAAATGAAATAACTTAAAAGTTATGAGTTTATTTTTCCATCTTAGCTACTAATTCTTATTTAGTATTAATTCTATTTAACTCTAGATGCTATAAAGCTGTTTTAAAAATATGTAGTGGATCATTATTTATTTTTACATTTTTATAGCAAATTCTTACAGACAGGCATGCCAGAAAGTGAAAATGACATTGAAAAATAAAATGCAAAAATAGGTGTTTCTTTATATTATTCTCAGTAGTTTTATTAAGAGCATTAAAATCTTTTATAGCAATTTTTCTACAAATGTTATAATTTCTAATTTATTTCATGTTACATCTTTGAAGTTAGTGACATTAATACTGTCCTGAACTATGACATCAAGAAGTTCTGGCACAGCATTTCCTCGGAAGAATTACAGATTAAGCACTGAATCCGAAAAGTCCAAAATTGCAGGTAGGAGCAATATTGTGGATTCTGGGGAGACGCTACTTATCTTGTAGGTTTTTCTTGGTTCTAAGTCAATTATATAAAGGTCAAATACAGAGATATATATTTTATTTGACATCTGTTTGGAAGGTCAGCTACAATCATAAATCTTTAGTAGAAAAAAAGCCCCAGCTAACAAAAAAAAGTAAATCGGGTACAAAAAGACACACCTATTTTTTTTTTTTACTAATCATTAAGAAAAGGAAGTTTCAGAAGGTATATTGTATCTTATAGATTAAGCTTACTTTCTAAATTTGTGAATACAATCTCATTCACTGGATATTAAATATAATGATACATTACTTGGTTGTGACCTAGAAAGCCCTACATGGCATGTGGCCAGGCTACCTACAGAACTGTTTCTGTCCCATTATATCAGCCTCTCCCACTCGATCAGGTAGGGAAGGTATGTTGCAGACCCCATCAGTTAAAGAATTCCAACCGGTGGGGTCTAGGAAGAGAGCCTTCTCTGCCTTTGCCCCTGCCCTGGGGAATATTCTCCCCCCCCCCCAGAGATGAGACAGACCCCCCACTCTCCTGTCCTTCTGCAAAGGAGTTAAAATATGACTCTGGAGCCTCTTGTGGGGAGCTCAGAGGAGCATGCAGCCATGGAGATGGTTGGCGCTGTGAGAGCCCTCCCTTTGCCTTCTTGACTGATTTGTAACAGATTTAATCCTTGCCTCCTTTTAATTGTAAATTTTCTATATTTTTATTTTTTATGTACTGTTTTTATATTTTAACATTGTATTTATTGTACACCACCTAGGAATACAATAAGATGTTACCGGGGGTGATGGGTGGTTCAAAAATGTGAAAAATCAATCAATAAATTCCTTGTCAAAGAGCATTGATAGAAGCTGTCTTCAGTCTGGAGGAAAATATGTTTCTTAATTCTTCATCCACACAAATACAGAAGAGTCGGTAGTTTTAATTCAGTGAGCCTTTACTTAGAAATAGTTTTAGATGTTTATGAGCAAGACTTATTGCATG